CATCTAGGGTTACCAGATCCAGTACTTAAAAATATGGGACCTCCAATTAAATATGGATTTCAGACAAATGAGGGCTATTTTTTTTATTATGATAGGGGAGATCTGCTCACCCAATTAGACCACGTGCAACTGCAAGGCAAGCTTTTGGACTTCGGATTCCTCCACCTGTTCCCACGTGCCAGGACAGGGCTCCTGTGAGGTGAGCATTTGGAGTGTACCCGACTCCTTCCTTCTGCATGTTCTGCCTGCTGATTAGATTTAGGGTGAAAACCCAAACAAACAACAAAACCAGGCTTCCGATTTTCACTCCACCTCCTGTAGTCTTTTGCCTGACCACAGGGAGTTCACTGACACGGGGAAGAGGAGAAGGTTAAGTCGGACAGTGTTCAGAACGTTTGTCTGCAAAGCTCTGACACTCTGGGCTGTCACCAAGGGTTGGGATGTCTCATTCTCCAGAAACAAGACTGGCGGCTTCTGGGAGCAAGGCAGGCGGTTTCTCTGAGGGGCTAAGAACTTTGGGAATGAAAAAGACAGAAATCTAACTTAAGTTGGTTTAGACAAAGAGGGGCAGATTTATTGGTTCATGAAACTTAAAATTCCAAAGTGGATTGACTTGTGGCATTGCTGGATACAAAGACTCCCATGATGTCATCACAGTGTCAGCTGTGGAGACAATATGGATGGAGTCCTTTCTGGAGGGGTAAGGTGACCTTTTAGAGTTCATTTTCCCTTGGGAGACTAGCAGTGCAAGGGAGGAAGAGGAGAGAGGATGGGGGGTTACTTTGCAACCCAGCAGCATCCCCTTCCTCCACTCTGATGCTCAGAAATCCCTGGTGAGGCTGGACATGGCAGGAGGAGGGGTGGGTGACAGTTAATAACTGTTTTCTAGGCTGCCAGCTCAGACCTCCCCTGTTAACCATTGGTCTAGAGACTCACTTCAAGGGTGGAGATGGTCTATATACCCAGCTGGTTTCCAAAGTGCCCCCAAGGCACACACACATGCACACATACTTGTAGACACACACACTCCTGCATGCTCTTCACAGCTGTGAAGGATCTGATGGCCCCTCTGCAAGTGTTTGTGGCTTTGGGAGAAAAATGGGGTACTACTGTACAGTGGGAGCTGGCAAACAGACCTAACCACAAAATAGGGGAAGTTGACATCCAGGTTAGGAATTTTGTGCCCTGTAGAAGTCCTTCTCTAATTCCTTCATTTTACACAAGGGGGAAACTGAGTCCCAGAGCAAAGAAACGGCTCCCACAGAACCACAGGGTGCATGGACAGTGGGAAGAAACCTGCCTGCCTCTGACCTGCTTGCTCAGTGTTCCTCTGCTTCCTCCTTCACCTTTCCCTATGTGATCAAGGCTCTCATGACACCTGTTTTGAATGTCTACCACTGGGCTGAGTTTGCAGCCAGAGGGAAGCTACAGAAAAGCCCTGCAGCAGGCGTCTGGCTCTCTGACCAGCTAAGTCTTTCCTTTCTACCTCTTCCTTCTGCTGAGCCTAGGATGGTAGGTGATTTGTCAGCTGAGCCCTGGCTTTTGCTCTACCTCTTCTCCTTGTGTGTGTGTGTGGTACTGGGATTTGAATTCCAGGCCTCACTCTTGCTAGGCAGGTGCTCTACCATTAGGCCATTCTGTCAGCCCTATTTTATGCTGGGTATTTTCAAGATGGGGGTCTTGCTAAGTATTTGTCTGGGGCTGGCTTTGAGCCGTGATCTTTCTGATCTCTGCCTCCTGAGTAACTAGGATTACAGGTGTGAGCCACCAGCACCCAGCCTCACTCCTTCTTGTCCATGTAAGCCTTATTACCAGCCCCTTCTTCCCAGGGAAGCTCCCTCCTTCACTGAGGCCTCCTGCAGTGCTCACAGAGTGTCAAGGATTCAGTCACTGGCTCAGTCACTCACTATGTCATCTTGGGTGCTTGTGACTGTGTCTGCCTCTCTCCCGTACTGTAAGCTCCTCAATGGCAAGGCTGACCTTGTCCATATGTGTCCCCAGGGCCACAGAAATCTTAAATTTTCACCTCACAATCTTCATTTCACTCTCACAACAACCCTGTGAGATAAACATAAGAAGACTCAGAGATATCAAGCAATTGATCACAGAGGTAGCAAGAAGTTGAGGCAAGGTTGAATTCAGGTAATCTGTCCCCAGAGTTTGGGCTCTGGACCACTATGACCCCAGGCCCTCAAGGAAGGTCTGTTGGATAAATTAAGCACCTGGCATCTGGTTGACAGTGATGAGAACCAACTGTGTCACCACATAACCTTCACTCAGGGTTTACTGTATGCCGCACACAGCACTCCACATTTTACATGTGCTATGTTAATTTCTCCTGGCTGCTGAAACAAGTGATCACAAACTTATCAGTTTAATTTTTTAATGTTCTGGAGATCAGAATTCTGAAATCTGTTGCACTGGGCTAAAATTGAAGTGCTGGTGGATCTGTGTTCTGTCTGGAAGCTCTAGGAAGAATCCATTGCTTTGCCTTTTCTATAAGAATCAATTTCATTCCTTGTTTCATGGTTTCTTCCTTCATGTTCAAAGCCAGTGGTATAGCATCACCCCTCCCCACTAACCCGTTCCTGGGCCTACGTTTTGTCTCTGTGGCCCCGATCTCCCTGCCTCTCTCTTCTAAGGGCTGTTATGATTGCGTTGGGTCTCCTTGGACAATCCAGAAGAAAGCCTCCACCTCCAGATTCTTTACTTAATCTCATCTGTGACGGTCTTCTTGCCATGTAAAATAGCATATTTTCAGGTTCTGGGGGTGAGGATGTGGACATCTTTGGGGGGGGTTGCTATTGTCATCACTGTTTCTTTAATCCTTGTACAGTGATGCTGAGCTATCCATTTGATTAGTTTCATTGAACAGACGTGGAAACGCATGCATCCCGTAGGCACTTGATAAGTATTTATGGGTGTGAGCTGGTGTGAGCACTGATTGATGATATGTTGTCTTTCCCTGGACAGACCTTGGAGGATGTACCTAGCCCTGTCTTCCCTAAAGTTTCTCCCACAGTCCCCTCCCCTGGAGTCAGAGAGAGGTGCCGTCATTGTGCTTAGCACTTAATTGTGCCTCCTGAGGTTGCTTTACCTCCTCAACAAGCTCACAACTTGTTGGCAAGGACCTACTCTCATGTATTCCCATCCTGCTCCCAAGATTTCACAATGTCCTTATCTCCTTCAGTCCTTCCGAGGAGGGAGTCCATTTTGCAGAAGAGCAAGTTGGGGCTCAGCTAGATGTGGAGGTGGTGCTGGAGAGGCATGGTTGATGGACTCTGTCTTTTTTCCCCCATCACTTACTTTCATTGAATTTGTTATTGTTACACAGTTCTAGCATTGCCAAACCATGCCTAAGAATCCAAAGAAATAAATGGCACATGGACAGCTTCATCCTCCTGTCACACAGTGTATTAAAACTTGATTTATGTGCATTTTGATAATTTCACAGTTTTTAAAAAAATTATAACAAGAGTTGGAATTTAAATCCACTGTCAGTTCTCAGATTTTCAGCATGGTAGGCCATTAACAAAACTCTTTATATTTGTCTCAAGTCATCCTCAATAACATGACTCTGCAAAAAGTATGCATTTGTGAGAAAATGCATACCTGTCAAAGAAAGTGTGTGACTCAAAGGATGGACTCTGCCTTGCTCCCAACCGTTCACTTCTTCTCTCTCTCTCTCTCTTTTTTGTAAGTACTGGGATTTGAACTCAGGGTTTCACGCTTGCTAGGCAGGCACTCTGCCATTTGAACCACACTTCCAGCCCCAACCATTCATTTCTTGATGCCCAGCATGAGGCACTCTCCACACTCCCTGTAGCCCCCTCCCGCCCCCGTAGTTGGCTGAATTTTTCCTCCCTCACTATTCTCAGACCATCTACTGATGGGAAGTAGTTAACAGGTGATCAGATGAGGGGGCAGTGGGGAGAGGCACTTCCCACACCTCTAGTGTCCCACAAAGGATCACCATCTTTCCAGTTGTCCTTTCTTTTTCCTTCATGTGTTCATTGGTTTGGTGGTGGTGGGTGGTGGGTGTTCTGGAGATGCCACAGAAGGCATTGCTGTATGACTTCATCTCTGTGCTCTCAAAATTCCAGCCAAATCAACTCTCCCTTTAAGGGATGGGGGAAGGATTGGCATTCCAGAAGTTCTTTGTCATACTGAGGTTTTGATCAGTTGACATTGGAGAACTCGCATCTCTGTGCTGAAAGGCTCACAGGATTGGGGAGTTGTGAGTGAGTAGCGAGATATCTTGGCGGTGTTTCACCCCTTTGCCCCACGCAGATCCTTCAGTTGGGGAGACAAGCTGTTGAGAGTTTGCACAAACTTCACTCAGGGCGGTCAGCACCATGGACAGCGGTCAGGGCTGCCTGAGACGAGCAGTTGGGTGGGGTGCAAGGAGGCTGGGTGGGTGCAGGATAGGGGTGCTGAGGGAACGGGAGAGGAGGAAAGACACGCTGGTGGTGGGTGTGGCTGGGACTGGTCTCATGAATCACTCACTCTCTGCCCCCCACACTCAGCGTCAGGCCTTGGAATGCTGGGGTTCTGCCTGCCATTTCTAGTGATGGTTGGCGTAAGGAGGGAAAGGGAAGGGGCCTTGTGAAGGCCCCTGGATATTTTTTGCAGGAAAGAAGGAAGCAGGAAACAGGGACATGTCAGTGTCCCCCTCCACACTCCCACCCCAGCCCAACCCATTTCTATACAAGGCCTGCTCTCCCCAGCCTCCACCCCCACCCTATGAATACTCCTCAGGCACATGTAGGGGCGCATTCTCAGGCCCTGAGCTCAGCGGGCCGGAATGTAGCTGATAAATCAGAGATAACCTCCCCCTCCAGGGGAAGGGCTGGCCGGACACCCAGCTCCATGATAAAAGGCAGCGGTTGCCTGAGAAGCCAAGAGAGCACCCGAGGACCGTGAGGAGGTGGGACAGACTTGAACTTGGACAGTGGACAGCCTACAGTGCAGCAGTAGCAGCAGCCACAGACTCCAGTGACATGGGCTCCCAGATGGTACTGCCCCGGACCCTGCTGCTCCTCCTTTTCTTGAACCTGTTGCCACTGGGAGGTCACTCCCACCCACTCAGCACCAGCCAGGAATTGGAATTATCTGAGATACAGGTGAGCACTGAGGGACTGCATAGACTGGCCTGCCTAAAGGGCAATTAAAAGGCCCCATTTCCTGGGGAATTAGAGAGAAGAGAATCGGAAAGCAGCAAGATTGGGGGTGGGTTAGCACAGGTGTGTCTTCCTGAGGCCCTGGTTCCCCCACCCCCCACAGGAGGTGCTGGATCGTCTGCAGGACAAGGTTGAAGAACTGCAGGTAGAGACGATGGCCCTAGAGCCTCTCCAAGACCAAGGCCCTGCAGAAGCCCAGGAGACTGGGAAGGCAGTCCCTAAGAGTAACCTTGGTTCCCGAGACAATGCCTTCCAAGCCCTGCAGGGACTGCAGAACCCCAAGATGGCGCGCAGCTCAGGCTGCTTTGGGCGGAGGATGGACCGCATCGGCAGCTTCAGTAGCTTGGGCTGCAATGGTGAGCCTCCCCCTTGCCTGGGAGCTGTATACTTGCCCTCATTCCTGTCCATGCCACCGTTACAGACACTTGTGGGTCTGTAGTCTAGAATACCTGGACGTCCCTCCCTCTTGCTGATAGTCTTCTGGGCCACAGGGTACCTTTCAGGAAATATTAAATGGGGGCATTTTTCATTAATGTGGCCCCACCTACCTTCCACCTCCACCCCCGCCTCTCATCAGAGGGGCAGAATCTGTAGGGTGGAGTCTGTTCATTGCCTAACAGCCCCTCTTTGAAGAAGAAGAGTCCTAAGCTCTTTTCCCTCAGATTTCTCCCAAACTGTGGAACGTCAAAGGCAGAAAGGCAGGATCACCAAGGAACTCCACTTCACACAGGAAGAAACTAAGGCCCACCAAGATCAGCTGAGGACTGGGGGTGGGGCTGGCTTATAGTGAGGGAAACTCAGCCCCTGCTCAGTTCCAACCCCCCCCCCCAGGCCATCATCACCCTGTCTGCTCTCCCCACAGTGCTGAGGCGGAATTAAATGGAAGTCCTGGCTGCAGACACCTGCTTCTGACTCCACAAGGAGCTCTTTCCAACCCCAACCTGATGAGCCTGGTGTAAACCCCCTCTAAAGGGGCTCCTATTTATTTTTATTTATTTATTTATTTATTTTCTGTTTTCTACAAGATGAGGTGATTTCTATACTCTTTTTTTTTTTTTTTTGGTGGCACTGGGGTTTGAATACAAGATGATTTCTTACCTTTGAGCACAAACTTTCCACAGTGAAATAAAGTCAGTATTACATCTCTTTCTTCTGACATGGATTTGTCTCTGTGTATTCAGAACCATTCCTCATTTCAAAAAAAACAAAGCAAAACCTTTGTTTTTCTTTTTTGAAGGATCCCAAGGTGTCTTAATGGTGGGGTGGGACATGACTCAAGGGCCGATCCAATAGGGTGGCAGGGCTTTCTTTCCTTTCCAGGATTTTAAGTGCTCAGGAAACTTGGCAGAAGAAACTGCTTTGCAAAGTGGGCACCTTCCTCCTGGGAGTGGAAAAAGAGGAGGGCGTGTTCTGTGGCGTTTGCCCTGCTCGTCCCTCGCCTGGAATTCCATCATAAAACACTCTCCCTGGTCTTTATTGTTTCCAGAAGGTCTAACAAAAATGTCAGAAATTGGGGCGGAGTGCATATGTGTATCGTGTGTGTGTGCACATGTGACACGCTAGCTCACTGCACTCCTGATGGGAGTGAGCCCTCCATCCTGCTCCAAACCTCAACTTCAAAGCTCAGTTCCTGACATCATCTGGGAAAGGAGCCTTCAAAACCCCAACCCATAAGGTTTCATGTGCCTGACCAGGGGCCCTCCCCTGGGGCCAGACTGTGACTTCCTCTCCATAACGGAGAGAGGCTGGGAGACAGCCGTCAGAATCCTGTCATATGGCCTTAATCAGCAGAGTGCCCTGTTGGGTGTATTGCCCTCTCTTCTATGGGACCCCTTCCCTCATCCTGTGCTGCAGGATCCCAGGCCATGGTGCTGGCCCCTGCCCTCTGTAATGCCACCATTAATGATCTGAGCTCAGCTGTGGAGAAAGCACCACGAGACCAGCACTTATTATCATCCCCATTTTCTGTATGAGAAAACTGAAACTGAGAAAAACCAAGTGTCTTACTGGTCAGTTGGCTAACATAAGTGCTGGCTCTAGGATTCGAGCAGAGGTCTGAGTGACTGCTGAGCCTGTGCTCCCTGACTGCCCAGCCCTGAGCTCCTGGCCTTGAACCCAGCTCTTACAGCCTTTCTGCTGTACTCATTCTGTGTTTATTTGAACTAAGGGGAACCAGGAGGGTGGGTCTTTCTGTTATTTCTCATTTAACTCAGTGTTCACCAGATGTTATGGCTATATAATGAGATCAATTAAAATTTTTTTTAAATGAGGTTTTAGGAGCAGCTCATTTTCCAAGAGAATGAGAGTCATCTGTCTGATGTTTCTAACCCAGCAAGGACAGTGAGTAGTTAGAACAGTTAGCATGGGTAAAGGCTTCATTAATGTAGCAGGTACAGTTCCATCAGCTGTGACAGTCCTTACAACAATTAAAAAAATAAAAAAATTTAAAAAACTTCTTATCTCTCATTTTACAAACAGGGAAAACAGTTGCTCAGAGTTGTGCAGTTAAAGTGGGGCAGAACCAAGATCCAACTCAGGCCATGACCACTGTCCCACTCAGCCTTTTCCATGTCAGTGAGTTAGGCTTACTAGAGGGATGGACAGTCCCCTCGTAACTCCAACATCCAGGGCCAGTGGCTGATGGCAGCTGCCCCTCTGCTCAGGTGATGAGGACAGAATACCTCCCTCCCAGAGTCCTCCTCCCCAACTACAGCAAGAACTTCGGAATTCTTCCAGGTGAGTCTGGCTCATCCATAAACAGGGCTCAGTTGGTGGAACCTGGATGTCATGCTACATCCAGTTACTTGGGTCTTTCTCCCAAGCAAAGACCAGGAAGAGGATCCCTAAGTGTTTATGGCAGGAGCCATATGTGACTGCTGGGGCTGGGTGGTGAGCAGCCTGGTGTGCCCAGCAGAGGGTCACCTCCCGGGCTCCTGTGTGGATGGTATTGGCAGGCAGCCCTGCAGCAAACACACTGTCATGATGTCCTTTCAAATCAGTCTCCCAAGGTGGCCCCCTGTAGCTGTATAAGGCATTACCCTCCCTGCCCTACCTGTTATCGACCTTGCCCTTCAAGAAGCTGCTGAAGGGTCTTCCTCCACGGACCACTTATCACTTTCATCTCTCCGGAAAGGAGTGTTGATGAAAACAGACCGGAGGAGCTTTGTCCCCAGCTCAGAGCTGGAAGATGGCTCAACAGAGGGAGGACCAGCTTTGCTGGGCCTCTACTGTGGAGGTTACAGAAGTCAGGCCAGCACTGGGCTCAGATGCTTCATCTCGTGCTGGCAAGTCTGCACCTGTGACACTCTCAAAGACCATGGAATCCCTCCCCACCCCCCTCTCGGCAGTTTGACCCTTCTGAGAATGATTTGTGGCAAGGGAGAAAATGCATGTCTCGTCCCACTGGGCCAGGCGTTCTAAACCAAATCCTTAACTTGGCCTTTGGTCATTGTTCACGTCGGAGCTCTCTAGGTTTTCATCCACTGCCTTATCTTAAGGACTCAGTCCTATTCCACTAAGGGACTCGTCTTTCCCATCTTTCAAGAGCCAGATCCCTACAGCTGGACATCCTGGCCCATTTCTAAAACCAATCTCCACCTCTCTCCTCAGACCCTGGCTCTCGCCCTCCTGCCCCCTCCCCAGTTCTCCTGTCTCTGACACTGCCAGGCCCATAGTCTTGACCTTCCTGCTTCAGAGCACACTGGCCTCCCTGGAGCAGGCAGGAAGTGCGGGGGAACTGACATCAATCAGGAGCAGTGCTCAACCAGCGTCTGGCAGGAATCAGCATTTAAAGACCCAGCTGCCTCTGTCCACAGGTGGCACGTGTTTTACTCGTGTCCAGAGAGCTCCATGAGGAGGGGAACTGCTCCAACTGCCCGAAGAAGTCCCTGACTTTGTACTGTCCCTGTGTCGTATACTCCTCTGACATTTCCTGGGTTTGTCTCCAAAATAAAACATTTCTCCTTAAGTCAATCTTGGGTTCAGGAGAACCTAAACTAGAACACTCCTGAGTGATTAAACCTTCAGGGCCCCTCTCTGGGTGACACAGGCTCTTGGAATCTTCCGGGGCTGGACCACCCAAGTAGGCACCGTATCCACTGGCTTCTTCCTTCTATCTGCCTCCTTCCCTTCTCTTCTTGCTGAGACCTCCCCATGCATGCCCCTGTCGCCAGCCTGCCCACTCCAGGGTCCCTGATCTGATTCTTTCTCTATCAGGGGAGAGAGCAGAGCCTTCGTGCTTTGGTCAGAGGTGACTTGTCCTTCCAGTGAGGTCCCCAAGGAGGCAAGGTGCAATGGTGCACACTCAGATATATGTAGGGGACTGGGTAGAGAAAGCATAGAAGGCAGACTCATTGATTCAGTCATTCAAAAAATGTTTTCTGAAGAATGAGTTTGTGCCCACCCTGTGCTAGGTTAGGAGCTGTATACATTGGTGTCTGAAGCTGCCTTGTACATGCTCTGCCTGCCCATGCCTCTGGCATGCTAGCAAATGCAGGTTTAGCCATGGCTCCTCTCTGCATTCCCCCATACCAAAATGCCCCCACAAACAGCATTGTCTGCAAGGTTCATGGGAAGACCAGGCCAAAGAGGCTTAGTTCCTCTAGCCACTGCACGAAGGAACTGAATGTCCAGGAGTACAGGGGGAGTCCATGGCCATGAGGGTGGGGTGGGGCGGGGCTTTGACTAGTGAGCGACAGAAGATGGAAAGGACCCCGCAGATAAAGGTGTTTGTTAGAATTTGATTTATGCACTAGAGAAAACACACGGAAGTCCTGAGCTCCCGAACCTCAGAACGCGACCTTATTCAGAAATAGTCATTACAGGCAGAATTAGTTAAGATGAGGTCAGACCAGTGTAGAGTGGACTCCTGATACAATATGACTTGTGTCCTGATAAGAGACCCACAGCCGGGTGCTGGTGGCTGACGCCTGTCATCAACTACTTGGGAAGCTGAGATCGGGAGGATCACAGTTCAAGGCCAGCCTGCGAAAATAGTTTGTGAGACTCCTGTCTCCAAAATAACCCAAGCAGCTGAGTGCTGGTGGCTCACATCTGTAATCCTAGCTACTCAGGAGGCAGAGATCAGAAGAATCGAGGTTTGAAACCAACCTGAGCAAATAGTTTGCTTGAAAAGAACCCATCACAAAACAGTGCTGATGGAGTGACTCAAGTGGTAAAGTGCCTGCCCCACAAGCATGAGGCCCTGAGTTCCAACTAAGTACCACCAAAACAAAACAAAACCCAAAATAATCCAAGCAAAAGTGGATTGAAGGTATGGCTCAAACGGCAGAGCATCTGCTTTGCAAGGATGAAGCCTGGAGTTCAAACCTCAGTCCCACCAAAATTAAAAAAAAAAAAAAAGAGAGAGAGAGATCCACAGAGAGACGCTTGTGTGATGTCAGAGACAGAGACAGCCATGCTGCTACAAGCCAAGGACTACTGGCAGTCACCCAAAGTGGGAAGAGACAAGGACAGATTCCTCCACAGTTGTGAGACAGCAATGCATTTCTGCGGTTTCAGCACGATGGTTTGTGATGTTCTGTGTGTCCCACAGGTTGAGGAAACTGAGGCAGTGATGGCCTCTTGTTCTCTTCTCAGGGCTCCTTCCAAGGTGCAGTTCTCTGTGAACTCAGGAGATGCTCAGCACAACCATCCAACCACAAAGGTGCTTTGGCAAGGCTGTGGCCAGCTGGGTCACATTGCTCTCCCTCTTTTCCTCCCTGTGTGGATGCCCTTGGGATGGCCCTCTGTGACCTTTCCCTTGATGTTCAGGTCTTTGTGTCCCCTCCATCCCCCCAGACTTAGCAGGCCCTAGAGACTCACTTCAATGGAACACAGCACAACAAAATCATGGATGCTACTTCCAAGATGAGGTTACAAAGCTTTCCTCACTCTTCTCTCTTCCATTCTTCCTCTCTCTTGCCTGACCTAAAGGAAGTCTATTGCTTCTTTATGGAGATGCCCAGGTGGCACAGACTGGTATCTACAGTCCAAGCCAGAGGTCAGTGAGGACCTGAGGCCTTTGACAGCCACAGGGTGGGTCTAGATCAGATCCTACTCTGGGAAGGTCTTGTGACAACCAAAGGCAGCATCTTCACTGCAGCCTGGGAAGGTCCCTTTTGCCGGGGGTGCCAGCCAAACAGGGCCAAGATGCCTGATTCACAGAGATGGTTGGATAGTATGTTGTGTTGTTTTAAGTTACCAAGGTATCTGACAAATCCTTTTGCGACAGTGGTTAACTAAAACATTATCTCCTTCCTCTCCCTCTTCATTCTTGCTTCCCTGGAAACTGTACCTGTACAAAGCTTTAGTAAGTGAAATTTTACCTTGGGCTTTGTTTTCCAGGAAATCTGTCCACATATTCTAGCTCCTAGTGACCTCAGTTTGTATGAAAGAAACAAAACATCATTTTAGCCAACCCTAAATGTGCAACAGGGTCCTATTGGCTCCTCCCAATGGGCTTCTCCTTAGACCAGTCAGGTCTGAAAGAATCATGCCATGATTTTTGTTTGTTTCTTTATTGCAGTACTGGGGTTTGAACTCAGGACCTACACCTTGAGCCACTCCACCAGCCCTTTTTCGTGATGGGTATTTGGAGATAGGGTCTTGAGAACTATTTGCCCGGGCTGGCTTCCTCCTGATCTCTCCCTGTGGGCTTGTGATAATTGCAGGTCCCTGGCCAGGGCAACTCCATGATGAGACCCAAAGGTGTCCCCATTCTGGGTGTCTGGAACCCACTACTGCCCCATTAAATATCAGAGCCTTCACATCCCCTAAAGTTGAGCAGGGAGATGAAATGAAGAGAAACTTGGTGTCCAGCCATTTTCAGGCTCAAACCAAAGACTTTACTAGGATTTGGGGTGAGGAGGTAGTGAGGTCCTATACAAAGCCCTGAAGGCAGCACAATAAAATTCCTACATATTAGATGAACTCAACAAATGACATGCCCACTCTAGTGTCACTTGAAAAGGAAAACTGACTTTAATAAAAGGAGGTAGGCAAATTCTGAAAGTCTCTTTCTGGAACCTTGGGTGGGCTTTCCGCTCTCCAAGGGCCACCTGCAGACTTCAGACAAGGCTCAGGATGGAGAAGCAGCACTGGTCCTCAGAGGCCAAGCTATTGCAGCAGCCACCTGCCACGATGCCTTTCCGGAAGTCTTCTCCTGCATCAAAGGCCTGTCTCAAAGACCATCTCTGGGAGAAAGGCTGTGTGACGCACACAGCGAGGGGCCTGAGTCCCCCAGTGGGGCTGCATGCTGAATCCTCTTTGCTAATAATAACCCTGCAGCCAAGCAATTAAGCTGTGAGCACATTCCAGGAACTCGTCAGGATCTGATGGATTTTTGGCCCCAAAGCTCCTAGTTAGAATGACACCAGTTTCATATTTCAAGCTGAGTGTGGCCAAGCTCTCTGAGGAGGACCCCTTTTCCTTCCATCTTAGAAATACTGTCACCCCAGACACCTCTGTGACCTTGGGCCTCTTCCTGCCCTGGTTTCCTGCCTTGTAGTTTCGCCCTTTGTCAACCACAGCTGGATCTGCTCAGGATGAAAATAGCTGTTTGGCGCTATTTACTCTGCTTCCCAGAGCAGACTAAGACATGGCAGGTGTGGAAGCAAGTCTGGAGACGAGGCGTAGCCTGAGACAGAAAGGAGAGAATGGTCAAACACGCACTGACTTGCTTAGCACGCAAAGCCACAGCCATAGGGTAGGAGGAGGCGGGGGTCACTCAGGGCATCTGAGAGATGGGGTATGGGGTTCTCACTGGGGAATGCACCCACAGGGTGCAGAGGCAGGTATGTGTAAAGGGGTTTAACGATATGGGCCTTTATGTTGGGACTGGGATCCAGTCCTGGCTCTGCCACTTCGGAACTCAGGAAACTTGGGCAAATGTCATAACCTCCTGATCTCAATTCTGTCCCTCAATCAATAGGAACAATAGTATCTACTCCTGGGGGTGTGTGACAGTGAGGTCATCCACACACAGCTCTCAGCACAGTGGTCATTTTTAAGTGACCAGTTATATCCCATTGTCACAAAGCACAGCCCACTCAAACATATGCTCCCAGTCTCAGCTCTGCTGAGCCCTGCACCTGCCCTGAGTGGGGGGCAAGGCAGCTTTTACATTTTCCAGATGAGGAAAATAAGGCCTCAAAGATGTACACAGCTGGTTTATTTGGAGCCACAATGGCGCTCTCTCCCCGCAGTGGACATTGTGTTGAATGGTACACTAAGGTTGAATTTGGGGCTTAGCTCATGAGAAGTGGACAGCCTCACTGACCATTCATTCTCCAGGGTGGACCGGGGGATCCAGGCCTTCATGACTCAGTTACTTGCTGGTCTTAGAGGACATTAAGGGGAACTGTGTATGCCACTTGCTCTTCAACCTCCTTGCCTCCATCAGCCAGCTCATCACTGACGCTCCCCGGGGAAGAGTAAGGCAATTACATGGTTTAAACTCAGAGTGTGAGTTTCTATAAGCAGTGAAGACAAGGGATGAAAGTGGCTGCATCTGTTAGGGCTGTCCCCTCAACACCTTGGAGGGGCATCTTGGGGGAGGTGAAAGAGGAGGAGCTTTGGAAAGAACATTCTGCTTCCCCTAACTTTTCATGGTGTTTGTACTTAGGAGCTGAATTCTTGGGACCTTCATCACATTGGCTTCCTGGCTGACTTAATACTCTAAAAAATGACTGTCTTTCACCTGACTGCTGAGCAGGACAGCCAGGGGTGAGGGGGTGGGGAGCTGTCTGGAGCCAGAGTTCCGCCCATGAGGCTGATGAATCAGGTGTGAGGCCAACTCCAGCATCTGCTCTCCCTCCCAGAGCCTCCCCTCCGGCCGCCTGCCATTTCCTCCTCTCCGCCCTTATTTGGAGCCCCTGACAGCTGAGCCACAAACAGAATGGGGGAGCTGGGCGCCGGCCAGCCGTCACCCTCTGCTTCCCCGCGTGGGTCCCGTTGCTAAGGAGAAAGAATCCTGAGGCACGGTGGGATGATAACTGAGGACTCTTTTTTGCTCTTCTCACACCTTTGAAGTGGGGGCCTCTTGAAGCAAATCAGCAAGAATGTGACTCTTGCAGCCGAGGGTCTGGGGGGCTGCTGGGGCTGCTCAAGGCAGAGGGGCTGTGACAAGCTCTGCTGGACTGATAACTTTAAAAGGGCATCTTCTGCTGGCTCCTCACTCCGCTGCTTTATCGCTGCAAGTGACAGAATGGGGAGGGTTCTAGTGCCCCTGCACTCTCAGGGAGCTGGGGGGCTATAAAACGGGAGGCGCTGGGCAGCTGGGAGACAGTAACGGACAAAGGCTGAGAGAGAGAAGGCAGAGAGGGACAACAAGAGGCAGCAAGCACCACATCGCTTCCTGACCAAGGCCAGCATGGGCTCCTTCTCCATCACCATGAGCCTCCTCCTCTTCCTGGCCTTTCAGCTTCCAGACCAAACTGGAGCCAATCCTGTGTCCAATGCAGACCTGATGGATTTCAAGGTAGGGCTGATGGTGGGGGTGGAGCACAGACAGGGACAGGGTACTTTCTGGTACAAGGCTTCTTCTCCCTTTTCTCTAAGTCAGTGAGAACTCTCTCTTTCCCTATATTTTCCTTTTGCAAAGAATTTGCTGGACCATTTGGAGGAGAAGATGCCTTTTGGAGACGAGGCTGTGGCCCCACAAGTCCTAAGCGAGCAGAATGATGAAGTGGGGGCAGCTCTCAGCTCCCTCCCTGAGATGCCTCCCTGGACTGGGGAGGTCAGCCCATCTCAGAGAGATGGGGGTGCCCTTGGGAGGAGCCCCTGGGACTCCTCCGATCGATCTACCCTCCTAAAGAGCAAACTGAGGGCATTGCTCACTGCCCCTCGGAGCCTGAGGAGGTCCAGCTGCTTTGGGGGCAGGATTGACAGGATCGGGGCCCAGAGTGGACTGGGCTGCAACAGCTTCCGGGTAAGAGGAGCTGGGGATGGAAATGGGACAGGGAGAAAGAAAACTGTGGTTTTGTTGAGGTTCAAACCGTGTCAAAGAACAGTACCAGGGTACATCTTTGGCAGGAAAGGGACCAAGGTAGAAGGTTGTTCCTTCTGAGATTTCTGTCCTATCTTGATGGATATCCTACAAGTCTTAGGACAACACCATCATCCTCAGCTGCAGCCTGCTGAGAAAATGCTTTTAAAAAAATTATATTAAAATACAGGGCCCGAGTCATCTTTGCTAATTGGTAGCTCAGGCTCCTCCCCACAATTGCAAGATCCTGACAGATTTAAATGAAATGGACAAGGAGTGCCCTTATGAGTGCTAATAACATAAAACTCAGAGGGTCAGTGGGCTGGAGTGGGGGCAGGAGTGGAGTGCCTGTTGGTCAGAGGTCAAGCTAAGAGGTTTGGCACAGTCGTAGGAAGCTGACTCTGTCAGTGGAGCAAGGTCACCAAACCAAGTATGTTTTTCTCTTTGTAGTACCGAAGATAACAGCCAGGGAGAAAAAGTGACCAGTGAGAACTTCATCCCCTGGGATCTCACACAGCTTGTGTCATCTCATTGCCACGGGGTGATGAGCGCCCTCTTGGAGCTGCAGCTTCCCATCAACATCTCTCACATTCTATGCTAAATGCAGATAAAGTGGTTTAATTGTGGCTTCCCCGCCTCTCCCAGCCCATGCATTAAGGTAGATCTCTTTCACCTGTTACTGAAAACGATTGAAAAAAAAAATAAACTTCAGCACCATGGACAGAAGCAAAAGTCTGAGTTGGTGTCATTTCTTTCATTTCTGGGGGGAAGAAAAGCCAGCTCAGAACTGGGGGCATAGCTCAAGTGGTAGAGTGCAGGTCTAGCAAGTGCAAAGCCCTGAGTTCAACCCCATATGCAGAAAAGAAAGAGAACTCAGCCCTGTTTCCTTTGTCATTTTACCCTTTGTCAGATAAAAGAACACTTGGTTTCTTGTTTCTTCCCTCCCTCCCTCCTTCCCTCCCTTCCTCCTTCCTTCGTTCCTTTCTCTTCTGTTTTTCTTATTAAAAAACAGTATCTTAGGCGGGTGCTGGTGGCTCCCACCTGTAATTCTAGCTACTCAGGAAGCAGAGATCAAGAGGATCAAAGTTCAAAGCCAGCCCGGGCAAATAGTTTGTGAGAACCTATCTCGAAAAAATTCTTCACCAAAAAGGGGCTGGTGGGAGTGACTCAAGGTATAAGCCCTGAGTTCAAACCTCAGCACCACAAAAAAAAAAAAAAAAGACAGTATCTTGCCCAGGCTGGCCTTAAACTCACAATCCTCCTGCCTCTGCTTCCTGAGTGCTGGGATTACAGACATGTACCACCATTCCTGCCTCCTCTCAGCTTTTTTCTTCCTCCTGTCATTTCTCCCTCCCTTACTTTTCTTGGTGGAGGGCAGGGAGCCTCAAACCACACTTCTCAACCTGCTCTGCCTTTCACTCCAGCCTCAGTTACAGAAACCAAAAAGGCTTCTAGAGACTGAACGGGCCTGTATTTTTTAACACGATTTGCTCACATTTGTGATCCTTGCTAATTGAAAACTCACAATCTCTATTTATCTTTCTGGCATAGCTGACAAGTTTTTGCACTGCGAGCACTCTTTGGTTGGTGTTGGTGGCTTAAGGACACATTTAGAAAGCAAGGGTACCACCTGCACTTCCTTTGGTTCCTGAGAGTTAGCTGCTATAAGTACGTGAATCACACCTTTAGCTTGGACAAGGGTCGACAGAGTGCTGGCTTTAAGAGCTGAGCAAAGTGAAGAAAGATCTGCCGTGCGGACAAGCTGCAAGTTCACATGCCTTTTGTGAATTGCCACATGAATCCATTTTATGTATTTAGCAGTGCTGGAGATCAAATCCAGGGAACCACATGCACTTGAAAAATAGTTAATGGTCTTTCCCTAATTCAGGTCCATGGAGCCTGGGCTTGTAGATTAAACTGTGAGAGTCACTGTGGGTTTTTTGGTTTTTGGTTTTTTTGGCAGTACTGGAGTTTAAATTCAGGGCCCTGTGCTGGCTAGGCAAATACTCTTCTGTTTGAGCCACATATCCAATCCTCTTTTGTTCTGGTTATTTTGGAAATGTGTTGCTTTTCACCCAGTCTAGACCGTGACCTTTATTTTACACTTCCTGTTATCACTGGGATGACAAGCATGCATCACTATACCCCACTTTTTACCATTGAGAAGGGGTCCCACAAACTTTTTTGCTTGGGCTGGCCCGAAACCATGATCCTCCCAATCTCAGCCTCCCATGGAAGTTGGCATGACAGGTGTGTAACACTGTGACCAGCTATTGGTTGATATGCGGTCTCCTGAACTATTTGCCCTGACTGGCCTCAAACTGGAATCCTCCCAATCTCAGCCTCCCAAGTAGCTAGGATTATGGTTGTGAGCCACTGGTACCTGGCAAGATGTGTTGTTCTTGTATCTGCTTCTGAAAAGGGTGCAGTCCTAAGCAGAGACACCAACAAGTTCACCTTCAACAGGGTGTGAGAGGTACTCAAACCTACTTTCCCATGTGTGGCTCTATCTGCCCTGTTATCCAACTCAGATTCACTGACACTGCAACATTCCCTTCGCCTTATCTTGCTGGATCCCTATGTTTGCCATTCCTTCTCCCTGGGACACTCATTATCCAATCCTTCCAGGAGCATTCTACTCGCTCTTTAGGCTTCTTCCCTGAACCAGTGCCCAGTAAACATTAGTCTCTTCACAGGCACATTTTGTGACTCCAGTGTGTCACTGTTTGTTGTGGATGTAGCTGTGTGGTATAGCTGTGTCCCTGGACTGCACAATCCTGCAGGGTCAACACCCTTCAATGTTCCCACGGCCTTACACCATAACTGCTGTTTGTATTGTCCGCGTTTTGTACAGAAACGGGGGGAGAAGGAAACCACATAGTGGTGCCCCTCATAGAGGGCACGGGAGGCCAGAAGTGAGGGGAAGGGGCAGAGGTGGGAAGAACTCCAACAACTTCCCATTCCTTTCCATGTTCCTTACTTGGACTTGAAATAAAGGCAGAACATTGAGCAGAGAGTGACTTGTAAGGACAAGCATCAAAGAAACAGGGACAAGTATTTGTCCAAACCTGGCTCTTGAGTCTGGCACTGGGGAGCCCCAGTTCCCAGAAGAGGAGGAGTGGTAGGTAGCTGGGCATAATCCTGAGGTGCCAATGAGAACAAAGGGTTCTCATTGAAGGAACCCAAAGTGACAAATACATAAGGCTGAAAATGCCCGTGCAACTTGAAGGAAAGGTAAGGAGAGTGGAGGAGCCCAGCTGCCTGGGATATTTCTGCCCCTGGCAGAATGGCTGCTTGAGACAGATCACACAGAAAGGAGACAGAAGAAAGTCACATTTCTTGAAAAACAGAATGTGAACAAAAAGCAATGACAGATGGCACTGTCAAGGAGCCAGCCATGAGGTCTTACCATCTACAGACCTAGCATCAACTGTCTGGATGTCAGGGAAAATCTGTCTTGTGTGTGTGTGGGGGGTGAGATACTAACAGACTTTCAGGAGGCAGGCATGGTGGTACATGACTGTAATCCCAATACTTGGAAGCTGAGGTAGGAGGATCATGAGTTGGAGACCAGCCTGGGTTGCATAGAAAGATCCTGTCTCAAAACCAAAAAGCAACCCCCCCCCCAAAAAAATAAAGACTCTCATGAAACCAAATGGCTCCTCCATCTCTTGCTCTAGGAAGCTCTCCTGTAGGAAGAGGGGATTTTTGTGGGAGAAAAACCAGGTGGACGAATTCATTTGAAGGGAGAAACAGAAACATGGTGACCTGGGTTATTTAAAATAAGATCCATAGGACTGAGTTTGAACTCAGGGCCTTGCACTTGCTAGGCAGGAAGGCACTCTATTGCTTGAGTCATGCCCCGGCCCTTTCTGTTTCAGTTTTCAGGTAGAGTCTTTGTCTTGTGTTTTTGCTCAGGGCCAGCCTCAGACCAGGATCCTTCTACCTGTGCCTCTCAGGTACATCCACCATACCTTGCTTATTTGTTGAGATGGGGTTTCTATGATTTTTTTGTTCAGGATGGCCTTGAACTGCAATCCTCCCAATCTCCTCTGCCCAAGTAGCTGGGAATTACAGATACAAGCCACCACACTGGCTCCCTAAATTCGTTATTAAGGCTGCTGACTGACACAGGTAAGTGGACCCTGGGGATGAATAGGGTTGCTGGGCAGTGACTGCAAACCTAGCTTCTAGCATTGCAGTTTCTGCCTAATGGAAAAATGGGAAGGAAATAAGCAGCACCCTCAGAGAGAGAGAGAGAATGCTGTGGAGACAAAAGGCTAACAGAGACAGGTGCAGACATTTTATTCCAACGCGTTACAGTTACCATGAGAACTTCCAAGGTCCAAGAGTTCAAATAAAAATAGAAATTTACAAATTAAAAAAAATACCATTTATATACACAGTGGAATTAGCTAACACTGTCAGGTACAAACAAACAGTGCAAACAGAAAGCTGGAGGCTGCGGCAGCAGAACTGGCCACCGTGCACAGGAACTGAGGGGGAACACTGTACATGAATACTGCCAGGCCCAGGAGGGATGTGCTGGCCTCCCGGAAATTTGTCACCAAGGCTGTCACTGTGCCATTATGTATCTATTGTCACAGGGTTGGGTCCTCAGTGTCCATTCCAGCTAGAACCATTAAAAGCCACAAGGAGATAGCTCAAACAGTGCAAAATTCCCACAGAATCTGGAAGGCTGTCAGCCTTGCTCCTCAATCACCTTGGCCAGGAGATGAGGGACACCATGTTGGAGATGAAAACCACCGGCAGCCAGCCACACACTCCCTTGCGGATCTGTTTGATGGAGGTGCTGTGGCACTAGGGGCCGCAGGTGGCAACAGGTGAGATACTATGGACAGCAATGGGGGTTAGGCTTACACTAATTGGTCCTGAGTGGAGAAGGTGTCATCTTTGGGCTTTTCTGGAAAGGACAGAGGCAGATGGGAGGAACACAGGAAACCACAAGCCCCCATGACCTGGGCTCGAGTCCATCTTGTTGGCCATCCAGTTAGCTCGCGGGAGAGAGGCATCTGCATCCTAGTATGTATTTCTGCCTAACTGGTGGCTACAATGCATCTGGTGACTTAAACACAGTGAACACGAGTAGATTCCCACCACATGCTCCCTGGATGGCCTCAAGGTGGGCAGCCCTGCTCTGCCCTGCAGGGCTTCAGCCCGACTGATGCAAGAGGGATTGAAGCTTCTCGGACTGGTAGTTCTCATGACACAATTTCCTTCTTAATAAAAGGACAATGTGGTCAAGCTGTGAATGCTGCCATAAAATGAGGTGACAGCATAATCCTAGTTAAAAGGGTTACAATTCCTGAACTATCTGTTGGGAGCATCATCCCTAATTCACAAGTCAGGTATACACACAGAGGCTGAAAGAGGGAGAAGTCAATGTCATTTTGGTCAGGAAGGTAAGTAAATAAGGAGAATGTAGAAGGCAACAGGTCATGGTCGGTGGAAGGCCCTGAGGCAGATCCTCATGGACTTGGAATGATTCCTTAGAGTGCACTGGGCATGAGGCCCGCCTGGCTGAGCCAGGGCTGACCCTACGTCCAGATTGCAATAACCTAGGCCGAGGTACCAATGCCCTCATGGTTTAAAAAACACATAATAAAACGAAAGCCATCTTGAGTCCCCAAAAGGACTAGCACAGGGATGCTGGGTGGGACTGAGAAGCCAATAAGCACACAGAAGCTAGAGGAAGATGTGATGCTCACCGTGGTACCTGTGCGAGAGGGGACCACCAGCCCAGATGGAATGAAGTCATGAGCAATCAGGCGGCCTGTGTGTGTGGCACGGGCTGCCAGGAAGCATCTCTCCCTCCTCCCTCCCAGCCCTGCCCTGCCCCCCTGAACAGCAGACCCTGCAAAAGACATACAATGGGGTGGCTGGGAGTGAGAGGTGAAAGGAAGCCATTGCTTTTTCCTAACACACACCTTGGAGTGACCCTAGCTTGGGATGGCCTCCTTGCTAGCTTGTAAGAATGGTCCCATTCCCTAGGACTCAGCAGCTGTGTCTACGGGTACCCCGCTTTTTGTTAACTTTGGGGATGAGGTCAAGGCTAAGCTGTGGCTGCGCCCCCTAGGAGGAAGGAGATAAAAATTTGGAAGTTCTAGTAAGTCATAGAGATGAATGGATCAGGACAGATGGGAGAGGGGAGTTGTTCCTGGGGGACCAGGAGTAATTTGCAAATGGAGAATGCTCAAGTATTAAAAGCAAGGGAAGATGTCATGATCCTATGATTGATTTACTGTCCAGAGATGCTTATGGGATTTTAATGCTTTGTGCTTCTGGAGGGTAGTCATTCTAAGGAGATTCAAACCACAAGGTGAGATCAAAGCACCCGCTCACTCCTGGGAAGCTGAGCATTTCCCTTACAATGGACTAGAGAAGCTGTTAGGATTTCCAGTTCCAGTATGTATGTGGCTCTGGGCTCAATCCCCAGTACCATTAAGAAAAAAAAAAAAGTTCCAATGAAGGAAGGCCTCCCTGAACATGGGGAATTTTCTCAGTGCCTGATTCCTGAACTTAGTAATAAACTTCATTTTCAGTGTTTGCCTCAGTCCCAGGCTCTCCCCAAGTGGTTAAGGCAGCAGCTGGGCTCCCCAGGGCAGCAGCAACAGTGGCAGGAAAGCTACCCGGGCTCCCCCAGGGCATAGCTGACTCCCGCCTCTGGCCCTGCTCTCTTTGGGCCTGGCAGGCCTGTGCCAACACTGACTGGGAGGAGCCCAGGAAGTAGGAAACGGGAGGATGTTTGTGGAGGAAGTTAGAAAAGTCTAAACTTTTGTTTCAGCCCCATCCCCAGGATCTCTGACCAGCAAAGTGTTTGATGATTCCAGGCTTTCTGAGCATGTGGGTGGTTGACTGGGAACCTTCGTGCCCTGGAACAGCCCCAGCCAGCTGTGTGGGCCTCTGAGTGAGTAAGCCACTCGCCCAGGCAGCTCAGGGAGGGTGTGTTGGCCATCGGACCATCAGAGGGTCTGGTAGTGCTGCCGCAAGCGGGCCTGCAGAAACTCATACGTCAGGTTGTGCCGTGTAATGATCCCGACGATCTAGGATAGGGAGAAAAGACGAAGTCACCCACCATGGATGTTTTCTGCTGTGGAATAGTTGCTTCCTATAGGTTGAGTAAAAAAATCACTATGAATAATGATTACATTTTCATTAAAACTTGAAATGCATGGGTGGCGCAAACCTATAATCCCAGCACTTGAAGGCTATCAATACGGCGCCCAGCTTATCCAAGTATTTTGCTTGAAATTCTCTCCTTTAGTGCTATGAATCCCCATTAACAGGTAGGGAAATGAGGAACACAGAGTCAGGAGTGGAGAAACATTGAGGAGTTAAGAGACAGAAAGCAGGCCATGGCACACTGGCGCCACCTGCTTGCCATGTTGGGACAGAGGCTCACACACGCAGGCAGCCAAGGGGAGAAAATTGCCAAGGCCAAATTGCTCAGCCAGCCCCTCCCCTCACTCTTGGTGGGAATGCAGCAGAGACGGCTTTGATTTGAGTTTCTGCAGGCCCCCATGGGCTTCACAGATGGACACCCACTCCAGCAAGTACCAGGCTGGAGGGTCCTTTCTCAAAGATGGGTGGACTGACCATGGAGGCAGGGACTTTGGTTCTCCTCTGCCCAGGCTCACCTCACCCACTGCATTCACCACCGGCAAGTGACGCAGGCCCATTGTTCTAAACAGGTTGAAGACTTGAGAGACGTGGGTGTTGGGAGAGACGGTGAACGGTGAAGGATTCATATATGGAGTGACATCCTGCAGAAGAGACAGCAAGAGTCACCTGTAGCCTGGGACACAAATGGCACAAACCAGCTGCAGGACCTGTGTGGCCACCTCAAGGGACGGTCATCCTCACCACGATCATTCGAGGGTTCAGCAGCGTCAGGTCCAGGTCGTGGATGTCAGGGTAGCGGGGGTAGTCCTCCGCCATCTCCGCATAGGAAAGGCGTGGCTGGCTGGCGCTCTGCAATCCAACAAGACAGTGCCCTTGCCCCAAGCAGCAGCAGCAGCAGAGGCCACAGTGGGTCTGGGCTGCCTGATCCAAAGCCACTTCTCCACCAATTCCTAGCTGGTTACTCTGAGCAAGGATAAACTAATCTAATCTAATCTCTGAATTTTTTCTTCAGCTGTAAGGTGCAAATGGACCAGTCAGAATGAGAAAAAATGCTAATAGTGGCTGTGGGTTGAATTGTGTCCTCCCCAAGGGCATGGCCATGGTCTAAGTCCTTGTACCTGTGTAGTGATCTTTCTGCAGAGGTCATGAAACCAAGATGAGGTCATACTGGATGAAGGTGGATCCTAAATCCAAAGGTGGATATCCTTATATAACGGAGAAGACACAGGGAGACCCCAAGTGGCAAAGACAAACCTGGAGCACTGTGTTTATAGCAAAGGAACATGGAGGACTGCTGGCCATCACCAGGAACTAGGAAGAGGCCAGGACAGATCCCCTCCTACAGCCTTCAGAGAGAGCACTTCCCTGTCCATATCTGGACTTTGTCCCTCTGGCCTTGAACTATTCAAGAATAAACTTGTTTCCAGCCCTTGGGTCCATGGTGATTTGATGCAGCAGTCACAGGGCAGTAACACAGGAGTGCTGTCACAACCCCTCCATTCCTGGTCCCTAACTTCCCCAGTTCTCACTGCCGCTGTCACAGAGCAGCACCACAGGCTCACAGGCCCAGCACAGTGACCACAAGCATTGGTCACTGCTCTCCCCTAGTGCAAACTGGCTCCCCCAACTCTACTCTGTGCACCTACACCTGCTTACAGCTGTCCTCATTGCACTCTGGTCCCTGTCTGCTGGGTAGTGTGTGAATTCCTGCATTTTATCAGGTCAGACTCTCCTAGACCCAACTTGTGTCACCCTTGGGCTACATGTTACTCTGTGTTCACTCCAGCTGGGCTGGTCCTCCCACCCCACATGGTAACTGTTCTATGCAGGCCTGTCAGATAGCAGCGGGCCTGTCTTGGGCACGGCCAGGATCCCACCCAGGAGAGTTACTCTGGACACCAGGTCTCTGGGGGACGTGCTCAGTTTAAAAAGTCAGCAGGGGAGGAGGGTGGTCTTGGAAGAAGGGACAGGGATCTCTACAGCCACACAAAAGAGTAAAGACAGCTGGGTGTTGGTGGCTCACACCTGTAATCCTAGCTACTCAGGAGGCAGAGATCAGGATTGCGGTTCAAAGCCAACCCCAGACAATAGTTCGTGAGACCCTATCTCAAAAATACCTAATACAAGAAAAAGGGCTAGAGTGGCTCAAGGTGTAGGCCCTGAGTTCAAGCCCCAGTACCGCAAAAAAAAAAAAAGAGTAAAAAGGACTACTGTGGATGTGCCAGGAAGGGGCTTCGCTCACCACCACACCAAAGTCCCTCAGACCATGCATGAAATGCACAAGTGGTATGTACTGCAGGCCACTGGGGCAGGGACTAAGTAAGGAGTAACTCCTCTACCTTCCTGTCACCTGGGGAGACACGGGGAGGGGGTGGGGAAGCACGAGGCCTGCACATGCCATGTGACAGCTGCCCAGGGACATACAAACACTCAGAGAATCACCTTTCTCTACAGGGACTGAGTTCCTACTACCTCCTGCCTTCCAGAACCCTAGAGAGACTTACCGACTGACTTTCAGAGTAACAAACTCCTCGGACAAGCAGGGTGACAAGTTGCGACCGAAGGATGAGGCCATGGAAGGTCAGGGGGCGGAAGCGCTCCTCCATGGTCCAGTCTTCACTCGGGGACTGGTCAGGATATAGGTTGGGGTAGGGAGTGTATCTGTTACACAAAAACCAGATGCTGCCTCGCACACCTTCAGCAAGGCCACTTCTCGCCCACATCCCTGGTGCTCTCCCCCAATTCTCAGCAAACTCAGGAGCTACCTAACACCCACTGGGCAGAGGGTGGCCCTATGGAGCCTGCGGGAAGCAGCCCATGGCCCTCACCTCCTCTCCAGCATCTGCTGCAGCAGGTCCTCCTTCTCAGCAGGCTCCTCGGAGGCCACGTGCTCGTCACACATGTGGCGTAGTTCACTGGACGGGTAAGACTTCATGGATTGGCTCCGTTTGCGCTGCTCGCCGGCCCGGGTAAGGATGCTGGATTTCTGGGGAGAATGTGGGGGGAGGCGGAGAAAATGAAAGAGGATTGCAAAGGACCCAGAGGCTATGGGACTTGAGGCTCACAGGTCCCAAACAGAGTCCTTGGACTTGGTCATGGACCCCATGGCTTTTCCAGGAGACTCCTTTTTTTTCTATTAGCATGTATTAAATTGTACACAGTAGGGTTTTCATCATTTCCATACAAGCTTATAGAAGCCTTTTGCAGTGTTGGGGACTGATCCTGAACTCAGGGCCTCATACACGCTAGCTAAGTGCTCTACCACAGAGCTACCCCCACTCAGCCTCCAATCTGATAGTTTCTACAAGCCCAATGCCCTACTGTTTTGATTTGGGAAGGAGCACCTCAGAGGAGAAACACCCCTCCTACATCCTGTCTTGTGGGACTGTCAATATATGTGTTGTGCCCCCACCCCCAAACCACCAAATCCAAGGGTGGACACCTAGAGGGTAATGGGTCTCACCCTCTCCCTGGCTTGCAAGTCAGGACCAACCAGAGGACAAAGACCAGCCAGTGCCCATTTCTTCTAGGAACCAGAAGGCACCGTAAGGCCCAGTACCTACAATCCCAGAGCCCAAAGCCAGGCTCTGCAGCCATCTGTCCTGTTACTCCACAAGCCCTCAGGAAATCTCAATCTTTCTTTCTCTTTCTCTCTCTTTCACTCTTTTTGGTGGTACTGGTGCTTGAACTCAGGGCCTTGAGCTTGATGGATGAGCACTCTTCTGCCACTTGAGCCTTGCCCCAGTCTTTTCGCTTTTAGTTTGTTTTTCAGATAGGATTTTGTGCTTTTTCCCCATCTCTGGCCTTGAACAGGGATCTAGCTAGGATTACAGCCCTATACTACCACATCCAGCTTTTCTTTCTGTTTAAGTCAAAGTCCCTTTCTATTGTTGGCAACCCTACAGCCCTCCCTGGTACCTGTACACAGTAGATAATGAATAATGAATAATGAAGCACACTGACTTAAAAGAAAAAGATCTGTCCACTTGTTTCCGGTGAGAAGTACATCTGACCTCATCTATCCAGTGACAAATTTATGCAGTCTATCACACATGAGGACAGTGCAGTTTTTCCCTAGAGCCACTGGGTGGCAGCACTAAGTGTGAGCCCTAAGAGCTCACTGGCCTCCTGCATGCCTCCTCCTTGGGCTGTCTTCCTTACCTTAAACTTGATGTTGTTACTGATGAGCTGGTTGCCCTTCATGAACTCCTTCTCATTGCCCCGGTTCTCAGTGACCACTGGGAAGGCATGGTGGACTGTAGTACGCAGGATGCTGACCAGAGACTGGATTCGGGTGTGTGGGTAGACGTAAGTCAGATTGGGCTCCATGATGTCACTGGCTCTCAGCCTGCGGGAAGGGAAAACATCCCACCTCAGGAGGGCGCACTCAGCACCCTAGGAACAAACTGTGTTGGGGAGGTGCTGGTTCTTGGGGCTCCCTTCTGAAGCAGTCAGTGCATTCCTTTGTGCTTCGCCTCCTTTGCACATGCTGCTCCCCAGGCCTGGAACACCCTCCCATGCTCTGTCGTGAAGTGGGTGAAGCTTTACTCAACCCTTGGTTCAATGCAACGTCCTTGTCTACCAACCCCTCCTTCCTACTCCACGCATATGCTATGCATCACCACTGGATGTAACTGTACTAGAATTGAAAAATCAATGTTGGGACTCCTTTAGATCAAGTGATGGCAAACCCTGAGTCACAGATCAGGTTCAGCCCCTCATTCATTTACACATCACATGCAGTAGTTTTCCTATGCTAACGGAACAGCTGAAAATATCTGCTGTATAGGCCACCACAGAAAAGGCCTGCTGAGCCCTGCATCAACCCACCAGAGCCTTGCCTGCTATGCAGACAAGAGGCCCCAAACACCTGTGGTACTGGGCAGGCCTTCAGGTAATTATGCTGGGTTGATCATTTCCCACTGTGGGACATTGGCTGGATGCATGTGGAGCAGGCTGCTCTTGTTTGGGCACTGTCTGCCCTCTGTGTAAACATTCAATCATATCACAAAATTGATTCCTATTTAGCCAAGAAGCTACAGGAGCCAAACGTTCATGAAGTAGCCCTGCCTCTATCAGCCTTCACCGAGACCCCAGGCACCCAGCCTCCCTGAGCTGCTCAACATTCCCAGACACACTGGGGAACGGATGTGCTTCCTTATTCCAACCTGAGAAATTTGAGTTACTGTTTCCTACCCTAATACCAATGTTTCTTAGGCACTCGAGCTTAGCAACTCAGAAACTAGGGCCTGGATGTCAGATCCTTACTTGTCCATTTCCACCTCTGTCTCCCATTCCAGGAGCGGAACGCCTCGCAGGCCCACATGGATATCATAAATGCCCTTATTAAAAAAGTCCCCTGTCCACTTGGCTACCTGAAACACAAAGAAGAGACCTGAAAGTAGGCCCTTTGGGGGTGAACTTGGCTCTGGGCCTGAAAGAGGGTAGAAGGGAAGTACTCACCATCAGGGTGATCATAATGGGAAGCCCATAAGTGATCTCGTTGGTTGACTCTATCAGGATGACCGTGAGACTGATGGTCATACGGACAACCCCACCCAAGAAAGCCGCGGCACCAATCAGGGCAAAGGTCCCGGAATAGATGTGGCCTAACCCAATGAAGCTGCCGAAGAAAGAAACAGAGAATGTGGCTGAGAATTCTACTGGGAGGGGGGCAAAGGCGGAAAGAGGGTGCAGGAAGGGGACACACATACTTGTGCTATGGAGGTGAATATGTGTGTATGCGCGTGCATACACACACACACACACACACACACACCACACACACACACAAAACTACCTTTTTAGGATGTTGGCAACTAAACGTCCAAAAGCAGCTCCACACAGCAGAGAAGGCACAAAAAGGCCACTTGGAACAGAAATGCCATAAGTCCAACATGCAAGCAGGAAATAGAGGATGAAGAACAAGGCCAAGGTGATGGGGCTAAACGTCCCTGCAAGGCAAGAACCGACCTGAGTACCCCATCCCATGCCAGCTGGGTCCCAGAAGACCTTCCTCCTAGCATACGGAAGACCTCAGCTCCTAGCACATCCTTCCACACCTAATCCATTCACCTTTTAGCACTGGAGGCAGAAATTGCCATCTGCTGTCCTGGCTGGCATTACAAAGGAAAAGCCCTGTGCTTGCTCTGGAGGAAGGGCAAGCCTGGCCACATGCCGTCCCTGGGGGTGGACGGCAGCAAGGACACTTACCGTCCTGGTGAAACAGCTGAAGGATGGCTGACTCCTGAGGATTGAAGAAGAGTGTGGCCATGTCATTGTAGGTATCATTGGGACAAAAAAATGTCTTGATACTTGAATTCACATCTTCTGATGCAACCTAAGAAGCAGGAATCAGGAAGTCAACACAAGGACACCTGACCAGGGTGTTCGAGCTGGGTCAAAAGTCTGGCCAGACAACTTTGCCTGTAGATTAAACTGGCAGCAAAAATCCACCAATACCCAAATGATATTGAATCCTCTACCATTAGAAAGCACAAAAACCACCTCAGCTCGGGGCTATACAACAAGCACTGCAAGGGCCATGGTCTGCTAACTCCTGATCCAACACATTTAGGGTAGATCCTGAAGAGGAAGTGGGAGCCCTCCAAGACAAGGACCCAGAGGGGTTCGGAGAGATTCAAGCAGCTAGTTAGGAGCCAACACCCGAGACCAGACCACATGGCTGGCTCTCAGACCCACCAGAGTAGAAAGAAGCGCGTAGAAAGTCAGTTCCCACACTCAAAGGCCCGGCTGCTCAGGGGAAGGGTATGGGAACTACTCCTTATTCCTAAAGAAGGGAGAGGGAGACAGGCAAAAATGACACCTGCCAGTAAATGAACCCAACCCCGCAAGAGCCAGAAGACGCTGAGAAGAGTTAAGACCACAGCTCACTCTGATGCAGACCTCCCTTCATCCTGGTCCTGAGAGTGACTCTCACAATCTAAAAAGGCAATGTGGTAGGTGAGGAGGCCCTGGATCAATTGGTCCCTGAAGGCCTAGGGCTTGGAGGAGGAGCAAGCAGTCAGTTTCCAATGAGTGCTGTTCCCGAGACAGCATTCCTCCTCCATGACAGCCAGACTCATTCACAAAAGTGGAGAAGACTGCGGGCATCTGTGCACACCGTCTCTCAGGTAGAAAGATGGCTGCCCATTCCTGTATCTCTCAGTCTGCTACTGGTATGGAACGATAAACTCAACACATCTGTAGCTCTACAGAGAGGCATATTTCTGGATGTAGGATGAAGGTAGCAGGGGTACCGGGCTTACCTGGAGCTGGAATGAGCCGTTGCCAACTTGACTTGCAGAGACATCTGTCGGCATTCTCCTAACACCATTGAGGCCACAAACACCACCACAGTGGTTACTAGGGACACCAAGAGACTCTCCAAGACTCTAGGGAGCAGAGCACAGCTGTCACAATGCAATAAAAAGATACCTAGTCTTGAGACTTGATATCCTTGCCTGCCCCCTGCTCTCCTCTCCCCATAGGACATTCCCTAGTCAGTCTTCACACATGTGCGGAATTTACCCCAGATTGGCTAGGTCCCAGCATTTTGCAGTAAAAAGCGGGTAGTCAGTAAAGTGAGCTGCTGCATCCACATCATCTCTCTCCAAGGAATTAACCAGCCTTTTACATAAATCCAAGGGCAAGGACGTCTCCTGATGGCCAGCCCCTCAGCAGGGCCATTCTGACCCTCCTGACTTTGTCACACGTAAGCAGCAGGTCAGGAGATAGGACATAAATTAAGCTCAGCCTCAGCCTCTTGGCCTGTCTGATGAGCAGGGTAGATTTATGACCCTGTTTACATTTTTGGTCTTAGATGAGAAAACAAAGCTTGTGTAGGAAGCAGGGTCTGTTCAGTGACCACGTAACTGTCTTCCTGGGGAGAGATGGCCCACCCACACAAAGCTCAGAAAGCCACAGCAGGCCGGGGGAGGCGACTGCACAGATACCTGACGAGCTTAGGTTTCGGGTGCACATTTCGCAAACGGTACTTTGCAAGTCTCTTGTTCAGACAGTTGAATGTGGCTCCCAGGAGGCCCCCAATGAACCCCATCACGACGAAGAAACCCAAATCCATAGCTGTCCAGAGATGACATTTTTTATCAGAGTCAGAGCACTGAGAGAAGAAGGGAGGAGAGAGAAAAACCAGAGCAGCCATGAGAACAGAAGAACAGGGAGAAGACAGAAACAAGAGTAGGGTTGCCTTCCCTTCAATAAGAGTCAAGGCCATGCTGGACTCCTGCTCACAGCAAGCACAGGCATGCGCAGGAGAGACTGAAGAGGCAGATGGCCTCATTAGAAGCTGTACGTAGTACCCCTGTGGTTACCTCTGTGTGGTCCTTAATGTAAGAGCAAGTGTCACAGTTCAAGAAATCCTGGGAGAAAAGATAAGATGTACCTTAAACTCGCCAAAGTTCAGCAATCCAGGGAGCTGGAAGGAACCCCAACTTCCAAACTGAATCCCAGAACGGAAGAAGTTGAGGGTGAAGGTGGCAGACATAGAGCAAAAGAGCTAGAGGACAGATGACAAAAAACAAGAACAGTTATTAACAGTGATACATCATCCTCTCTCCTGACAGTTCATCTTAAAACCCATGGCTCCACCTAAAGAGCTACAGAACCTGGGCTGGATCCGGGAGCTGGTAACCCAGCAGTGGATGGACTCAAAGACACACAAGTAAAGATCAGGCTCCAACACAAGCCTACCACAAGGGCCTGTTTCTCTAGAGCCTGCTGAAAGCGGATCCTGTGCCGAGAGGAAGGGGAGGCTCAAATGGAGAACACTGCTCTAGCGGGAGCGGGCTCTGAGTCCTGACCTTGTTATTCCTGCCTTACAGGGCAGCCACTTCCATACTTCTGCATCTCATGGCTCGTGAGGAGAGAGCAGTAGCAGTTTGGTTTGGGGTGTACTGGTTGAGGGAAGGAAAGTGTAAAAGCCCATGGCTTGGAGGTCTGGCTTCTACAGCAGATGAAGTGGACCCTCAAATCTCACCAAACAATGTTTAAATGCATTGAGCTGTCCACTCAGTTTTGGGGTGTGGTTATGTCTAGGAGGTGTTACCATCAAATGCTCCTCACCACTTTCCATGTGAGTCCTTGGTTCCAGAAGGATGAGCCCTCCTCCAGACTGAACAAGGTACCTCCAATCGGGGCCCCAAAAGCTGCAGCAACCCCAGCAGCAGCCCCAGCTGACACAAAATCTCGCTTGTCTCTGAGGAAAGGAGGGAAGGAGGAAGGAAAGGGGAGGCGGGGTGGGGGGGTAGAGAGGGAGGGAGAGAGAGAGAGAGAGAGAGAGAGAGGGAGGAGATGGTTTATCCAAGAAAAAGCCCTTTGCTGCAAAGGCAGTTTCTCACTTCCTATCTAGATAATAGATAATATGCCCACCTGTGTCATTTCTTGGCTGGGCTTTCAATCATGAACCATATTCATAGCCCAAGATGCTTCTAGGCCTTACAGCAAGACAAAACAAAAGTCATGGTCCTTTTGCTCATTTTCAGAAGAAAAATGCAAAGCTCCTCCCTTTCTGATGATTGGTATTGCATGCATCCTATTTGGCAAGGGCCACTGTGACTTTGGCTAGGACAAGTTTTGGGTCTGACAGGCAGCATATGAACATTGTAGCTTTTTTTTTTTTTTTTTTTGGTGGTACTGGAGTTTGAACTCAGGGCCTCACACTTGCTGGGCAGGCGTTCTACCACTTGAGCCATGTTCTACCACTTGAGCCACTCCACCAGCCTCACATTTAACTTCTTCATAAAAACCAGTTCTGAATGTTTCCATACCTGTCGCTTCGGAAATAGGGGAAGTTAAACTGGATCTTCCGCAAGGAAATGCTCTGAAACTAAAACAAGAGAGACAGTCAGAGAGCAGCCCACCAGGAAGGAACCTGCAGGAATCCATGGCACCTGGGGAGGCCCTTTTGCTTGAGTTCATCTGGGCAAGTGTGATGCAAGAAGGAAGTCTCCTTTGGGAGGAGCTTATTTTTCCTGTCTCCAAATTTCTAGACTCTCCAGAAACCACGCTTTGTGCACAGTCAACGAATCAGAAAGAAAACAAGGAAATAGCTGAGCAAGAGCCTAGGAGGAACCCAAACATGCTGCCTAAGATGGAGTTAGCTCAGTTCAGGGGATAATGTCAGGAAGAAAAGGCCCAAAGAGTCACTTCCCAATTGGCCCCACACACTCCCACACTAACACCACTTCATCCCTGGCCTCCTTCCATCTCTCAGCTCACTTCTAGAAGACCTGGTGCTGGAGGAAATAGCTCAAGATGAGAAGACAGACCCTGGAACAAAGAATCTTCTCTTCTTCACCTCAACAATGCACAACCACAGTAATGGCTCACAAGGAATTGAGACGTCTTAAGCCTGTAGCCTGGAAACCCAGAAAAGTGCTTAAAATGGGAGCTTCGGAGCCGGGAGCTGATTCCTCAACCTCCAAGCCTCAGTTTCCTCATCTGAGAATGGAGGTGACAATAACTAACCACTCCTTGTGGCTGAGAGGGAAAGGAGGTGTTCTGCACAGGATGTGGTACACAGGGAGCACCTGGCTGGCAGCTGCACTGCTGCACTATGTCAGACAGACTCACACAGAGCTGGGCCTAAGACCATACAGCTGATACTTCCAGCCCCTTGGCATTTGGTGGCCCGGAGGTGACCCATGAGCTATCCTCATGGAGGCACTAGGCAACAGCTGCAAAAGCACCAGGTGATTATCATTTGCCTATGTCATATCCCCCCGTCCCACCTCATGATCTATTTCTGCTCCTAGGACTCACAGGGCATTGTGAAAATTTTGAGGTAGAAGTTAGGTGTTCTCCCTGTGACAGACCACAGAGTTTTCATCTCAACTCCAATGGCACCATGACATGAAGTCATATTAGGGAGATCACAGTGATTGTTCTAAGTCCAACAACAGGCAGGTCCCTGAGCCTGTCCAGAAGGCAGTATCCAAGGGATGTCCCTCCTAGCCCACCAATCCTTACCTGAGGGAGGCCAGCTCCCACCACAGCTCCACTGAGGATCATGGGGCCTTCCTTCCCTACAAAGAGCCCTGCGGATGTTAAGAAAGCACACAGTCAGCACACAGGGCCTCCAGTTTGGGAGACCTTTGATATACGTGAACCTTTCTCTCGACCACTATAAATCAGATGAGTATGTGACTTTCTAGGAGAAAGACTGAGCCAAATTCCTTTCAAACAAAGTCCATTTAAAGTCTTCCTATGTAGCTGGGCCCTGGTGGCTCACGCCTGTAATCCTAGCTACTCAGGAGGCAGAGACCAGAAGGATTGTGGTTCAAAGCCAGCCTGGGCAAACAGTTCGAAAGACTCTATCTCAAAAAACCCTTCACAAAAATAGGGCTGGTGGAGTGGCTCAAGGTGAAGGCTCTGAGTTCAAGCCCCAGTAAAAAAAAAAAAAAAAGTCTTGCTATAAGAGGAAATACTCTTTACCCTCAAAATCCAGAGTCAGCAAACCCTAACCTTGGGCCAAGACCTGCTTCCTGCCTGTTTTTTGTAGTCTCAGTGCTAAGAATGGCTCTTACATTAAGTAGGTATATCTCAAATGTTATGTAAGTACCCTCATTATACCCACAATTTGACCTCTTGGCCCACAAAGCCTAAACTGTTTACCATCTGGCTATTTACACAAAAAGCGTGCTGGCTGTGCCAAATGCCAACTGTACAAACTAGATGCTCATTCTATTTCAAAACAGAATGGTGTGTTGTCAGATTTCTCGGAATGACAACACACTGACATTATCTGCATTTAAAAACCCACTGCCCAAAAATGCAGTCATCTGCTTAGGGTGGGCCCACCCCACCCCACCCCACCCCAACTCCCCCCACCCCCCTCCCCCCCACCCCCCCACCCCATCCCACCCTTCTGCCCAATCTTATCAGTTTATATACAGAATGCTGTGCCACCTTGCCCCTGGACCATGTGAAGGTAAGAGGAAAAAGAACCCTCTCACCTCCAGCCACACTGAACAGCACTCCCAAGACTTTGCAGAGCAGGGTCCGGAGCCTCACAATTCCTGGCACCTTCACACCATTCAGATAGCATTTGATCTCAGGTATCCCAGAACCTGCTGCCACCGGCTGATGGGGGACAGGGAGCACACTGTAAATTCGAAACCACTGGTTCTTCAGTTTACCATCATGGAGCCGGGCAGCTAATCAAGGAGAGCTCACTGTCTTTGTTGGCAGCACCGGCTTCACCTGAGGTCTTGTTCAACCACAAGGGCTGAGCCCCACCCCCAGGCTCCTGGCCCAGGGGGTCTCAGGGGGACAGGAGCATGTGCGTTTCTAATGAGACCCCAGGTAAGTCTGCATCAATCATCACTGTGGCACCCCACCTCCAGAGATTCTGATGTACGCACATTTGGAAAGTTTGGGTTCTGGTGTGGCGTGCTGTGTGGTTGAGAACCACCATCCTAATCTAGACGTTTCCTCTTTAATCACACCAGAGAACAGAACCCTTACTTCCAGAAATATCTCTAAGTGAACAAAAGGGCACTTCTGAAGAACTGACACATTACTGTGTAGCTGTCTCCTAACATTCTGGAAATGAAGAAGGAGAATGGAAGTGCAGAGGCAATTTCCAGCCACCTCACCTCAATTAGGACAAGAAGGCTCGCCAAGAAGGCAAAGGTCGAGTTAAAGCCCAAGAGTTCAAGGAGGGACAGAGCAAGGCAGCCTTTCTGGCTGCATTCTTCCACCGCTGCAGATGCTGGGCTAAGGAAAACAGGTTCTCAGCCAAGAGGCATCTCCCAGTCCCTCTGAACGTGCAGCTTCCCCTCTTCCATGGCATGACAGCTGCTCAGTGCACACCTATCTGGCCTCCATGGATAAAATTTTTAAGAGTTGTCTAAGATTCCATAATAGATAACCCTTAGATTGGAGAGGAAAAAAAAAAAAGCCCTCAAACCTTTCTCTTCTCTCTTCCCACTTGGAGAAAGCACTAGCCTGAAATTGTGCACTCTCCCCTACATACTTTCTGGGTCCATTCTGCTCTTACTGCACTGGATGTGTGCTCTACAACTTCCTCTTTTCTCTTCCTCCACAGGAAGTTGTGGAGAATTAGCCATATTGATGCACACAGCTGTGGCTCACTTATTTTCACTTCTATGGTATGAATGAACCCTAACTTTCCCATTCTTCATTTGGCAATTCCAACATTCTGCTGTCACACAGCAGCAATGAACACCTTTGGACACACCTAGGCTCATGTCTGGAAGAACTCAGAATTTACAGGAATGTGCAGCTTCCTGCTTTTCCCATAGGTCAACTGACCATCTTGTTTTCTTCCTCTGAGAGTTGTCTGTTCGCATTTCTGCTCATTTTTTTTATTGGGCCGGTTGTTTTTTTTTTTTTTGCAGTTCTGGGGGCTTGAACTCAGGGCATATACCTTGAGGCACTCCACCAGCCCTTTTTTGTGATGGCATTTTCCAGATAGGGTCTCTCAGTCTATTTGCCTGAGGCTGGCTTTGAACCACGATCCTCCTGATCCCTGCCTCCTGAGTAGCTAGGATTACAGGTGTGAGCCACCAGCACCTGGCTTTGTGGTTTTTTTTTTTTTTTTTTTGGTTTAGTTGGGTGGGTATTCCTGCACCAGTATGACACCATTTCAATTATTATATGTTAAATTTTCTAAGTCTTAGCATCTAGTAAAGACAAGCTCACCTGTATGTTGTTCAAATTGTCAGGATTACTTTAGGCCCTTTACTCTCCTATGCCTATATAAAATGAGTATTTTCAAGTTCTGTGATAAACTTTACTGGCATTTTGATTGGAACACTAAATTTATAGGCTGACTGGGGAGAACAGACATCTTTGTGACATTATGTCTTACTAACCATGACCATGGTTTCCTTCGATGGAAAGTTGAGTGGATAATAAATAGCCTTTCAAATAACATGTTTACTGTCAAGATCATTTCTAGACAAGACAAAACCTCCAGAACCACTAAGGAATACTAAGAACCGGGAAAAGGATACATGTTTGAACCACTCCAAACTTGAGCTGGGTGAAGAGTCGCACAAAAAAGTCCACAAAGAGACCCACCTGTGAAGAGCAAGAGAGCCGTCAGGCAGCCTCATTCCCAGGTGCAGTGCAGGTGGATTTCTCTCAAAACCATTGCTTTCCCACAGTGCATTATGGTGCTGCTCAAGTTAACAACCCGCAATGTATGAATAAACTTTCTGTTAAGTCACTCTGGCTTTTGAGGAAGATCCTGCCCCAGCCTAGCCCCATAGTCTCTCCAAAGAACAGATGAAGGGACAGCTAAGTGGAGTGAAACAAAGAAAAACAGAGAGAAAAGTATGCACAAAAAGCTGCGGTGGTTAGAGCAGTAATACTGAGTCATGTGGGAAATCACACAATTTCTAAAGATGGTCAAAAGAAAACTAGCCAATGTCTTCATTGATGCTTAGCTAGAGTATTAAAGGATGACATTTATTTGGTGTAAGTGGTTTCTGCATGTTTGTTATTAACATTTTATATTTTATCATTTTGACTTAGAACCACCCTATAGTCAATGGTACCTCTACCTGAGTAGAGAAAACAACTTACATCCCACTATTTCACTTGTGTAAGTGCTTAAGGGAGACCTAGAAAGCCTTCCGAACTTTTTGGAATCAGGTTCAAAGGCTTCCGAACTTTTTGGAATCAGGTTCCAAGGCTTCTTGCTTTTAATTCTGGCCTTTCCTCAAGCCATTGCCTACAGGTTTTTAACACTGAAGAAGGAAGGGGAGACAGAGCAAAGAGTGACTCAGTAGCTAGAGCTGCTGGCTGCTACATAATAAAAGGAGGTCTGCCTTCCTAGCATCTAAAGATAGGAAGAAAAGTTGCCAGTACTGGTAAATGGCAGTTCAAAGGGGTTTGATATAACAGTCACAGGAAGACTACATATCTAATGACTCTGCTTATTACAGGGAAATTTGCAACGAGAAACACACATAGCAAAACAGACACTTAGATCTGGTTGGGATTTTTTGTTTTTGTTTTTGCTGTGCTGGGGATGGAACCAGGGCCTTGTGCATGCTGGGCAAGTGCTCTACCATGTAGCTACATCTCCTGCCTAGGCACTCATTTTTCTTTTTTTTTTGGTGGCCTTGAACTTGCTAGGTAAGCATTCTACCACTTTAGCCATACTCCAAGCCCTAGGCACTCCAGATTTTAATAAAAGTTAAACCAACACAGGTTTCTCCCCACAATGATATTCACGAGAATGTTAGCAAAGAGGCCTGAACACCATCGGTCTCACCTAAATGCTCGATGGGAATTTACTACAGTAGAAATCTGATGAGCATCATGAAAATGGAGACTGGGGTTGGCACTTGGGGCAGTACTATGATCAATGTATTTTATCTTTCCTTCCCAGGGATCTCTTGGAGACTTAAGCGCAGACTTGTGGTTTATCCTGGACAGCGGCAACAAGCAGGCAACTGTTCAGGGAAGTTATCTGACCCTTTCTAACACTGCACTGATGGAGCATCGGACCTGACGTGTATCTTTTTGACTGGCTGCTGACTTTTCCAGCTTCTCATCTTCAGCTTTCATAATTAGTTAAGTCAGCAGCAATTGTCCCAGACCTTTTGCTACCACAATGTGGTGATGTTTCCAGCTTTCCCCGTCTCTAATCCACCTGTGAACTTGCAGAGGTCAGCAACCCTCATCATCCTGGTGAACCCCTCCACCCACACTTCCAGGTCTAACTTCCAGAGAAGTCAGCAATGCAGGGAGGGGCTCAGGACAGCATGACCTCAATATCTACAGTTTACTCTACTCATTATGCTATTTACCACTAGACAGATCTATTGTCCCACTTATCAGGGAAATTCTGGGTTATGATCCATGATGATATCGTCTGACCAAACCACTGCATGCGAAAAGAGCCCAGACCCAGGTGGCTCACTTCACTTCACTTCACTTCACAAAAGTAAAAGCAACAGCAGTAAGAAAGTTGCCAGGGTCAATAACGAAGAAAAGGACAAGGGGACGTGAAAGGCAACCTTAACTATGATGAACACGCCACAGTGTCATGTGACAAATGACAAAAGACCACTCACCAGGCCAGGGCTTTGCCTCTGATCCCCCCACCCATGGCTTGCTAGCTCCCCATGTCCACTGCTCACCAGCCCAGTGCAGACGCCAATGGCAAACACCACGATCCACTTCACCGCCTCGTACCTTCGCCCTTTCTGTTCACAGGGGAGAGGAATGGCTGTTGGTTACAGGGAAGGAACACAGCTTGGCCAAGTAGTTCTGGATGAAATTCCACACAGAACCCCACAAGCATGGTGAGAGCACTGCCTGGTATCTCAGGTGATTACAGGGCAAGAGTGATGAATCCTACAGGTTGGACCAGGTGCACCCACTGAGGACATCCTGGTTGGCAGAAGGTCTCTGGAAATGCCAGTATCTCATGAAAAGGTTCAAAGACCCCAGGATAAGGACCTTTACTGGGGCATTTAGAAGAGAAAATAAGCTATCTGAAGATTTACTCAGTCCTAAGAGATCGATGAGGGACTCACCTTATTATCCATGGTCTCCAAAACCTCCAGGTAAGGGTCATTGATGCAGCGATCATAGTCCAAACTCTGAAAGGAGGACATAAGTAAAAATATCACATCTGTGTAGGAGGAATTAGCAAAACCTAAACAGGGACAAAGCCCCAGGTTCCTGCTGCTGGACAAGAGGATGGGTGCCACAGCACAGAGCCTGTTGGGCTGGCAGCACCTGAACCTGTGCTTGAATGAGATCCCCAGACAACTGGCACACAGTGAGTTTAGCAGCAATGCTTGAGGGTAACACCTCATGCTATAGGGAATAGTTTTTTTTTTTTTTCTTTTATTATTATTCATATGTGCATACAAGGCTTGGGTCATTTCTCCCCCCTCCCCCACCCGGGAATGGTTTAAATGACATATTTTTACGTTTCTTGTTTCCACAAATTAGTTACAGATCTTCAGCTATCACCAGGCTTGCCCAACTTATTCCATTAGATATGAACGTAAGCTTCAATTAATCAGAACCAAGTTAATTTGAAAGTCAATCATCTTTTTTTTATAAGTAGCTTCTATTAAAATGAGGTTAGTCACAAGAGAAATTCATATGGAGACTTTTTAAAAGCAATTTCTGGGGCTGGAGGTGTGGCTCAAGTTCTAGAGAGCCTGCCTAGCAAGCTTGAGGCCCTGAGCTCAAATCCCAGTACCTCATTTAAAAAAAAAGCAATTCTGATTTATGTGTTCATAAGTCAGAAAAGGCACAGACTTAGCCCAGTTCCTGTAACTTCTATGACTACAGCTGTGTTCCTTAAACCATGCCTCGCAGTACACAGATGACCTGTAAAGAATTTGCAGGTGTGCCATGGACATTTCAAGAAGAAATTCAGAGGAAATAATTGTATTTGCTTTCTTATAAGAGAAGCAGTAATCTGTCAACAAAGAAAAATGGTCCACCACATGCTCTCTCCTTCCCATAATCTGCCACGTCAGCTAATAAGCAAGTGGACATTGGCCTGGTGGCCACTGTTCCAGGCAATAGCCTCAAGTCAGCCAAACGCAGGGGTGACATGTGACGATTTATGCCATCTATATGACTACTAGGAACAAGCCCAAATTCCTTTTTTGTAAAAGTCCTGGAGTAGCAACAAGTGATTTAATTATCAAACTTCTAAACACAGAAGACTGTAGCAATAAAATAATCATAGAACTTTATACAGACAGATATGGAAAATGTCCAAAACTTATTAAGAAAAAAAAACCAAGCTGCAATAAAATGTATACTGTAATCCCATTTGATTAAACAAAATTGGGATTTGTATGCCAGCATACGTAATGCAAAAACATCAGGGAAAAACATCTGTAAAGTGGTGTTTTGGATGTTCACATCTGGGTATTGAAATTCTTAACAGCACACATTGTTTTAAAAAAAAAAAAGATTTAGAATCTTCTTTTCTGATTACAAAATTTAAAATAACAAAAAATCAAAGTGAGGAAAATTCTGCTAGAAACTAGACTCATTCATGACAGATTAAACATGTATACATTGCATATTTACATACATATATAAACACATATATGTATATTTATATATGTAGGCACACACTTTTTTTTATACTGGGCTTGAACTCAGGGCGTCTGCTTGTTAGGCAGACACTTCATCACTAAAGCTACTCTGCCAGCTCTTTTTGTGTTGGTTATTTTTTTATTTATGTATTTTGGTGGTACTGGGGGGGGGCTGAACTTACGACCTTGTGCTTGGTAGGCAGGTGCTCTACCACTTGCACCATTCCCCTAGCTGCTCAACTTCTAAAAGTCAACTAAGTGACATCACATTCTAGGAACATACAAGGAAAATTACAGTGTGAACATCCTTCTGTGGCACCAAAAAGTACACATTTGTTCATTATCCAGTCATCTGGCATCCAGCTCCTAAGACCCTTGGAATCCACAAGGTATAATGAGTATTTAAGCCAGGGGCTGGTGGCTCATGCCTACAATCCTAGCTACTTAGGAGGCAGAGAGCAGGAGGATTGTAGTTCGAACCCAGCCCGGGCAAATAGTTCTCGAGACCCTATCTTGAAAAAACCCATCACAAAAAAGGGCTAGTGGAGTGGCTCAAGGTGAAGGCCCTGAGTTCAAGACCCAGTACCACAAAAAGTATCTTAAAATGACTGGTGGCTGAGCCCCTAGACAGAGCTAAGGCCAGTGCATGATTGGTTGGAACTTCAGTGACTCTTGGTGGTGCACACCTGTAAGCCCACACTCAAGAGGCTGAGGCAGGAGAACTGAAAAGCTCAAGGCTAGCCTGGGCTGCATTTGAGACCCTGTCACAAAAAAGCAAAAAAGAAAGGTTGGAACTTTCATCCCCAACCCCCAACCTCCAAGAAGGGGAGGGGGTGAAAGTTAAGTTGATCGCCAATGGCCAAGGATGTAATCAACCACACTTAGGTCATGAAGTCTCCATAAAAATAAGTCAGGAGCTTCCTGACTCCTGAACACTGTGGGAAGGAGGCTCCCCACAGAGAGAGCATGGAAGCTCAGCACTCCTTCCCACTGCCTCACTCCACTCAACCCTCCATCTGGCTGTTCATCTGAAGCCTTTATTATGTCCTTTACTAAGAAGCTGGTGAATGCAAGCAAAGCGTTTCCTGAGTTTTGTGAGCAGCTCCAGTAAACCAATCAAACTCAAGAAGGGGAGTGGGAACCCACTACTTGTAACTAGCACCTGAAGGGGGCAGGCTTGGGTGTCCCTCAACGTGTGAGCTCTTCTTCGATCTTAGGGTGGTGTCAGAACTGAGAGGACACTCAGCTGGTCTCTGCTGGAGAACTGCTGGGTGGAGAGTAGGAGGACAACCTCCACACATCTGGTGTCAGAAATGATGTGTGGAAAGTGAGTGAAAGGAAAATACTGTTTTTTAACTTGTCTTTTACCTTCATAGCAAATCTATGTAGAAGTTACTGGTCAACTAATTATTTACTTGATGGTCTTATTTAGTAATTCTATTGTTGAGGTTCAGAAAACACGCCAAAATGTGCCTCTCTGTACTGCAAGTTGAGAGCACCTGGGGAGCAAACAGCAAATGCAGTAAGAAGGCTGCTCCTCCACATCACAGCCAAATGCTGTGAGCCCCTCCCTAGACCACCCTTCAGCAGGGGAGATGTAGGAGACTGAAGCACGCACGACGCAGGAAAATCACTGGAGTTCACAGCACTTGTGGAGCCCAAACTTTGTCCCAGGCTACTGTTTGCTCTTCGGGCTCATTCACCTCCCTAAAAATCATTTCTAATCCTCTGAAGTTGCTCACATCCCCCTTCCCTCTGCCCTATGAAGAGGGCGTACAAGATTCCAATGCTCATTGGGTGCTTACTTTCCTGCCACATCCCGGCCACACAGTACACGTGTGGTTTGAGTTGAGTGGTTTTATTTCTCAGACTTGATCATCAAACCTCCATCAGGGAAAAGGAAAGGTCTTTTGCCCTATACTAGGGCTCTATAAACATTTAAGTGGTTTTCAGGTGTTCAAAATAGGCAAATTCATAGAGACAGAAGGTAAATTAGTGGTTGCCTAGAGTCAGAGGCAAGGGAAGGAGCAATGACTGCTGGTAGGTACTTTCTGCTAGTGGGTTTCTATTTGGTATGATGAAAATAGTCTAGATGGGTGCCAGTGGCTCACAGCTGTAATCCTAGCTACTCAGGAAGCAGAGATCAGGAGCATCAAGGTTCGAAGCCAGCTCTGGCAAATAACTCACGAAACCCTATCTTGAAAAGAACCCATCACAAAGAAGGGCTGGTGGAGAGGCTCAAGGTATAGGCCCTGAGTTCAAAGCCCAATACCAAATAAAAAGAAAGAAAGAGAGAGAGAGAGAAAAAAAGGTCAAATACGTGCAATGAATTCCTGAAGCAGAAAGAAGCATATTGTAGAAAGATTTTTAACAAGAGTTTTCTTTTTGAAACAAGGTCTCAGTAGGTAGCCCAGACTGGACTTAAACTCACCTCCACCTCCTAATGCTGGGATTATAGGTGTGCACGAGCCACCATGCCCATTGTTTCAAGGGAAGCGTTCTCTAGTTGACCCTTAAATAAAATCTGAGCAGACTTTCCTGACTGAATGCCTAACTAAATTGCTCTTACACAAAGCAGATGCTCTCTAAAAGCTCATAGGCCAAGATGGTTAATTTGGAAATATTAATGATTCACATGAAAGAACATTTACCCATAAAATTTATATGAATATGCATAACAGCTTAAAGCAAGTACATTACAAATTCAAGTGTAATTTAGAGGAAGGAATAAAGGAGCCTTGGTAAGGGAGGGGTCAATGGAGAGCTCCCAGAAGTGGAAGGAAGACTGAAAGACTGTCTGTCATGGTAGTACTTGGACTGATAGGGCTCAGCTGGGACAGTGTAAGATGATAGAACAGCATGGAGCATCTTAGGCTAGTTTCTTATGTACAAGAACCAAATATGAACAAGATATACAACAAGCACTTTTTGATTCATTAGAATCAACTCCAGTCAGGGTTAAATATTAAACCGTACCACAGTAGTGCAATTGGCAAAATATAGGGAGGAGAATATTCCAGAGTCCTAATTATGTTGCCAAATAAATTACAAGGAAAAAAAAGACAAAGAAGGAAACTATAGATTAAAAGAAGTTTTAAATGGGTGCCGGTGGCTCACGCCTGGAATTCTAGCTACTCAGGAGGCAGAGATCAGGAGGATCAAGGTTCGAAGCCAGCACAGGAAAATAGTTCTTGAGCCCCTATATGGAAAAAAACCCATCACAAAAGTAGAGCTGGTGGAGTACCTCAAAATATAGGCACTGAGTTCAAACCCCAGCACTGCCAAAAAAAAAAAAAATTCTCTATACAATCATGGCTTGCTCATGTTATTTCAAAAGCCACACAAAAAGTCACCATGAACTGATTAAATGGTGACAAATCAGTTTCACGCCATAAAAACTTTTTTTTTTTTTTTTTTGCAGTACCAGGGCTTGAACTTGTATTAGGTATTTTCAAGATAGGGTCTCTCGAACTATTTGTCTGGTCTGGCTTTGAACCGTGATTCTCCTGAGTAGCTAGGATTACAGGTGTGAGCCACTGGCACCTGGCAAATTTTTTTTTTTTTTTTGAGACAGCTATGTTGACCAGGCTGATCTTAAACTCTTGGGCTCAAGGGATCCTCCCACCTCAGCCTCCAGGGTGCTGGAACTACAGGAATGTACCATTACATTCCTCCACAAGTTGGCTCCACAACTTGTTAGGCAAGCACTCTACCATTTGAGTCATGCCTCCAGCCCTCAGCCCCACACTATTTAGAGTCCCATACTTGAAACTAGAAAGTACAATCAAGAACATTTCAGAAAGAAGAGAAGCAAAAGTTTTTTTTTTTTTTTTCCTTTCTTTCTTTCTTTTTTGGAGGCACTGGGGTTTGAACTCAGGGCCTCATGCTTGCTAGGCAGGTGCTCTACCACTTGAGCCAATCCACCAGCCCTAGCAAGTCCTTTTATTTTTCTTTTTTTTCCGGTCAGCATAGCTTCTTATTGTAGAACAAAAGAGCTCCCAGATATACTGTTTTCCCAGGTAGTATTCTTTTTTTAATTTTAATTTTTTTATTTTTCATATGTGCATACAATGCTTGGGTCATTTCTCCCCCTGCCCCCACCCCCTCCCTTACCACCCACTCCGCCCCCTCCCTCACCCCCCCACCCCCTCGATACCCAGCAGAAACTATTTTGCCCTTATCTCTAATTTTGTTGAAGAGAGAATATAAGCAATAGGAAGGAACACAGGTTTTTGCTAGTTGAGATAAGGATAGCTATAAAGGGAGTTGACTCACATTAATTTCCTGTGAGTGTGTGTTACCTTCTAGGTTAATTCTTCTTGATCTAACCTTTTCTCTAGTTCCTGGTCCCCTTCTCCTATTGGCCTCAGTTGCTTTTAAGGTATCTGCTTTAGTTTCTCTGTGTTGAGGGCAACAAATGCTATCCAGTTTTTTGGGTGTCTTACCTATCCTCACACCTCCCTTGTGGGCTCTCCCTTTTATTGTGTGCTCAAAATCCAATCCCATTGTTGTGTTTGCCCTTGATCTAATGTCCGCATATGAGGGAGAACATATGAGTTTTGGTCTTTTGGGCCAGGCTAACCTCACTCAGAATGATGTTCTCCAATTCCATCCATTTACCAGCGAGTGATAACATTTTGTTCTTCTTCATGGCTGCATAAAATTCAATTGTGTATGGATACAACATTTTCTTGATCCATTCGTCAGTAGTGGGGCATCTTGGCTGTTTCCATAACTTGGCTATTGTGAATAGTGCTAGCAAGGCCTTCTTAACAGGTTATGAATACATGCATGTTCTGGGCATCTGATGTCAGAAGCTTTGATTTTGGGCCTCTTTTTTTTGTGTCACTGGAGTTTGAACTCAGGGCCTCACACTTTCTAGGCAGGTGCTTGACCACTTGAGGCATTCCACCAGCCCCAAGATGTAAAACTGTAAAACTTTAATGGCAAATACATACTCCGCCAATGTTAAGGTACCACGAATCTAAAAAAGCATAAAGATACTAGACCTTGTTTGGGGATTAAGGTAAGTAAGGAAGGGACTTTAAAGTTAAACAGCCTCTTTGTTGGAAGGCCATTATCTATTACCCACTCACTAACCAGAAGGTCAAAGAGCATCTCTGATTGGAATTCACTGCTTCGGTCTGAAGTGACCATGCCATATTTACCCAAGAAAGCACCTAAGGATCTCACCTCATAGTCTTTCCTTGGAAGGATCTCATCCTCCTCCTCCTGTGTCTCCCCGAGGATGGTCTAGAAAAACACATCAACAGAAGGGAGGCTTTTGTACTGATTAGGAGTGGACATGAATGCAGAGGTATTTGCTGAAATCAGTTTCTTGCTAGCTTCTAAATCAGCCATCATCAAAAGGGGAAAAGACCTCAAAAAACCGTTTGGGGTTGGGGGGGCATGTAGGTGAGGATCTAGTCACCCAGTTGAACTCTTCATTTCTATTATTGTTGACTTAGTTCTTTTTAGGTTATACTGGGGGTTGCACTCAGTACTTGAGCAACGCCCTCAGTCCAGTTCATTTTTATTATTGACAATATATCCAATGCCAGCTTAAAGGGAAGAAAACTCGGGTTCCATCTGACAGTGTGCAGAATCTGAAAATCAGAAGGGCCCTGTCAACTCCTGGGCACAACTCAAGTTTTCCCAGGTTGCTTTGCAGGGAGAAGCTGGATTGTCAAGGACCCAGAAAGGAGGAGGGATACAGTGAGAAAAGACTGGAGAAACTAAGCCAGCCGCATGAGCACAAAGTCCTGTGAAGGGGCTCATTCTGAAAACGCTTGTTTCATTCAAGACTCCTTTAAGATGGAAATAAAAAAAATAAGGATAGGATTAATTGGAACTGGCACGTACTCGCGCTCAGATTCCAGGGAGGGGTTATGAGAAAAGACCTCAGACCTGGCACGCGAAGCAGGGCGGAGGCTTCCAGAGCCCAGGCTGAGGTCCCCAGGCCCCACCCGCGGCCACCTGCCGGCGCAGTGGCGCTCGGCCCCACCCCCGGCAACGCCTCTCGCCGTCCCTTGGCAACGGCCCCCTCCCCAGCCCGGCCCTGCCTGCTCCTTACCAGCTCCTCGGGGGTGCGGGTCTCACGCTCAACGCAGCAGCAGCACCACCTGCAGCAGCAGCATAGGGACCCCCTGCACCCCGCCATGTTCCTCCTTTACTGCCACTCGGGACCCCTCTGCTAACCCCCTCCCACCAGGGATGCGTGCCTCACGTGACTGGTCCCGGAGGGCCACGTGACCCTCTCGAGCTAGGGGACGGCGACAGGGAGTGGCTGCAAACGGGTGGAGCGAGGGCTGCGTCACATGACGGTAAAAAGACGGCTTCCCACTAGACCGCTGGGCGCAGCCATCTTGGAGGCGGAGCTTCCGGTCTTCTGCGCTGTGGCTCCGCCCCCTCATCCTGCCTCCCTGGCAACCGCCACCTGGTCCCGCCCCCTCCTCATGCGACCTACGCAGCCACACAGCTGCAGCGGGCCGGCGAACATTGAGTCTCCTGGGACAGGAGGGTGAGTGGCTGTGAGACCTGGGTTCGCCCGGGAGGAAGACGCCGAGGAACACTCCCTGGGGGCGGGGGCATCCTCGTGGGCGAGGAGAGCTGGAGGCAGGTCAGCCCTCTCGTCGGGCCCAGTGTAACCCCCAGTGCCTGCAGCCCCAGCGATCCCCATCTCCAACACGCTTCCGGCCCCCTACCTGGACGGAGGGATCCCGAGGCAGGGTGTTCCAGCCCCAGGGACAGGTGTGCATCCCCGCCCCCGCCCGTGTCCCAATGACCCGGTGACCCGATTCCCCTAACTCAGGCCACCGGGGGGCGCCGAGGCGACTCCTGGCCCTAGTCTTTTAAATCTGCTTGCCGGCGAGGAGAGAGGTGGACCGCTGGCATTGTCAACCCCGGAACGCACTGAGTCCTGCTGCGCACGGATATCCGCCGAGACCCCGTGCTTAGCACCGTCTAAGTAAGTGGTCAGTAAATGGCAGAGGGGTATTTTGAGAATGGAGTGACACCACCTGACTCCTTGGTTCTCAATGAGCGTTGACTGTTATTACTGTGTCCCAGACAATAGGGATGTCATAGCCGAGATACCTTGTCCTGGGCTCAGGAAGGAGGGGACACAAACTTGTTAACTCACAGTTAGTCTTGGGTACTACAGGAGCCCAGCTTAAAACGGACACATGGTGGTGTTGGTTGAAATTTGGCACATGCTGGAAGTCCCTGGTAAGCAGGAGGGAAGGCCCCTGGCTGCTCTGCCATCACCTCACTTCTTACTCCCCACTGAGAATCTGGGGCTAGAAGTCCAAATCAAATGGGCATTCCTAAGGGGAAACAGCATTTGCACAAGGCTTCTTTTCTGAATCAACTTGACTTTGGAGGAGTTCAGGTGTATTCTTACATTTGCCTGTGTCTTAGGGGAAATGAGCGGTGGATTTCATCAGATTCCCAGAGTCCAAGACCCAAAATGATTTAGTATACTGGCTTCGGGTGGAAATTCCCTGAAGGAATGACCCTGATGGGTCATTCCTCTGTTGCTCCACATCACTACACAGATTTTCACTATCCTATGTTTGCCTGTTGCTGTGCAAGAGTAGTGTTTTGTTTCGGTTTAAGTATTTGTCTTAATTTCCCCCACCAAACTGCCATATGGCACTGTGCCGTTGGCCAGCCTGTGTTTGTTGTGGCCAGGATTCTTTTTTTTTTTTTTTTTTTTCAGTGCTTACTAGGCTATGCCCTACCTCCTGCAGTCTTTTTCTTTTTCTTTTTCTGGCAGTGCTGGGATTTGAACTCAGTCTTGCACTTGGTATACAGTCACTCTGCCAGCCTTTTGTTTTTGAGACAGGGTCTTGCTTACTTTTGTGCCTGGGCTGGCCTCGAAACTTGAGATCCTCCTGCCTCTGTCTCCTGAGTAGCTATTGCAGTAGGCTGGCTAGGCCTTCTTATGCAGCTCTGCCTGCTATCTGTGGTTGCTTTGACTTCAGTGGTATGTGTGAGGAGAACTGCCTTCAGGGCAGGCTCAGATGACCCAGCCTTTGTTCTAAGTTGGACATAAGTTTTTGCCCTCATTGAACTTAAGGCTGACTGTTTTTGGAACCTAGCCATTGTTAAGTTCTAACCCACACCAGCACAGTCTTTTTTGGAGTAGAGTGAACTCAGGGGAAATCTGGCTGCTTAGTCAAACCCTGGCTCCTTCTACGCTGCACACAAACTGTAACTGGAAACCTTCAGGCGGGGCGGGTCACAGCCAGCTGTCCCTTCTTTGGAGAGGGATCCAGTGACCCTGAACAGGGGCTGATGGGAGGCCCCGAAGCCTCCTCTCCCCTGCTTGCATCGCCCTCCTTCAGTCGTCTTCTGAGACTAGGCCTAAGCCCTCCCTCAAGCCTTTGAAGCCTTGCCCCCGCCCCCTGCACTGCGGGCCCCAGCTCTAGCTCAGGGCTCTTTGTCACAGCTCCGCCCAGCTGGGCACGCCCGCCCCACTGGGGAAGGTTCCTCTATTTAATCTCCACTCACTCTGTCTAAGCTGACAGAGATGGACCATCGAAAAGCCAGGGTCCACCCAGCTGGGCCCTGCTGCACCTCCTTAAGAATGTGGGCTTCAGATACTGGCAGTGTGAGGCTCTCTGTGGCACCCTCCATCAGGTAGCTGTTGCCGTGGACCCATGGGCTGAAGGAGCTGTCTTGTTGCGGGTTGGAGGGGGGTGTCCTGCAAGAAGCCAGGCAACACCCAGGGGCCAAGCTTTAAGTGAGGCAGCACAGACAGTCCCCGCAGTCGTGGTGCGTGGAGCTGCTGGGCAGGGACTGGTCAGCCATATCCTCTCCGGCCTTCCTGCATGGAGTAGAAACGCAACGTCCCTCCCTTGAGCCTGCCTGCCACTCAGTTGTCTGGATGTACCTGGAGCTTGGCTGCCTGCCTTCTGATGCCCCCTGCCCCCACCCCCTGCAGCCGGAACCCAGCCATGGTGAATGAGGCCAGAGGGAGTGGCGGCCCCCACCCCCGCTCTGAGGGCAGCAGCAGTGGCAGTGAGAGCTCCAAAGACAGTTCAAGATGTTCCACCCCTGGCCTGGACCCCGAGCGGCACGAGAAACTCCGAGACAAGATGAAGCGGAGGATGGAGTCTGGTGACAAGTGGTTCTCCCTGGAATTCTTCCCTCCTCGAACTGCTCATGGAGCTGTTAACCTTATCTCAAGGTGAGCTGGTGTAAGGTTAAGAGGAGAGTAGGGGGGCATGAACTGTCAGCCCTGTCCCAAGGCTGCACTTTAACCCGGCAGGAAAAGGCAGCCACAGGGGGTGCAGGAGAGGGCGTTTGCTCTGCAGCCTCTCAATTATCTGTAAAAGTCCCTCCTGGGGTCAGATATTTTTAGACACACTCTCCAAAGGGTTAATACTGTTGACTGTTTGGCAGGACTCCGGATCATGGTGGCTTAGGAAGTCACAGGGCAGCAACTTGGAGGATGTGTGTTGAGCAAGTTGGGAATTTGGATTATTCCTCTCTTGAAATCTGCAAATGCCAACTGAGCAGCGTTAGCGCTGTAGGAATTTCAGTTCCTTTTCTTAAAAGTCTTTTACTGTCTGGGCCTCTCATGGGTGGCTCAAGGTTCTGAACTTTAAAGGCACAGGATGTTTAAATACACCATTACAGCTTTGTACACAGATGCTCGTGCCCACGCAAGGCTTTTGAGTCTAGTTCAGGAACTTGGCCTGGCTCTGCAGGACTGTTGGCTGCTGCAGTGGGGCTGGGGAAGCAGCACAAGAGAAACTTGTGTCTGCTGACCACCTCTTTTCTTTTCTGTTCGTAGACTGAGGCCCTGCCTGCCACTAACGAGTCCCCTCACCCTCGACCACTGAAATGTCTAAACCCACTCAAGATGATCAGTGTGTAGGACTTTGAGAAGTGTGAGTGAAACCATGGCATGGTTTCGTGTTATTGTTGATCACAGAAATCAGAATAACAGCTGCTCACATCGAGCACGTCTTTGAGCGCCCAGGCTCTTATTCTGAGTGCTGTCACGTTGTCTATAACTTCTCATGGTTATTATGAAGTATGTACTGTTACCTGCCACATCTTTTTAGCAGAACTAGGGTTTGAACTCAGAGCCTTGACCTTGCTTTACCATTTGAACCACACCCCAGTCCTTTTTTTTTTTTTTTGCTTTAGCTTTTGGTGAAGTTCTCGCATTTTTCACCTGGGCCAGCCTCAGACCAAGATCCTCCTATCTATGCCTCCCTGTGTAGTGTCTGCCACCACACCTGGCTTGTTTGTGGAGATGGAGTCTTGCTAACTCTTCCCCCAGCTGGCCTTGAACTGTGATATTCTCAGTGTCCACTTTCCAGTATATTACAGGCATGAGCCACCATGCCCAGCCCTTACCTGCCACATTTTTTGAGGAAACTGAGGCTGAGAGATTAAGTAATGTGCTTGAGATCACATAGGTAATAAGTAGCAAAGCCCAAAGATGAACTCAGTTGCTCTGACACCATCTTGTATGCTATACTTCCCTAGCTCCTGAGCCCCATGGGAAGGTGGTGAAGGGTGGTTACCCCAGGATCATCAGAATGACATCCCTGCAGGTTTGACCGGATGGCAGCAGGTGGCCCCCTCTTCATTGATGTGACCTGGCATCCAGCAGGGGACCCTGGCTCAGACAAAGAGACCTCCTCCATGATGATCGCCAGCACTGCTGTGAACTACTGTGGCCTGGAAACCATCCTGCACATGACCTGCTGTCGGCAGCGCCGGGAAGAGATTACCAGCCATCTTCAGAAAGCCAAGCAGCTGGGTCTGAAGAACATCTTGGCTCTGAGGGGAGGTGTGGTGCAGCAGTCCCTCCACTCTGGGTTTTTGCTTTCCCAAAAGCCTCTCCTGTGTCTGGAATGGTCCTTTACTTTCCCCAGACCCCACACTGACCATGCTTAGGTTCTCCTCTGCCTGTAGCATCAGTGAACGTTGTGGGGAGTGAGTTGTGGGGCACCACAGTTGGGGACACCCTTCCACCTCTCAGCCTGGACATAGAGTTTAGTTGGGGTGCAGCCAAGTGCCTGAAAACCCCCTGGCCTGGCTGCCCAGCTCCACTGATCACTGGCTGTGCTTGACTTGATCGCAGAGTGCAGCTCTGGTGTTCACCTAGGCGCACCTCTGGTGTCTACTGTCATCAGACCACCTGGGAGGGGGAAGAGGAAGTTGCTGGATGGGAGGGATCTTGTGAGCTTGGGCTTCCCCACTGTAGGACCACTTCTCACCTGAGATGAGCAGAAAACTCCCAGGAGACAGTGGGAGAGCAAGCAGGAGGGTGGGAGAGGGCGCCCTATCCTGCATGCTCCATGGAGAGCCGCACTGCAGCCTGGCATCCACAGCAGGGTCAGTAAGCATTTGACAGGCTGGCTACTGCCCTCCTCCCACTATTTGCCAGGCGCCAGGCTAGACTAATGTGGAGTCTCTGCCTTTGAGGAGCCTGCAGCCCTCAGTGTGGAACAGGCAGAGGGAACAGGCTCTCCGGAGGCTGGGTGAGACCCAGTAACCATGACTCCCTGCAACCCTGTAGACCCCACAGGTGACGAGTGGGAGGCAGAGGAAGGAGGCTTCAACTATGCTGCAGACTTGGTGAAGCACATTCGGAGTGAGTTTGGAGACTACTTTGACATCTGTGTGGCAGGTGAGTGGCCAGAGCATCCAGGTGGGTGGGGATGGAGAGAAGAAGGGAGGAGAAGCAGGAAAGCCTGCCAATATTCAGTTCCAGGATGTGACGATCAGGTGCGCATGTGAACCTGAGCCCGTGGCCACTGAGGGATGTGCAGAGGCAAATGACATACTGCCCCTGCACTCACCTATCACCCATTTCCCCCAGGCCTGCTGCCACACCGGAAGCTTTGTTCTTCCTCTTCTTCCAGCTTCTTCCCAGCCTCCTCTTCTCCTGTGCAGCAAAAGAGGGGTATTTATTAAGAGAACTTGAGGGAATTCCCCAAACCCAAGGTCAGGAGATGGCATCAGATGTTACTAGGCACTGGAATAAGTCAGGAGCTGAATCTCTTCCTCTTTCCCTCTGGGGCCACGGGGACCCCTGTCTCTTGCTTCCCACTGCCCATCTCCCCGTGTCCTCCAGCAGAGGCAGTGGGTACACTTTTCTGCACACAAGTCCTCTTTCTCAATGTATGTTGGTGTCAGTTCCAGCCCACAACCCAGAGTGATTAACAGTTCTGAATGTCAGTTCCAAATTCCCAGGAGAGCTGCTTCAGTCACAGCCAGGAGGCAGGTTCACCTACAGAAATGGCTGGGTGGCCTCCTTACTTTCCCCCACTCATTGGGATTAGGCCCAGGGAGTCTGTACATGCCATGGACAAGTAATCCTTGGATTGATTTGTCAACCCATGGAATGACAAGTTTTCTCAAATATTTTTGGGGAGGTTATACCATTTTTATATTAAGCATGGTTACATTATGGAGTAACATCTCAAGAATAAGCTATGTGGCTTCAAGAAAATCATTTGTCACGGATGACTTTGGGGCTTTCTCCCCAGTGCCCCATATCCATGTCCTCTGCTCTCAACAGAGCTGCCTAGGTGGCCAGGACTGGGGAGTGCTGATAAGGAGTTAGGAAAAGAACAAGGGTTTCCAGGCTGTTCCAGTTGTCACCGTTCCTGCTGGCTCTAATGCAGTTACTTGGGGACTGTGCACATGTGCTCCAGTGCTAGGTGATAGGGGGCTGTGAGTGGGAACTAGCAGAGCCTTGAACTTGCAGTTGCTAAATAGTTCTGTGCTTCTCTTACTCTGAAGTGGGTGCTAGGATCAGTGGATTAAAAAGCACTAAGCTGGTCATGAAAGAACAAAGAGCATAGTAAGTGAGCAACATTCAAATGTAAGCAAATGATTTGTTTGATGATACAGTTTATATCTATATGGCTTTAGAATTTCCTGCTGGAAAACTAGCTTCATTATGTAAGTGCAGAATTCTCATACCTCATTGTCCCTTCCACCTTGAAACAGTGGTTTTTATATCTATTTTTGATGACTCTGGGTCCTTCAGAACAAAACTGCCTTATCATAGTCAAGCAGCTTGGCTTCCCAACAGCTAGCTCAGACCTCACGTCTGCTCCCTGCCTAGCTTGGGACCTGCTCATTCTCAGACAGAGGAAGCCAGTGTTCTCCCTGTGGTCGCATTAAGGCCTATGGTCTTCCTGCCCTCCTGTTAGTCAGTTCAGTCACTTAGAGGAATGGGAGTTCACAAAGCTAATATGGTGTCAGAGGGCATCTGGTCCCATCTTCCAAGCAATCCTGGAACCCCGTCTTCTGCTTGCCCAGTGCAAGGTCATCCCACTGTGCCAGTGTTCAGACTCCAGGAACTTGTTTTGTAGGGCTGGAACTGACTGGTTCTTCCATCAGAAGCCACATGGGACATAATTAATGAGGAATTTGACCAGGGTGAATTCTTTTTCCCCAGGACAGACCTTAGGATGTTTGAAAGTAGATACTGTTTTCCCCACGTTCATTTCTTTAAGCAAAACTCCACTTTCTTCACAGCCGGGTGCTGGTGGCTCACACCTGTAATCCTAGCTACTCAGGAGGCAGAGATCAGGAGGATCGCGGTTTGAAGCCAGCCCGGGCAAATAGTTCCACGAGATCCTATCTCGAAAAACTCTTCACAAAAATAGGACTGGTGGAGTGGCTCAAGGTGAAAGCTCTGAGTTCAAGCCCCAGTACTGCAAAACAACAACAACAACAAAAAAAAACCCCCACTTTCTTCGGTTCTTCCTCATGTAATATGGCGCCTAACTTTTCACTGTCTTGGACTCTGAGGGATTTTAGGGTTACATCAAAACAGTGTTTAGAACCAGTGCCCAGAGTCAAACCCAGTACCCCATGTTGAGTATAGCACTCGCTCCTCCATGGCCACAAAGTGCAGCCTGATCTGCCTGGCTGGTTGAAGCAGGACAGTGTGGGGCATTTGGAGCAATCCATCCCCATTCCTGGGAGAATGGCTCCAGGACATCTCTCACAAGGCTCATCTTCAGGGTCTGGATGCATGAGTGATCACAGCTGTCCCTGTTTCACTTGTCCATGCTGTGCTGTTGGGAGGCGTGAGTGCAGAGCCTGAGGCTGAGGACTGGGCCAGGCACTCTGGTGCCTGCCAGCCTTTCCCTACTGTCCTCCCTATTGGCAGGTTACCCCAAAGGCCACCCCGAGGCAGGGAGCTTTGAGGATGACCTGAAGTACCTGAAGGAGAAGGTGTCTGCAGGCGCTGATTTCATCATCACCCAGCTCTTCTTTGAGGCCGACACCTTTTTCCATTTTGTTAAGTCCTGCACGGAGATGGGCATCACCTGCCCCATACTTCCTGGGATCTTTCCTATTCAGGTGAGGGTCCCAGAAGGGCCAGATTCCTCCCCCCACCCCACCTTCCAAGCACAGGCTCAGGGCTGGGGAGAAGTGTTGAGCTCATGCTGACATTCTTAATGCTTGTTACATTACCCATCAGACAACCCTGGCATGGCACTTTCTGGCCACCTCATTCTGGTTACCTCTAATTTCCAGCAACAGTGTCTGTTGAGGGACTTGTACTTTGGTTTACTGGCAAGTGTCACCATAACTCTCATGATAAATTTTGGTTAAGTCAGTGTTTCCTAAACTGGGGTGTTACCAAAACTACTTGATAAGCTTACACCAGCACTGGATCTCCACCTCTAGAAGTTCTGATGTAGCAAGCCTGGGGATCTGTATTTTACTTAAGTTTGACAGGTGATTCTGATGGCCAGTGAGGCCTGGGAATGGCTGGGTTAGATGACCACCCTGTTGTCAGCAAATACATCCAGGCTAAAGGGCCGACTTGAGATAATGGCAGGAATGCTGTGGGCAGCTTCTGGACTCTGCAGAGTGGAGAAAGCAGGACAGAGCGATACAATCTCACTTTCCCAGTCCCTCAGCATGACACTCTGGTTGGCCAGGAGATCTGGTGGAGCCTGGGAAATGGGATAAGTATTTAGGGTGAGAGAGATGCTGAGAGATGACCCCACAGCACCCTGTGTTTGGACAGGGCTACTCCTCCCTTCGGCAGCTTGTGAAGCTGTCCAAGCTGGAAGTGCCACAGCAGATCAAGGATGTGATTGAGCCAATCAAAGACAACGATGCTGCCATCCGAAACTATGGCATTGAGCTGGCTGTGAGCCTGTGCCAGGAGCTCCTGGCCAGTGGCCAAGTGCCAGGCCTTCACTTCTACACCCTCAACCGCGAAATGGCCACCACAGAGGTGCTGAAGCGCCTGGGCATGTGGACTGAGGACCCCAGGTGAGGGCAGAGGCCCAGGGAGCACCCCCAGAAGAGTCGGCGCAGTGAGGTTCCGCACTGCTTACCAGGCTCTTCTGTGCTGCTGCTGGCTGGGTCCCCAAGGCTTCACCCTCAGAGGGAGCTCCATGTGCTTTAAAGTCAGATCCCAGAAGCCAGGCCCAGTGGTGTGCCTCTACTTGGGCTCCCTCCGTCCAAGCTGTTGTCCTTTCTGTCTCCATCCTCATCAGGCGTCCCCTGCCCTGGGCCGTCAGTGCACACCCTAAGCGCCGAGAGGAAGATGTGCGTCCCATCTTCTGGGCCTCCAGACCAAAGAGCTACATCTACCGCACCCAGGATTGGGACGAGTTTCCCAATGGCCGCTGGTGAGGGCTGGCAGGCACTCCCTGCCAGGAAATCCTGGTGTCTGGGAGGAGGAAGGAAGGATTTCCAGGAATGGCTTCCTGGGCATAAGGTGACAGCTGCTCTCTGTCAGAAGCCTGAGGGTAGGAATGTGCCCTGACCTCTCCACACTCCCTGCCAGGGGCAACTCATCCTCGCCAGCCTTCGGGGAGCTGAAGGACTACTACCTCTTTTACCTGAAAAGCAAATCCCCCACGGAAGAGCTGCTGAAGATGTGGGGTGAGGAGCTCACCAGCGAAGAGAGTGTCTTTGAAGTCTTTGCGAGCTATCTCTCTGGAGAGCCCAACCGGCAGGGCTACAAGGTGAGTGGTGCTGGGGTTAGACCAGGGGGCTGTGACTGCCCTCCCTGAGCTGCCTTGTCTCATGTTGTAGACAGGGCACCTCAGCTAAGGGAAAAGGGTGAGTTGGGAAACCTACCTGGGAGGAGCTGATGGAGCCAGACAGGCTAGACATTGAGAGGGAGGGCCCCAGTCCAGACCTATCATTACCCTAGCTCTGTCACCCTTCCCCTACCAGGTGACTTGCCTGCCCTGGAATGATGATCCCCTGGCGCCCGAGACCAACCTGATGAAGGAGGAGCTGCTTCGTGTGAACCGGCAGGGCATCCTTACCATCAATTCCCAGCCCAACATCAACGGAAAGCCGTCCTCTGACCCCATTGTGGGCTGGGGCCCCAGTGGGGGCTATGTCTTCCAGAAGGTGTGGTGGTACAGGGTCTGCCCCACTCCAGCCATCACCCAGGGCTTCCCTAGAGATTGGGCCAGAGCTCTGGGCTTTCACTCCTGGGCTGTTTACTTTGAATAATAGCAAAGTGGGGGGTAAATAGGAGCTCCTACTTTAAATTAGATGGACCTGGGTAGGCAGGTCACTTGCCTAGTATAAAATGGCGTGTATTTTGTGTTCTGGAAGTGAAAGTGACAAAGCACGTAAAGTGCTCAGCCCATGGGAAGAACACAGGAAGCAGTCACTAGATGGGAGCTGTCACTGCTGTTATGGTTGACACCTTTATCCCAGGGCTGCTGGAGCTAAATTGCATTCTGAACCAAAGCCTGTGGGCCCTGGCCTCAGATTGGATTCCCAGCTGTGTGGCCAGCTGGTTCCACTTCCCCAAGCCAAAGTACATGTGATCATTCTAGCAAATGAATGTAAAGTACATTCTTTTTTTTTTTCTTTTTTTTTTCTTGGTGGCTCTGGGGTTTGAACTTGGGACCTCATGCTTGCTTGGCAGGCACTCTTAATGCTTGAACTCTACCAGCAAGCAAATGAATGTAAATAAACCCACCTTCCCCATGGATACGGTACTAGAGAAGATGTCAGTGTTGTCATTCAATGACCACATTGGGCCTCTCATGTCCCTTGTTTGTCAGACCTGCTGCCTGTCTTCAGCTCCCAGTGGCTTCTCTCTAGTGGCTGGGAAAGTTGTCCAGGCTGAGAAACCTCATCTGCCCCCTTCCTCATGTGTTTGCTAGCTCCACATTTCATCCTCAGTCCCAGGGCCACCTGTAATCCTGCTGTCCTCAGTGACTACATGTGTGCCTGTGGGGGCCCTTTCAGGAGAGTCAGGAGGACTGGCATCTGACGGGGGCTGCAGCACGTGGAAAGGGCATCTGACAAGGAGCAGAGGTTGACATGATGGTCACCCGTCTCCCACAGGCCTACCTAGAGTTCTTCACTTCCCGAGAGACAGTGGAGGCACTCCTGCAGGTGCTGAGAAAGTACGAGCTCCGGGTCAATTACCACATTGTGGATGTGAAGGTAGGCTGGCACCCGGCTTCAGACAGGGCTCAGCAGGGCCAGAGCACCTGGCCTGAGGACACCCACATTTTTTTTAACTTTTTTTGGTGATACTGGGGTTTGAACTAGGGCCTCCCACTTGCTGCTAGGCAGGTGCTCTACCACTTGAGCTACTCCTCCAGCCTGGACACACACATTTATTACTTAAACAATCACTGAACGCCTTGCCCAAGCCAGGGGTATCATGAAAGACAAGACAGATATAGACAAAACCAGGCCCCTGCTCTCACAGAGCTCCCAACCTATTGGGCAGGCACTAGTGAGGGAAATGAATGGAAAAATTGCAAATCATTGTTAAGTAGGAAAGTCAAGTTCAGTATAGGATGCTCTACACTGAGAGGAAGAACATCAAACCTGGGAGTTCAGGGAAGGTTTCTGGAAGGGGTCCTGTGTGACTGGAACAAAGACAAGTTGGCTTACAAGGGAGAAGGGCATTCTAGGGCAAGGGCAGAGAATGGGCAAAAGGCACTGTACTGTCTGGGGAAACTGGGAATTGGAGAAGGCAGCAGAAGTGCCAAGCGGGGGGCCAAAGGTCTTGATTGTCCTGCTTGGAATTTGGGGTTCCCTAAAGGCAAGGTTCTCCAGCAGTGGAGTAGCTTGGGTCCCTGTTTCATTTTAGGTAGATCACGGTGGTCAGCTCTGTGAGTAACAAGGGCAGAGAGCCAGAGCCAGGGAGGCTAGTGGGGGGCCCTATGCCCAGGTAAAAACCAGGCCTGCAGTGAAAGGAAGCAGGGCAGAGAGTAGGCAGGTCCAGCTGGCTGCATGTGGAGGAGAAAGGAGCTTCCCAGGATGCCTCTGGGTCTCGGGTTTGAGTGGAGAGCAGCACCATGCTCAGAGGTGCTGGCCTGGGAGGGCAGTGGAAGCGGCCTGGGAGTTTACCTGAGAGTCTCCAGGAACTGAAAGGCTGCAGGTGACTCTGCCTGATCTGCCCCTGCCCCTTCCCTCCCCACCCTTCAGGGTGAGAACATCACCAATGCTCCTGAACTGCAGCCCAACGCCGTCACATGGGGCATCTTCCCTGGGCGGGAGATCATCCAGCCCACGGTAGTGGATCCTGTCAGCTTCATGTTCTGGAAGGTAAGGGAACTGGGAAGGGGCCTTCCGTGCCACCTTGAGGACTTGGGCCAGACAGTGTGCCTGGGCCCCAAGTGTGGTGTTGGGGGCCATGTGTGGTGGTTACTTCTGGGCCAGGCGGGAATGGTACTGGCAAGTGGGCCTCCTGTGCCTAGACACGTCCTGTAGGGTACAGCAGAAGCCGTGAGTGCTAGTATGGAGCCCTGATCTGGGGGCAGCCCTGTTGACCTTGGCGTGTGTGTGTGTGTGTGTGTGTGTGTGTGTAGGATGAAGCCTTCGCCCTGTGGACTGAGCAGTGGGGCAAGCTGTATGAGGAGGAGTCTCCGTCCCGCATGATCATCCAGTATATCCACGACAACTACTTCCTGGTCAACCTGGTGGACAATGAGTTCCCGCTGGACAACTGCCTGTGGCAGATAGTAGAAGACACATTTGAGCTGCTCAACAGGCCTGCCCGGAATGAGCAGGAGACAGCCACTCCGTGACCCTGTGGCCTGACATCGTTAGCTGGGCCACTTGGTCTCTCCTGCCTTCCTCTCCGTCCTGATTCTCCTGGAACCCTTGTCTCTCCCCAACCCCTGGCCTCCACTCCCCACATGATAATGGCAGCTAGACTGTGGGAGGTGTTCCAGGCTCTGGCTGGACCTGAGACACCACATGGGAGCCTGTTGGTGCTCTCTGGTGGTAAGCACCACCCTCCAGGAAGACTGGCTGTTGCAAGCGAGCCCTTGCACCACGGCAGCCTCTGGGAGTTATCCTGGGACCCAGTGTGAACTTGGGGTGCTTGGGGCCTGTGGGCAGAGTGAAAACAGGCAGCGCTCACGCATGGTGTTGAGGACAGTATAGCAGAGCAAAGGTGCCACACACTTCCACCTCCTAGACACTGGCATCCGGGCCCAATCACAAGTTCTATTTGTGATCGAGCAGAGAGACACTCTGCTAGCCACACACCACGCCTCGGGATGGGCCTGGGCTGACACCTAACAATGCAAGTATTTCTTGCCACCTTCGGCCTGAGAGGCTGGGTTTTTCTCCCCTCCCCAGGGCTGTGCTTTGAAATGGTCATCTGTTCTGGTGACTGGAGGTAGAAGTGCCCTGTATGGTAAAGGCAGTCCTGACCCCAGTGGTTGGTGGGCCCTTGACCTCCCTTCTGCCTGTTAACTGTCAGAGGCAGAGATGAGGTCCACTGGATCGGGGCCCAGCTCTCCTGGATTGAATGCAGTCCAGCCCTCGCTCATTTCTAGGTAGGTGCTCCTGCCAGCTGGTGGCCCCTCTGTTCAGCCTGGCCTGAAATTGTCTCCTGGCACTCATCCCGGGAGTCAGCCTGCAGACTCTGCTGCCTGGAGCAGTGACCAGCAGGTACAGACCACTGCCGGGTCCTGGCCCCAAGCCTACTGGGTGTGGCTTGGCTTGATGGAAGGAGGCCTGAACCAGGTGGGGGGTGTCGGCAGAGTAGATGAGGACAGACAGAAGAGAGGGTTTCTTCCCTCCCCTCCTAGGTCCAGCTGCCTACAGCAGCCTTTAGGAGAGATGGAAAAGAAGCAGCTGGGATGAGGAGGGCCTTTTATTTCTTCTAGAACACAATTCAGCAGCAGTAATGGGATGTCACTTCCAGGGTCAGGTGATAAAAGGTCTAGCTTCTAGCTGAGGCTAGTTCCCTCACCTCCTTTAGGTAAGCAGATCAGGTGTTACCGTGCTCCCAGGTCTGTGGGGCCCATTTGTTGTGAAGGCTGGGCTCAATTCTGGTTTTTTATAACATGGGAACAAGTTGCAGCTGCAACTGGGCCCCTTGCTCTGCCCCAAGCCCACCACACCTGGGGCTTGGGCAGTTGCTGGCCTGCTTCCAGGGATCCTGGGGTCTGGCCTGCTCAGGGGACTCATATTGTTGCTGGCTTCTCTCCTGGGGTTCCTGGCTGCTAGGTGCTGGTGCCACTTCTCAAAGGCCTGGAATCAGGGAGGGGCAGGAAAGGCTGTTTGTCTCAGGCTCCTTCCAGAGTCTGCTCTGCCTGCTAGAGTGACACCTGTGCCCAACTGGGGTCCCCACTAAAAGGCCCCTCCCTCTGCCTCAGGCAGTCAGCCCATCCTCCCCCAGGACAAATGACAGGCTCAAATGAAAGCACAGGTACTTAAGCACTCAGACCCTACAGGGGCTGGCTTGAACGGCCATTGCCACAGGCTCAGCCTTATTGTTCCAAGATTGAGGGACAGTTACACTAGGCTGAGTTCATGGCCACCAGTCAAATCAAGGGCTCCAGCATCCAGGCTGTGTATGTAGAAGGAAACTGACCCTTGCACTGAAACAAAGGGACCCTGAGGTGGCCAGCAGGGAAGACCCCAGCTCAGCACAGGACAGAGATGGCACTGGTTTTGGAAGGCTGCCTGGCTGATACCTGGGAAAGGACCCAGCTGTCCTCTTCCTGCTGTAGCCGCCTGGTCACCTGCAGCTGCAGGACCTGCCTCTGCCACACGCTCCAGGCCTGCCTCAGCTGCCACTGTCTGAGCTATGGGGAGAATTGACAAAGAAGGCCTCATGCTTTCAGCAGCCCCAGCCCTTCTGCACTCTGCCACACCAGGACAAAAGGGTGTGAGACAAGGGGTGTCATCGGGGGTGCAAGCAGATGTTTCACCCCCAGTGTTTCAGACAGCTTGAGAGACTGTTTCTAGGGTTAGGCTGAGGATAGGATCAAGAGGGTAATGCACCCTGGGGCATCTGCAGGGTGGAGTGGAGAGGGGCCAAGCCCACGCACCAGGGCCCAGGACAGCCGCTCCACCCCTTGAGTGTGTACCCAGCTCTACCACGTCACTGCCAGGACCCTGGCCTGCTGGGAAGTCTGGAACCTGTGAAGCAGAGCCTCAAGACGCCAGTGCTGTAGGTACTTCCTCCTTGTGACCCAAAGCATTAGAGGGATTAGGACATCTTCAAGGCCAGGCCTGGGCTTTCTCCTCCCCCACATGCACAGCTGCTCCTACCCCAGCTTCCTTGGAGGGGTCTCCCTTTGGCATTGGAGGGCCCTGGCCTCAGAACTGCAGAGCCCTCTTGGTCCTATAGGAAGCTGGCTGGGAGCCCAGCTATGGCATCCGGGCCACTGCAGCCAGAGCTGGAAGGCAGGGTGGAGGGGTGGCTGTTTGTCCCCTGGAAATGGGAGTTGGGTCAGAAGAGGTTAATACCTTAGTTAAGAGGGCAGCTGTCCCCTCAGCCACCCAGAGGCTGATAATACTGAAGAGGAGCAAAGGTTCAGCCTCAGCCCTTCCCCCTCCTCCTCATCACCCGGGCCTCCAGGCTCCAGGCTGCAGGCTGCTACCCAGAGAAATAACAGACAGGAAGGAGAAACAAGATTAAGACGAGGAAGTGGGGTGGGGAATGCAGTGAACACACTGGAAGGATTGGCCTGAGGGCTGGTAGCCACCGGGGGCTGCTCTCATACACTGAGCCCGGGATGTGGGTGTGTCCCTCTGTGTCTTCTGTCCACTGCAGCTGTGTTGCCCTGTTGGCACAGGCCCTGCACCCTGTGTCCAGCAGCTGTGGGTCTGTGGGAACAGCCAGAGATGGCAAAACGGAACCCAGTGAGCTTGGATCTCCTGGGGCCTGTCCCTGTCCTTGGTGAGGCTCACCTTGTGTGTGGCCTCCTCAGCTCATCCTCCCACCTGGCTGGAGACATCCAAGTAGAGGGGTGGACTAGTAATAGCTGCAGGGGCCAGGTCCAGCCCTACCCAGGCCTCACTTCACAGAAGCAACCCGACCGAGTCCATAGACTAGGAACTGAGAGGAATCCGTGCCACCACGAGATGGCTTACTACCTGCGTGTGCCATCAGGTGAGGGCTACGTGGGTGTGTGTGACTGAGTAGGGAGCAGGGTTTGGAATTAGCTCCAGTTTCTTCATCAGTGTACAGAAGCCTTGCCTTTTGCTGACAGCAGGGGAATGAAAGTATAAAAGTACTACCAAAAAAGATCACAGCTGGAGGTGGTAATCCTAGCATTGGGGGAGGATGGGGACAGAGGCAAGACGACTGTGAGTTCTAAGCCAGCCTGGGCTCATAGAGACTGTCTCAAAAAAAAAAAGCCGTCCCATAACACATCAAGAAATAAAATATAAAATACAGGCTGACGGAATGGCTCAGGCAGTGCAGTACCTGCCTAGCAAGCCTGAGGTTCTGAATTTAAAAAAAAAAATACCCTGAGCCCTCAGAATCTGCTGTTGCTGTGACCCTGTGTATGTGAATTTTGCAAACCACCAAAGTTAGTCTCTCAATTCCATTTAAAAAAGCAAAACCCACTTTCATGTTTTTCTTAGACTCTAACATCTATCATATTCTTCCTGGCAGTCTGAACCAGATTCTTGGTGATGCCATGTTATCTTCAGAAACACCGTTTGGCCTGCCAGGATCTTTGGGGCTGGGTCCTTCAACACCATGTCCCCAAACTGCTGTGCAGGTTTTTTCTTGTGCCTGGTGGCCTCTTCCCTCCTGCTAGGCTATCAGCCTCTTACTACTGTTTGATGATGTTAGAACTAATAGCTTCTGGTCTGAAGGGAGACTGGAGGTTACCTATGGGTAGAGAGAATTACTAAATTTGGGGGATTTTTGTACTTTATATTTTGTGACTTTTTTTTGTTCGTAATATTTCCAATAAAGAAATTGACAAAAAAATTGCTACTATCCCCATGTACCTATCTTGCTCTAGAGTACACCAGGATGTATAGTGAGACACAAATTTTTCTTTGCAGCCAGACCTGCTTGGGGGTGACACCCTGGGGGGTTGGGGGAGGTGTTTGCTGATGTCCAGTGTTGTCCAAAGCCAGGAAGGCATCCAAGAACTGGGTAAGGGTGCTATTTATAAGGGTACTGAGCCCTGGAGATCCATCTAGCCATGACACCATCATGGCTGAAACAAGCTGATCTAAGGCTTGCCCTCTGTGGATGTCTTTAGGACTTCCCACCTCACCTGTTTCCAAGGGGCTGGGGTGTCCATCAGCAGCAAGAGACGTCCTCTGCTGGCCAGCTTGGGCCAGTGCCTAAGCCTGGCCCCCTGGACCTGAGTCCTCAGTTCCAGCCGCACTCTGAGCAGCACTGCCCTCCACTGAGCCCAGTGGGTCTGCAGGAGGCGCCTGAGCCCAGCCTGCTGGAGCTGGGTGCTGACCACTTGCTGGACCTGGCCCCGGGCTGCTGACTGTGCCCAGGTCTCTAGGACCCTGGTGGAAAAGACCACACCTGAGCTATCAGGCCAAAACTTCTAAGGGGAGCCCTGCAGGAGCCCTACCCCCAGTGCTCTGTGGGTGGGGCCTCTAGGACAAAGCCTCAGGCCTGTGTGTCCCCATTCTTCTTTTGGAGAATCTGGTTAAATGGGCATGAAGAATGGCAGGAAGGGGCAGAATGTCACACCACAGGGACAAGCATCCTGTTTAGGAGATGGACAGGACAGACCTGCCAGCTACATTTTGCCTCCCCTTCCCTAGCAAGAGTGCACACACACTGCCCAGTTGCTGTGTGTCTGGACCTGTCTGAGTTGCTTGCACACACCTGCAAGGCAGAACCACTAAAGTCCAAGACCCCCTCTCCCCAAGGAGCGAGAAAGTGGCAAAGCTGGTGATGGCTTCTCCCTGTCACCTAGCCAACCCAATACACTCTACCCTTGAACTCAAAACAAGCTCAAGGCCCACAGGCACTTACCTGGCACTCAGCTGCTGGGCATCATGGGCTTGGTTGCCCTGGCCAAGGCTAGACTCACGCACCCACGTGGTCCAGCACAGGCCTGCCCAAGCTTTCCCTTCTGCATGCTGCTGGGCCTCACAGCGACTGCCCAGGGCAACTCGCCATGCCATGAAGTCCTGATAGGCCCGGGCCCTCCTCCAATGCCTGTCTGCTTGGCCCTGCTGCAAACAGCTTCTCCAGTGCACCACGGAAGCCCGGGCCACACGCTGCTCCTGCGCCCAGGAAGCCTCCCGCCAGGTGGCAAACACAGCCCCTAGTGCTCTTCCCCACAGACTATCCTGGAAGGCTCCATGCTGGGCCCGGGTCACCACTGTGTCTCTCACAAACTGACACCAAGCCTGGAAGTAGCTGCAAAACAGGAACAGAGGAGGGGCCTGGCTGGCTCTGAATCCAAGGTCACATTTATTCAAAATGACACCTGCAAATGCCCTATAACCTTAGTGCATGGTGTATACACACAGCCTTGTGTCTTAAAAATGCCTTGACCACCAGGCACAGTGCCCATTCCTGTAATCTTAGCTACTTGGGAGGTGAGATTGGGAGGATCGTGGTTCAAAGCCAGCCCAGGCAAAAAGTTACAGGACCCCATCTCTCTTCTGTCCCTACTGCTTAATTTAAAAATATTCATTAATGAACCACACATAAGTTTCACTACAGTGACTCCCTTTAATTACAACTTCTGCATGAGACCCTGGATTTGAGTGCCAGCATCACAAAAAAAAACAACCCTTTTTTTTTTCAGTACTGGGGTTAAACTCAGGGTTTTGTCCTTACTACGTAAGCACTCTACCACTTGAGCCTTGCCCCCAGCTCTTTTGTTTTGAGACAGGATCTCAATAACTTTTTCCAAGTTGGTCTCAAACTTTCTGTGCCTCCCGATTTGCTGTGATTACAGGTGTGCACCTCCATTCTCAGTTCCAATTAAAAACCAGTTTTGTTTCTTTGGTGGTACTGGAGTTTGAACTCAGGACCTCATGCTTGTTAGGCAAGCACTCTATTATTTGAGCCATACTCTCAGCCCTTTTTATTTTTTAAATAGGGTCTTGAGTTTTTGATCAGGACTGGCCTCAGACCATGATCCACCTGAGTGTCCATCCTTCTGCCTCCTGAGTAGCTGGGATTATAGTCATGCACCTAGAACAGTTTCATTCTCTTCGGCCACTGTGAGGGGATACTCTGGGACTAGGACTCCTCCTCCAGCCCTATTGTGGATATCTGAGTAATTCACTTTTGCTGTCTCACCTGTCCTCCAAAGCTGGCTGACATGGCCAGAAGGTGGACTCATCAGGGCCGTAGGTGAGGGCAGGGGCCTGCCACCTACCACCAAACCTCTAGCAGTCATAGGCCTTGGTCTCCAGGTGGGGTCTCCCTTCATGCCCCCTGTTTCCTGGGTCCCAGGCCTCCAGCCTAGGTGCCTCCCCTCCCAAGTCCTTCTGTGCCCCGGGCTCCCTCCCTGCATTTCCAGGGTGGGCATGGCCAGCTCCCCACCCTAGGTCTCCCCACCTTTTCATTTGTCTCTGACGAGCCGCTGCCCGCTGCCAGTGCTGGAACCCAGCCCTCTGCAGGGCCTGGAGGTGGACCTGCCCCCACCTCTGGCACTGTTCATGCAGGAAGTGCTGCCCTGGGGCCAGAGAGATGAGGAAGGGCCACTGTGTGCTCACCCGCCTCTCCCCAGGTCCTGCTCAGCTGGCCCTCTGCCTCCTACCCACATGGGAACAGAGGTGGTTACCCCTACTCTCTGGTCTAAAATCTTCCGTTGATGGCGTCCTGCTGCTCACCAGGCCAACCCAACTCAAGGAATGGAGGTGTTGGGGGTTTTTGTTTTGTTCTTTTGGAAGATGGGGATGGAACCAGAGCCTCACTCACCCTGAGCATACACTCCACCGCTGAGCTATACCCCCAGCCCCTGGTTTAAGATTCTTGACAATGTGTAGGCAACACAGAATTCAGATTTTAAAAATCAAGATTTCCATTTTTTTCTTTAGAAACCAGAAGGTCTGGCAACCGTGAGCCAGCATGCTGATGGACGGGAACTGGGCTGGAGAAGCAGCTGTCCCCCGTGGACATGACGTGAGCTTCCCAAACAGTTAAACCCTGCCCTGGCCCGTGAAGATAATGCACTGGTGTCGTGGGCAACCACAGTGACCCGTGCTCCTGGCGTCCATGTCCTGTGTTGTGTGCCCACCTTGAGTGCCCGCCTTAACTGACCTGCTCCTAACAAACACAATTCAGCAGCAGTAATGGGATGTCACTTCCAGGGTCAGGTGATGAAAGGTCTAGCTTCTAGCTGAGGCTAGTTCCCTCACTTCCTTTAGGTAAGCCATTGAAGCTCTGAGGAGGAGCTTGGAGTGGGTGCTTCAGCCCCACTGAGCTTTTCAGCTGGGCTGCAGCCCTGGCTGGCCACATCACTACAGCCTTGAGGGAAGTGGGGAAGCAGAGGAGCCGGGCTCAGCCATGCCTCCCTCCCTTCCTTCTGACCCATGGGCATTGTGAGATGCTAAATGTCCATGGTTTAAAACTAGCAAGGAAAGGTGTGGGGGAAAGTAGCTCAGTGGTAGAGCACTTGCCTAGCATGTGCAAAGGCCCCGGGCTTGATCCCCAGCATTACAATGAATTCATTAAAACGAGTAAGTATTGGGCTATTTTGGTACATAGCAATAGGTCAGGGAGGCCGCTGGGGCTATGACTGTGATTTAGCTGGGGTCAAATCAAGTGCAAAGAAAACACCCTTTCTTTTGTCCCCACCTCTCTGGATGACCCTTCCTTCTCTGGCCACACTCCCAAGCAGCCTCAGCCAGCTTAAATTTAGTCCTCCCACCAACCTGGCTTGGCCTGTTCTGTCCCCTGCCTCAACTTCCCTTTCCACTGCTCCCCCAACTAAGTCTGCTGGGCTCCAAGAGCGCTCTAACTCTGCTCACCCTTCCCCCACCTCAGACCTGGAGGCAACACAAGGGTGGCAAGGATGGAGGTGAAAGTGATGGTAACAGTGGGAGCTGGGTTCTCTGCCCAGCACTTCCTGTGGATGGCCTCACAGGATCTCTATGAGAAGGGTGCTATGCCACCCCCATTTTACAGCCAGGGGAGGGAAAAGCAGGGACCCGAACCCAAGATTGCAGAGTCCCAGCCCTGAGATCCTGCTCTGCCACCCTCCTGGGTGTGCCCTGTGGGGTCCCATTTCTAGGCTGTGCTACAGCTGTGGAACTTTGGGTCTCACTAATGCACCCTGGTCCTCCCCTCACCCACAATTCCCCCAACCCAGTCCTTGGCTCACTCTGCCAGCGTGAGTGCCAGTAGTGCAGGGCACCCTGCACCAGTCCTCGGCCCCGCTCCTGCGCCCACCGCTCTGCCTCCTGCCACTGTGCCAGTCGCCTTCACCACAGGACCAGGGCAGCCCTGCAGCTCTGGTCTCGTGCCCAGTGGGCAGCCAGCTCTCTCCAGACCCCTTGAACTGTTGTCCAGTGACTCCAGCTGAGGAGGATGCTGGGAAGGGGAGTGTTCACCCTGAGGATGGTCAGTGCCACCTGTTGGCCAGCCCAGCCCTCCTCTATCCTCCCCTGAGCAGGAGGGAGGGGCTTCTCCCTGTTCCCATTGCTGGGGAGGGTGGGTTGCTTGAGATTGGAGAGGTCAAATGCCCCTCCGAAGGTCATAATGATAAGCGATGGAGATAAGAAGGGACCCTCAGCCCCCATGCCATGTCCTGTGCTCAGCCACCAGCCATAAACACTGTTATGGACAGGCACACTGCTAGGTGCTGTGCCAGGGGATGCATGTGCCCCTACCCCGTTGATGGCCCATTGGGGTGAGTACTACCCCATTTTATAGATAGGGAAGCAGAGGCCCAGAGAAGTCAAGCAACTTGCCCAAGATCTCAGTGAGGTGCAAAGCTGGAATTAGGACCCAGGCAGACCACTGTCAAGCACTGGGCTATCAATGGATTAATGAGTGAACCTCAGCCGTGACCTTTCCAAACAAGTACCCTGAGGCTGGAGGCCAGGCCGACTGGGGAGTAAGAGGGGAGTATGCAGACTCCAGGAGACGCTGTTGTGAAGGCTCAGGATTGGTGGGAGAAGCAGCTGGGAAGCAGCGAGTCCCCAGCATGGTGGGCAGTATGGCTCACCCTGCCCGGGGAGGGGTTCCTACCACCTCTGGAGGGTACGCCGGCACCACCTTGGTGTCCCCAGGGACTGCTGGGCCTGCACCTGCCAGGGCAGAAGACACCGCCCCTGCAGCCTCCAAGGCTGCCCATGGGATGCTCTCACAGAGGATGCGAAAGGAGGAGTCCTAAGTCCCCACCCCAGGCCCTGCCCCTCACCTTCTCCAGTCTGGCCTCCCCTCCCCAGCCACCGACCCCTGGCTCTGGGGCCAAGGTGGCCTTGCTGCTGACTGATGGGGCATCTGGACCCCACACCCTCAAGTGCCACCAGTTCAAGATGCTCCGTAGCATCTGCTGCTGCGTGCCCTGAAGGAAGGAGCTACAGAAAGGACAGTGAGTCCCCAGCCCCCCTCACCCCTGGCTATGGTGGGGCTGCTGACCAGGGTCTACCCAACCACGAGGGAGCCACCACGAGGGAGCCAAACTAGAGGAGGGGCTCGACAGACACTCAGATAGAGGGCCCTGTGCCATCACCTCCTGGACTAGCCACACACTGGGACGGATGGGGACTCCATAGCTCAGTGATAGAACACTTGCCTAACATGTGGGGAGGCCTCGAGGGTCTGTCCCCAGCACCACAATCAATCAATCAAATAAAAATTGATGCCTAGTCTGGTCCCACCCCTAGAGATTCTGACTTCTGAGTGTGGCCTGGGCTTCCAGACCTTTCCAGAGCTGCTCCGGTTCCCTGGTAAGCAGCTGAGTCTAGACTGATGCTCCACCTGCATCACCTGACTTGTCCTTGCTCTCTCCCAGGCAAGGTGGGGCTGTGTCACTGATCAGGAGTGAGCTGCACCCCACAGCCCACATTCACAGTTGAGGCCCAGGAAGGTCATTTCCAAACAGCAGCCGACCTGGAATTGATTGCAGGTCAGCTGGGCAGCCCCGGTGAGTTTGCAGGCGATATGAGCTATGCCCTGGTGCCCAAAGGCTGGAGGATGGGCTGGAGGAGGGAGGCTACATTCGGGTCATGGGAATTAAGTTCCAGGGCTGCACCAAAAGAGACAGAGGGTCCAAGTGGGTCAAGTGGGGGTGGACATGATGGATGTTAGGTACGTTGACTTTCAAGGACAGAATTTTTTCTAAAAGACGGAGCCCCTGTCTATGCTGCCCAGATTGGCCTCATCTCCATAGTCGTCTTGCCTCTGGAGTAGCTGGGACTACAGGTGTATCACTGTGCCTGGCTAAGGACAGAATTTTTATCCCTGCAACTGCTGGCTTAGGTCACTGACATCCCAGCAGGGACACCCAGCTTCCCCACTCCCAGCCTGGACTCTGAATCCTGGCACCAATGGTCCTCAGGAAGGCAGACCAAGAAGGTATTACTCTGGGCCTCCAGCAGCTTTCTGCTCAACCACTGTCACAGGGTCCTTGGGCCACCTCCTAGGCCTGGCATCTGCCAGCCATCACAATGCTGGGGCTGCAGGGAGGAGGGAGATGTGGTCTGTGCTCTCTGGGACACTGCTCTCTGAGTGAGCCTTGCTCACATGTCCACACTGTGCCCCTAGGTCACGAGCTCCTGGACACTCACGTGGCCTGCTGGTGCTGGTGGAGCCGTAACCTCCAGAGCTGCAGGGCCCGTTGCAGGGCCAAGTTCCGGCAGGCTTCTTGTAGGGAGCTCTGGCCTGGCTCCCAGGCCTGGGCCACTGTCCCCAAGCCACGGGCTCTGGTCGCTCCCAGAGCTGAGTTGCCAAGGGCCATGTTCCCTGAGAAGCAGTCAAGAGATAAGTGAGCCATGTCACCATGGGCCTCCCTCTGCCCAAAGCCATGCATAGCTGCAGCGTCAGCCTCCATCTTGGGGCCTCATCCCTCATGGACACTGCCTCCTTCCACCACCTCCAAACCCTTCCTTCTGGGGAGCCTCAAAGACCATGCTCCCCACCAACAGACCAGAAGCCCCCTAAGAGCAGGGCCAGTCCTTGAGTAGGACGTAGAACAGCCTACTAAGCAGGCCCATAGGGAGGAGATGGGACAGTCTCTCTCACACCCAGGTAGCTCATGATGGGGCAGGGGATGAAGCCTGGCTCTGTCCTGAACCCCCAGGGGTGGCAAGCTGCCCTCCCAGAACAGCCCCCTTTTATTATTCCCACAAGAATCCACGCATCCCACTGGGGTCCTCTGAGGAGCAGCTGAAGTGGCCAGGTTTGCTGGCCCTCCGGCTGGGAGGGAAGGGGCCCCTTCTGCCACCCCTTGCTCACCCATCTTCTGCCAGCAGAGGGCAAGTTGTGTCACCTTTGCCCCATCTGAGGTCTGGAGCTGCTTCATTTGGACCCACTGTCTCAGGCACTGCCTCAGGGTCCTCACCCAACAGTTGGCCACGTGGTCCCGGCACCGAGCCCCTCTGTGCATGAACTGTCGCCAGGCCCCAAAGCACCTAGAGCGCCAAACAAAAAGTATCCTTGAGTGACGCTCCAGCCACCTGCCTTGTGCCAGACACACCTCTGAGGCCTCTGGTCAGCCCTGAGGGTTTCTGGGCCTCTGTTTTCCAATCTGTGAAGTGGGGCAGCTGGGACCTGAACATACCACCTACTTAGGGCAGACACCATTGCCTCTGGGTGCCTGGATGGCCCCAACAGCCTCTCACCTGGCCTCCTGCACCCACCCTTGGCCCCTCCAGCCAGTTCCCACTTGGTGGCCAGAGTGACGTTTTCCAATCTCATGTAGACTCATCTCACTCTGGCTAAATCCTCCTGCAGCAGCCTGGTGGCTCTTAGGATAAAATGGCAACTCCACTCCATGGCCTGCAAGGCCCTTTGTGGTCTGATGCTTCATACTTCTCCATCCTCACCTCAGAGCCCTCAGCCGCCACCCATACTAACGAGACCAGCGTGACTACTGCACACTGAGGTTTTTTCTTTTTCCTCTTAAGAGTTGGGGATCTCTACTTAACTAGGATTTTTTTATTTATTTACATTTATTATTGCAGTACTGGGGATTAAATTCAGGGCCTTGTGACTGCCAGTTAAGTGCTCTACCACTGGAGTCATGGCCCACTATCCAGGAAAATTTTAAACTGGATTTCCCTGCTCACTCCAGAAGGTATAAATACACCCAGGATGAGGACCACCATTTTGAGCTTGTTGCTCCTACCTCCTGAGTGTCAGGGCTGCTCCTTTCCCCTTTCTATTTTTCCCTGCTTTGCCCTACCTTACTAAAAAACATTTGCTAAACTGAGGGGAGAGGCAAGAGAGACTAGGTTTTGGGATGTTGCCCAGGTTGGCCTCCAACTCTTGGGCTCAAGTGACCCTCCTGCCTCAGTTTCATGAGTAGCTGGGATTACAGGTGGTAATCACCACACCAGCTCCTTGAGTTATTATGCTCCTGTCAGAGGCCTTTGCACACTCTGTTCCCTTTGCCTGGTGCACTGTTCATCCTTCACATCACTGAACTGCATCTCAGTCACTTCCTGCGTTACAAGTTCTCAGGGAAATCTATACCAGGGAACGAAATATGCAAATGCAGGCAGTTGGGAACTTTAGCAGACAAGGAACCTGAATCTTCAGCAAATAAACTGCAAGGGGGGGAAATGGAGGGAATCCTACAGGTTAAAGGGACTTTGTGGGGCTGGAGGTGTAGTTTAGTGGAAGAGCACTTGGCTCTGGCTTCCACCCTCACTACCACCACCAACGACGAAAACAAAAAGACTGACCAACCTCTTAACCAATTTCAGCACATAGACTTTTTTCTTTTTTATGAGACAGGGTCTCACTGTATAGTCCAGGCTCCCCTGGAACTCACAATCCTCCCGCTTCTGTCTCCCAAGAGCTGGGATTACAAGTATATGCCACCACACCCAACTCGTGGACCTTATTTAGATCCAAGTTCAAACAAACTAACACAATGGGTGGCATTTGTGCACACACTGTCTGTTCCCCTACCAGTCATGGGTTCCACTGGGATGTGGAGCAGGTGGGCTGCATGACTCAGCCAGCTCAGTCACTGGCTGCTGTTTGGGTTTCTGATTGGCATCTCATCTTAGGAGCTGACTCCTGCTTTCCTCCACGTACTCTTACCTGCACAGCCAGGCTCTCTGGGGCCCGGAGGCTGCTGGGCCATCTGTAGCACATGGGCACCAGGCCTGGGGGGAGCTCCCTGTCCTCTGAGTCTTCTGTGTGGCCCAGGGGGCTTCCACCAGGACCTGCCTCTTCTGCCTGGCTTGGTCCTTCTGATGGCACCAAGGCTGTGGAGAGAGGGAGGGAGGGAGGAGAAAGATCGAGAGGCCTCCCCAGCTCTGAAGTCACGAGTGAGTGATGGTCAACTCCACACTCAGGCCTCTGGCGAGGAGCAGCATATCCACATCAGTGGCACACAAATGAAGTGTGGGCCCCTTTCATGCTAGGTGTCCTCATACTGTTCCCTTAATTTCCCTGGGCCCCAGTTTCATGAGGGTGACACTGCCAGTCTCAAATGAGAAGGTCTCTGAGACATTGCCAAACAAATACTAAGTAAACACTCAGCCTCTGCCTGGGTGGCTCTGTCCCCAGGAGCCCACCATCTCACCTGCCAGGCGCTGCAGTGCCTGAACGATCTGGACTCTCTCATCTCCACTGTCTTGTCGCTGCCCAGGCTGCAGTGGCACCGGCCCGGCTCCCCCTGCTTGCCTCAGGTTCCCTAAACTAAGAGGGAAGCTGCCCAGAGAGAAACCAATGTCCCCACATGTCCTTTCCAGTGAGGCAGGAGCCCTCAGCCTCTGGGAGCAGCAGGTGCTGAACCAGCCCCACCCCATTCCAGAGAGTTCACTTCATTCCTGATTCTCTAAGCTATTGCAGGGGTGGGGGGGGTCCACGTCTGCTTCACTCTCTTCAACACATTTCACTTTTCTGTGGTATGGGGGCCTTGCACACGTGGCAGCCACATCCCCTGCCTCTTACTAAGATTTATTTTTTACAACAAATATGTATTAAAATAAACATATGTATTCTCAAGCCTAAGCCCAAGGCCCAGAGTTCAAACCCCAGTACTTCTAAAAAATAAAATTAAATGTGTTCAGTTTTAAAATAAGAGCAAGAACAATAGCCGTATTAGAAATTTGGTGAAAAGAAGGAAATAACCAACTTTAATCCAAGAGATAAGCACTATTGCCATTTTAGCCTTTTTTTGTTTATTTTTTTGGTGGGACTGGGGTTTGAACTCAGGGCTTTGCCATTGCAAGGTGGGCACTCTACCACTTGAGCCACACCTTCAGTCCATTTTGCTCTGGCTATTTGGGAGATGGGGTCTCGTGAACTATTTGGGCTGGCCTCAAACCCCCTTGAAACTCAATCCTCCTGAGCTCAGCCTCCCAAGGAGTTAGAATTACAGGAGTGGCTCCTGTAGAATTTAGGAGCGCCTAGCTTCTTCTTTTACAATTATAAATGATGCTGTGATTGGTGGTTTTTTTGCTCAAATCTTAGTTAGCATCTGCCTGTCTCATAGTCATTCTTTTGTGAGGGAAGGGAGTGACTGCAGCAAGGCAGGAAGCTAGCGGGCGGGGCCACACAGGGGAAGGACACCAGCTGCCCAGCCCACCTGCATCTCTGTGCGTGGTGGCCTTTCTTCCCAAGGAGGGGCCTCGGCCCTGACCTCCCCCAGAAGCAGGGCGTCCCGACGCAGCCGGGGTGTGGGGTGGCCTCTGTTTCTGCTGCAGAGTCAGGCGTCTCCACTGAGTGAAGACAGGAGCACAGGGGTGTCAGCTGCACCTCCAATGCACCTCCCAAGGGAGCATCAGGGAAGGGTTCTTGGGGATCCAAATTGGGTCCTTGAACTTGCTAGGCAAGTGTTCTGCCATTTGAGTCACATCCCCAGCCCTTTTGCTGTTTGGTTCATTTTTCAGATAGGGTCTTGCTAACTTTTTACCCATTCTGGCCTCCAACTTTGATCCTCCTATCTCCACCTCTCAAGTAGCTGAGATTATAGGTGTGCACCACTACCCTGGCCCTAGCCTTAGGTCTTAATCATTACCCTTCTCTGCTTGGAAATGAAAGAGAGAAAGCAAGAATGAATGGAGAGATGGATCCCAAAAGGTAGGACTTTCCTTGACAGATAAAACCTAGGGTGGGGCCTTCCCAGAGCACCCCTTTCCAAGGAGGGATGAGCAGAGATGCAACCTCCCAGCCCTGGCAGGCAAACCAGTAATAAAATAGCACCCACTTGCTATGTGCCAGGCACAGATCTCAGTCTATTGTAGCTATTAATTTAATATCACAATAACTATCATTATCCCATCTTAAAGACAAAGAGACTGAAGTACAGAGAAGTTAAGTAATTTGTCCAAGGTCACACAGCTAGAATGTGATAGAGGCAGAATTTGAACCTGGACAGAGCTGATTCTAGTGTCTGGACCTATACACTCTACTGTGATCAGTTATGAGGGGCCACCTGTGGCCAGTGGGTCCTGTTTTGGTAGATTAAGCCTCCCCCCGCTCCCAGGCACTGACTCGACATGGAGACCCCTGACCTCTCGGAAGCTCCGGGTCAGCAGGGCCTTCCTGTGTCGCCCCCATGCCACCTCCAGCTGGGCCTCCTGGATCCACAGGGCCCACCGCAGTGCTTGGAGGCCTTTCCGCAAGGGCTGCCTGCGGCTCAGAGTCACAGCCGCAGCCACTGCCCGCTGTCTCTGTGCCAAGTGCCTCCAGGCTCTGAAACATCTGGACAGCAGCTGTCGGCTGGGGACAGACCAGGGCTGATGAGGGGGCTGAACCAGCTCAGCCATTCCCAGGGAGCAGCTGGCAGGGGACAGCATCATAAAAGTGGTGTCCATGTTGCAGCAGGAAGTCTTAGCTCACACTGCAGAACATCTCTCTCACAGAAACCCTAAACAAAAGGCTCCAGAGGCAGGAGATCCCCTGTCCCCGACCACCACAGTCCTGGTGGCCTCAATAGTCTCCAAGTCCCAGTGACCCAAACCCAGGAGCTCAGTCCTCGCATTCTTATAGAGACCCGTTCTTATGGCTCCCCGTTAAATCTCACATGGGAGAACTTCTCTCCAGCAGGCCTGGTCCCCAGGAGCTGTCCCTGGAGTGTGTGACCGCCCCCCCCACCAACCCCCACACCCAGTGTGGCCTCACCAAGCTGCCTGGGGTTCCAGAGCTCCAACACTTTGGGCTTTGTTCTGGAAAAGCAAGAGGACATGACACTGCTCTCAGACCAAGGAGCCCACAGGACACTACTGCCAAGTCTGCCTACTGGAGCCCCGAGCCCAGCCCTGCTCCTTGGGCCTCTACCTGCCAGGCACTCCTCCAGGCTGGGGCTGCGACTGTGGCTGGTGGGCTGAAAGTCTTCTTCTCCTCAGTGTTGGCCTGCTCCCCTGGGACCCTTTCTCCTTCCTGTCCAGGTAGGACTCTCTGGGCTGTGCCAGAGGAGGCCGAAGAACCAAGTCTGGGCTCTCCTTGAATGAACCTAGGGGTCCCTCTGTGCCTTCTGCCAAAAGTAGGACTTAGGGGACACTTCTCTCCTGGCCCTAAGGGCTGGGTGGGAAGGACCCCCTGCTCAGAGTCTAGGAAACTGCCACTCACCATCCCCCAGGTGGTCTTGGGCGACACTGGCTGGCTCTGTGCCTGGGAGTCTGCAAGTCCAGACTGGCCCTCTGGCATCTCTAGGAGACAGGCAGTTTCTTTGGGGCTTCGGGTGCATCTTTTCTTTTCATCCCAGGGAGCAAGAACAGGCTGGCAGGGATGGGGATAGGAAGGGGGTGCCTGGCTACTGCCAGGGTCCTGCTGTACAAGACCTGGGGGATCCTGGAATGCCCGGTACCCAAGATGGGCTACTTTGCGCTCCAGGTGGCTCACAGAGGCCAGCAGTTGACGGATAGCAGTGGGAGATGGGTCCAGACCTTGGTTCTGGGCAGGGACAGTCAGGTCCTCCAAGGTGAGGGGCTCCCCCACAGGCCTAGAGGCCCTGCTCCCCAGACCACGCCAGGGTTTGGGGCCTGGCTGTGCACACCCATCAAAAGGCACAAAGCACACAGTGAAGCTGCAGTCAGGGCTGGGGACATCTGTGGCTGGGGACACCTGCCTCAGGCAGTGGGACAGGCGAGTCCGCTGTCTAAAGCTATCCTGGAGGTGGGGACCGGTGGTCCCACTGAGGTCCAGGTTACTCTGCTGCACAGTGGGCTTTCGGGCCTTTCCCCAGGGCCTCCCAGCCCATGGGTGCACATTGCTCTGCTGCAGGAAGCTTGAATTGATCCACTGACCAGGATCAGTTGTGTCCTTTAGGGCTAGGCCCAGGTGGGGACTCAAGTTGACCAGGTTGGTCTGGACTTGGCGGGGCTCTTGGCACAGCACTGTCCCTGAGGAGGGGATGGCAGTGGGCCCTCTGCACACAGCCTGGCACACAGGCACCTGCCAGCCATGTCCACAGCCCTGGCTGACTTCCAGGCTCCTCCGGAGTGTCCACTGTTCTACAGAAAGGAGAGACAGTCATGCTGTGGGTGGGGGTGGGGGAAACCTGACAATCAGCTCTCAGGTGGGATGGCCAGGCCCCAAGTGGGAAGGAGCCAGGGCTTTAGTTCTGTCTCCCTGGGTAGATGGATACATGGCCCCTGGAGGTCTTGGAGCAGAGCGGTGACATGGTTTGACAAGAGGCCTGACTGGATGGAGCACTGATGGGGAGGAAACAGTGGGGCAGAAGACACGGAGGGGGAGAGATGAGGGTGACAGGGATCAGGGTGGGGTTGGGGTAGATTCAGGATAGCTGTGAAACCTGAGGCAATGGGCTGAGGAGGAGAGGGGGTTAAAGGAAGAGGAGTTGAGCAGAGGTGACCAGGGCTGCAGACTAGGGTTAAGTGGCTTGTGTGAGAAGCTCAGGGAAACTTGGAGCCCTTCGCCAGTCCCCAGGTCCCTGCCACCCCGCCACCACATGCAGAGCACTCTGGGAAATGGTGAGGTGCCTGAAAGGCTCTCAGCATAGGGCCTGGCAGGTACAGTGGACCACAAAAATGGCCACCTTTGTGGATAGGACAGAAGCTCAGAGAGGCTAAGCAACTTGCCCCATGACCACACAGCTGAGAACAGGAAGAAGCTGGGATGGGAATCAGAGTTTGAATTTGTTCTTGGGCTGTTCCACCTAGGGGTTCCCACCCATTACTCCAACACAGCCTGGCCAGTGGAGCCCAGCTTGGCCAGGGGCAGCACCCAATTACACTTCTGGTCCAGGCTCTTCCTGCCTTCGCTCACCCAGGATGTGTGCCTGAGATCCTCCCTCTGAGACCCCTCCATGGAACCAAGATGGGACTCCGCAGCCATCCTGGGAAGTGACTCTGGAGGGGATCCCCTCCGGCAACTATCTGCCCATGTCCACTAAGCCTCTTGCCTGGCTTCAGGGAACCCGCAGGCCTTGGGGGCACATTTTCCCTGTGGCTGCTGACAGGTCTGTGCTCCATGGGCTGAGGGACAGCTGCATTCTTGGTTCACACCACAATCTGCTGTCTGGCCTCTTCAATCAGATGGGGTGGGCTGGGGGGTGTGACTCTGTAGCAGTGCAGGAGGCCCTGGGTTCTACTCCAGCACAGGTGGGGGGAAGTAGAGGGAGGTAAGGTGAGCTCTGTAGGGAGAGGACAGTGTGCCCTGGTCACATCTCTCTGGTCCCCACCCTCACCCTTGAGTGGCACCCTGGCTGCCCTGGGTGTGGCCCTCTGCTCATCATAACTTTTTTTCCTTCCTTTTATGAGACTGTCTCACTACATAGCCCAGGTTGGCCTTGAACTCTCAATCCTCCTGTCTCACCTTTCCATCCATTGCCATTGCCTGGTATCCTTTGACCCACTCTTTCTAACGCTGACCACAGACCCTGGCTGTCCCCTGGGGACACAGCTGCCAGGGAACCTCTCTCAGGGGGCCTGGAGGAGGGCTACTTCCAGACTATCCCCTCTCTCCTTTCTGAAACACTCAGCTCTGCATCCTGGTCACTTTCCCAGCACCCACCTGTCTCAGTTCTTGGTGATGTCACCATCTACATGGAGTCCTCTCAGACTCCTTCACTCTCTTCTCTCACCATCTTGTCCTCAGTAACCTGCTCCCATGGTCCCCTGCCTATCTCTCCAGTCAAGCCCCGCCAGTGCCTCAATTTCCACCAGTCCTACCCTTTGCCCCCACCTACTTTCATTTTCTTTTCTCCTTTGGCAGCTTATCTATCAAGCACATATCACTGACCAGGTGTGGTGGCTCATACCTGTAATCCCAGCTCCTTGGGAGGTGGAGACTTGGAGGATTGTGGCTCAAGGCCAGCCCAGGCCAAAAGTTAGGGAGACACCCATATCAATCAATGAGATGGGCAAGGTATTTCAAATCTGTAATCCTAGCTACTTGGGAGACTGTAGGTAAAAGGATTATGGTCTGCCTGGGGCAAAAACTTGAGACTCTGCTAGACAAACAACTAAAGCAAAAAAGGGCTGGGGCATGGCTCAAGTGGTACAATGTGTGCTAGCAAGTGTGAGACCCTGAGTCCTGAGTTCAAATTCCAGTACTACCAAAAAAAATAAAAAAAGAGCATGTATCACCCCTTTCCACCTTCTCAGCTGCACTCGCATTGCCTGAAGGTTCACCTTGCCTGTACCTGCAGACAAAAGTGGTCAGAACCACTCCCACTTTTCTGCCTGGCTCCAGAATCCCCACCTCCAACCTCTCATGGGCCCCAAAGGCTGCTCCAGTCCCTTCCCTCGGGGACATGCATCCTCTGTCCTCAGACCTCTGCTACCCCTCCTCTACCCCCTCAGCAGATGTGCCCATGGCCTCCCCTGAGGACAGCTGACCACGGTCCAGTGCCCAGCCTTCCCCCTCCTACTGTAGGGCCTTCCTATCTCACCTACCCAAGGGCAGCACCCAGGCCTGGAGGTGCCCTGCTGTGTGTGAGGAAAAGCACCCAGGGCACCCAGGGCCCCATGGCAGACTGAGCCCAGCACCAGGCCTTCTCGTCACCCCCAGATCCCAAATTCCTCCCCACCTGGCCCCTGTTGGTCTCATTTCAAGCTGGCTTCCCACCCTCAATCTGCGCTCCTGAGCTGACCTCCACTGCTCAGGCCTCAACTCTCACTGTCTCCAGGCCTTGGGGGCCTTGGACAAGGTGGTCTCGGGCTTCCCTGCTCTGACCCTGTCTCCCTGCTTCTGCCTCGTCCCCACCTGGCAGTCCCTCCCCAACAGTGGCCACTGTGTAGCCAGATCCCAGATCACGGCCAGCCCCAATGTGAACATCCCAAAGACTCCCTGCCATCTGATGCCCCTAGGAAAGTTTTCAGGCTCTGTGGCAGGATGGGCAAACCATGAGCTGGGCTGGTGGCTTGTTACCTAATGTTTTACTGAACAAAGCCAGGCCCATTTGTTTATGGACTGATAGCTTTCAGCAGCTTTGGCAGAGCTGAATAAATAGTTGCCCGCATACCTTAAGACCCACACAACCTAAAACACTTACTCTCTGACCTTTAAGAACAGTGTGTTGGCCAGGTGTGGTGGTGCACACCTGTAATCTCAGCACTTTCCCAGGCCAGCCTGAATTACATAGACCCTGTTTCAAAAAAATAAGACAAAAAGAACAGCTTGCTAGCCCCTACTCCCTTACCAACCTCACCCCTTCTGTCCACCTTACTCACTCACTTACTCCACTCCAAACATACTAGCCTCTTAGCTGCTTCTTCCCACCCTAGGGCCTTTGCACTTGCTGTTCCCTCTCTCCCTCCTCTTCCCATCAAAGGAACTTATGACCCCTCTCCCTCATGCCTTAAGACCTGCCTCAAACATCACAGCACTCCCTTCCTTTGCCACTCTGTCCAACTGCAGCACTCTACCTGTTTCTTCCCCTCTTTTCCCTGCATTATTTTCCTCCACGTAAGGAAGAAATGATTGTTTTTCTCCCAGTGTACTGAGTCATCATGAGGACAGGTCATTTTATCTTTCCCCTGCTGTGTTTGCAGCACATGGAACAAACAGCCTGTCATATGGACAGGTGCTTACAGTCTAAACACACTATGCTTTAGCTCAGCCCTTACCAGGGATCCTGCTTTTTAATCCACACCGCAGCCCTAAAATTTAGGTTTCCAGTTTTAGAAATACGGATATTGGGGCTTAAATGAACCTCCTGCCCAGCTCAAGGATTAGGGCTGACTTCTAACCACGGATGCCCTCCCCCTACTTCTTGCCAAACCTGATTGGAGACAGCTCAATCCACAAGACCTTTTCCTACCTTCCCAGGCCTGGGCTCATTGTCCATCTCCTTTGCCCCCTCTGCAAACCATCCATGCCCTCTTAAGGACACTCAAAGCCTCCCTCCTCTTCCCACCAAGGGAGCCTGAGGCCAGTTTCCTGCTCTTCTGACCTGCCCTCACGTGCATCAGTTTTCCTTGGGTCCTCCTTCATCCAGTCCGGCCTGACCCGCGCAGATGTAGGGTAAGAGCAGAGCGCGTCAGGCCCCCGTGCCGGCCCCGCCCCCGCGCCAGCCTGCAGGGCGGTCCCCGGTGTCTGCGCACTGCCCCGAGGTTCTGACACCGCTCCTGCGCTTGCGGTTGCAAGGCACGTATCCCAGAACAAACTTGTGCAAGTGCACGTAGTCTTCCAGCCTCAGGTCCCTGCAAAGCTGGCTGGAATCCACCCTCCACTCCTCCGCGTGAGCTTGCCCCGTCACACTTCTCACAAGGCTCCAAAGCTCCCTGCATTTTCCACGTAGCAAGCCTTTGCCGTGGACTCTGTCCAGATCGTATGCTTTCTCCTTTCTCAACGCCGCGGAGAGGACAGAGCACTGGACAAAGTATCCAGATCCCGTAGCTGGGTGACCTTGGGAACGTCTTTAACCTCTCTGATCCTAAGGCTCCTCGTTTGTAAAAGGGCGATGCCATACCCATGTCCTTGGTTTGACGTGAGGGGTCACTGATTTTTGCAAATCAGTGCCAACAGAGCCTTTTAAACTCTAAGATAATTTGTTTTTTCTTTTGTGGTGCTGGGTCTCCATCCAGGACCTTGTATGTTTCAGACAAGCACCTACCATTGAGCTACAGCCCCAGTCCATCTTATTTTTGGTGGCATTGGGGTTTGAACTCAGGGCCTTGTGCTTGTTAGGCAGGTGACCTATCACTTGAGTCACACCCTCAGCCTCTTTGCTGCATTCAGAGTAATTTCTTCAAATCTATCTTGCAGGCTACAACCATCTCCTCAGGTGTCTTTCCTATTGAGTTTAATCACTGTGTTTGTCATTGGTAGAAGTTCTTTTTTTTTTTTTATTTTTATTGTTTTACTACTCATATGTGCATACAATGCTTGGGTCATTTCTCCCCGCTGCCCCCATGGTAGAAGTTCTGTTGCCTTCGTTTTAAATTCCAGCTGGCATCCCAATCCCTGAATCACCACTATCAGCTCTGAGATGGAGTCTCCCAGTGCCTCTGTCCAAGGCTCCTCTTTCAGGGCCTAAGTGCCCAGCACAGACCCAGGTGATCAGATTTCACTTTGGAGGAGGAGGAAGCCCTAGGTTTCCCAGAGGAGAAGAAAGAGCACGCACTGTCAGACCAGCTCTTTCACATTCTGGGTCACAGGCATTCTTTTGGTCAAAGAGTTTGAAATAAAATAGATTTTTAAAAGCCACTGGGCTAGGGGAGATCTAGGCTTCCTTCAAACTGAAATCTGAGATTTTGAGCTCCAGTCTCAGAGAAGACAACACTCATTTGTCTCTGAGGATGGCCTCTGCACTCACAGGTATGCACACAGCACCAAGCACCTGGAGAACAGGGTCTCAGAGCTCTGCCAGGGAGGAAAACCTCGGTTTCACTTCCTGAAAATATTCCAGTCTTTTGAAAACTTGCAGAAAGCACAACAAATAATTACAGAGTTGATAATGAATATATATTTGGAGGAACAGGTAGGCTGGTCCCCCCTCCCCTTCTCTACACCATAACAACACAGGCAACAGAGATGGACATTTATTAAACACTTACATCACACCATTTCCATCCTTACCAGTCCCCCAGTCAGGCAGGATTATCATCCCTATTCTTCAGATCAGGAAACTGAGGCCCAGTGAGATTCAGACTGTCACAGGGTACATTTAGGATTCAAACCAAGGCTCGCTTGCTCAAGTGGGTTTGGAGACAGGCTGTGAGAGCTGGGAGTTTGGGGCTGTTCTGATGGAGGACGCAGAGACCTCTGAGGCCTGAGGCCCAGTGAGATTCAGACTGTCACAGGGTACATTTAGGATTCAAACCAAGGCTCGCTTGCTCAAGTGGGTTTGGAGACAGGCTGTGAGAGCTGGGAGTTTGGGGCTGTTCTGATGGAGGACGCAAAGACCTCTGAGGCAGTATCTCCAGCTTCATTCCCTGGAAGACTGAGCTTGGTGCAAACAGGAAACAGATTTCCAACTGGACAAGTCATTTCAGCTCTCCAGTCCAAGGTGTGAGACGCAACCAGAGACCGGGGGAGTTTTATGATGTCTAGAATGGTAACCAGTGTAAACTAAAACCTAAGGGGTGTCTTACTTCCAAGTCCCCACAGACACAGGGACTTGTAGCACACAAGGAATATGGTGTTGAGGACGGCTGGTTGAAAAGCCCCATAGTGCAAGTAAAGCCCGTCCAAATCTGAGCTCCTGGAGCGCCCTGAGCCCTCATGTGACTGTCCCCCAATCACAGCTGCTCCTGTCTTCACCTGCTCAGACCTCAACCCGGCCATAAATGACTCCTTGCTTCCTCCTCCTTCCAGCTCATCAGCAAATCTTGCTGCTTTGCCTCCAAAATGTATCAGAAATTTATGCTTGATACCCCTTACCCCAAAGCAGTCTGGCACTATGGAGTTAGTGCCTTTTCCCCTCATTGCCACCTCAGCATCAAGCACTCCACCCAGCTCCCTGCAGGCTTGGCCTTTTGTTGAATGTTAGATGCTCTTTTTGCAGTGGGGCTGCTTTGTGGAGAGGGCAGCCCTTTCCTGATGTCCCTCCCAGGCTCCTGGAGCCACAGGTCTGAAAGTTTTAAGTCGCCCTCCCCATCCCTGGAGCAGCACTTGGCCAGTGACTGAGAAATCCTGGCTCCCTAACTCTCACCTGAGTCTGCTCTTGAGGAATTGTTCCAGAGACGGGAGCCCTCCTCTGCCTCCATCCCAGAGTAGTCAGACCTGGGGGTCTGGGACTATGAGGTGCTGTCTCTCAACATATTATCCTCTTTGCCTAGCTCAGGTTCAATGACCTGCTCCCAGGCCAAGCCCCTCCTTCACCTTCTCATTCCCTTTGCAAGGCTGCCCTACTCGCGACAGAAGCACAGGCTCGCACACCACAGGCCTTCCTCAAGCCAAGAACCCAAAATACTAGAGAAACCGACCTGAGTTTTTCCTCATTCCCCTCAGGCAACATGCCTCTGCCCCCAAGGCTGCTGCAATTATGAACTTGACATGTGTCCTTCTAACTTATGTTTTAGTACTTTACTGTACACACACAGACACACATTTGTCCCAGGACAAAATACAGCACTGCTGAGGTTCACATGCCATTCTGCAACCTGTTTGTATACATTGGGGATGGCAGCATTGACTCTAACAGGTTGGTTTATTCGCTGTAACTGCCCACTGGTGTTTTGCAAAATGAATGGACCAGGGCTCACTTCCACCTCCTGCCAGCAAAGCTGTTTCCAGTCTTTTACAACTGCAGCCATTCAGCCTCGATAGGCCCCAGGGCAGTGTGTTCTCCATCCCCCGCCCCCCGCCCCTCCCAGGCCTCTGTTCCTTCTTACAGGCTCTTGCTTAGACTTCAGGTGTTGGTCCCCTAAGAGCAGGCCTCCAGGCCTCCATGGGGGGCCCCAGACCCTTGCCAGGCACCTAGCAGCTACTAGGCCTCTTTTGACTGACAAATGGCTACACAATGGTGGGGGCTGTGCCCCTGGCAAAGTCCAGGCACCTGGGACCCAGGGGACAGAAAAGCACTGTGAATGGCCAGTCCAGCACAGTGGGGGACCCTGGCCCTGGGATCTCAGGAGCTTCTGGGAAGGGTCAGTTCTGTGGCAGAGGCTTACCCCAGGCTGAAGAAGCAACCTCACTGGAGTTAATTCTGCTGCCACTTGCACTTCTGTTCAGTGTCACCTTGCCACTGAACTTTACAACTACCTCTGAGCAGGCACTGATCCTTTTTAGAAGACAATGAAGGCACACAGCTGCTGAGTGACAGCAGGATTTAAACCAATGCCCAGGTCATCTGACTTGGAGGAATGAGGTCCCTGTGCCACAATAACCAGTGCCCTCCTCTGCAGTGGCTTTGGCTTGGCTGGAGTAGGCTCTGGTCAGGCCCAGCAGGAGCCCCTGCCTCCTCCAGCCACCTCAGAGCAGGTGGCTCAGTCTAGGCTCCACCTGGGGTTCTAAGAAGAAACCAGAAATGGCAAGGCGGACCCCGGCTGGGAGACTAAATATGGCTCAGACAAGCTCAGCCACAGAATCGCCTAACTTTAATGCCAAGGCTCTGAGAGGGGCAGCCGTGGGCCATGGTGGGTCTCAGAGGCTGCAGACACCTCTTGCCTTGAAGTCCAGGGTTCCCAGACACCAAGTGACCGGGCAGTGAGAGGCATGGGGACCTCACTCCCATGCCAGACAGGGTTCAAAGCTCAGTGGGACCAGAAGCACTCAAGAATCCCATGGAAGGACTCCCTGACCTGGGGATGCTGTGGAAAGGGCTGCTCATCGCTGACCCTTACAGGCCAAACCCAGCCATGCCAGCAGGACTTGGTTGGGGCCTGCATGGTGAGCTTATAGGGTGGGAGGTGAAGAAAGACCACAGTTTCAGCCTGGGGCAGTGGAGTGCCATAAAAGGAGGGGAGGACCAGGGTGTTCCCAAGGCTGGGAAGCCATGGGGGCTCCTGGTCTCCATGGCTACTTGATTCAGGCAGCCCAGTAAGGGAAGAGAAGACAGTCCACCTTAGGTCCAAGAGCAGCAGGACAGGACATCTGAAGGCAATGCAGCTGGGGGCTTCAGTATCCTCGGGAGGTGGCTTGGTTCCTGCCCTCAGGGCCTGCAAAGGGGTCTGCTGGTGCCTCTGGTGAGTCAATCGTCTGGTAGGCACTGTGCTCCTGAGGCCCAGGGAAATCTGGAGGGCAGGGGATGTGGGGGAATTAAAAAATGAGGGTGAGAATTGGGGACATTTTGCTGCACCCAGCCCAAGGCCCATGTTGGCATCCTGATGCCAACAACAGCAGGCATGCCAGTGGCCCCAGACACCAAGCCTGTAGCTCACATCCATCAACCCTTCCAGGTCCCTACAGAGTGGTGCTTATTGTCCCCACGTTGCAGATGAGAAAGGAGAGGGTCAGAGGGGGACTGACTTGCCTGAGGTTACCTGGTTAGGAGCTGATGACTCTGGGATCAAACCTTAGTGGCAGGACCCAGAGCCAGAACTCTAGCCACTGTGCCACAGGCCACCCCAGTGTGCTCAGGATCCTGAGGATGACACCTAGCCCTGGACCCATGAGCTTTTCTTCCTCTCCTCTTGGGCATAAGGACCCTGCATCACTGTATCCAGAAGCTCTGGAGCCTGGCATGGTTGCTGCACCCAGGAGTCGGGGCCAGGATGCCAGGCAGGGCAAAGGGCTCTGAGGGCCCCCATGCCCACCTGTCATGGCCTCTGTTTCCTCACTTGTCCAATGGTCAGATAATCTATCCCTTGTTCTCCTCACCCTGGGTCAAGTCGAAGTGGTGCTGAGGTCAGCTAGGGTGGGTGGCTGCAGGCCACTCCTGTCCTTGCCCAGCGCAGAGTCACAGGCCACCCTGAGCCTGTCTTCTCTGCAGTGAAAGGAAGAAGCCCACACCTTGTCTTCCCCCCACTGCTTGGAGAACATGAAAGGACAGTGTCAGGAGATGGCCAATGCAAGAGAGCAGGCTGCAGAAGTCCCAAAAGGACAGGTGTTGGCTGCGTGGGAACCCACAGAGCCTACAGGTGGAAAGTGCTCGCTGCTGGGGGGGGTCTACCTTCACAGAGGCTCCAGGCCCAAGCAACGTGATTGCTCACTGTCTCTGGCTAAAAGAGAGTCTGGCTGCATGCTGTCACCCAACTGTACACACGGCCTGGCAACAGAGTAAGGCCATACCAGACTGTGACAGCCGGGGGAGCACGGCTCCTGCAGCAGTGACCAGAAATCTTGTACACCCAGCCTGGTGCAGAGTGCCCAGGCCCAGGGGCTGGGGAAGGGAGAGCAGGGCGGGGCTGAGTGGCAGAGGCCGCGGCTCACCGGTGTGGAAGGGGAGCACACCCCCACGCTCACGGTGCATGTGGTAGACCAGGCAGCAGGAGAAGGGCTTGAGCAGCAGGCTGAGGATGGCCATCCCGGCACTGAAGCGGCCTGTGTCTGAGAGGCTGGACCTTGGGTAGAAGATACTGATGTGGACGATGTCCAGGAAGATGGTGGCCAGCAAGCCTCCCAAGAACTGTAAGACACACCACCATGAGCTTATGGGCACTGACACCCGGTCCCAGGCTCTCCCCTCCTGGGGCCTGAGCCCCAGCCTGCTGCTCTACCAGAGCCCCTGCCCCCAGCTCCCCACAACCATGTCTTGGGGCATGATGGGGCCAAGACATGGCTCCAGAGCCTCCAAGAGGAACAGTTCCTTGGACTCCATCCAATCTGACTCCACCACCAAGAAAACCCCTTCTCAGTCATCCCCGGAGGCAGCAGCCTGGGTGTGGTAAGCTGGGCACTCATTGCCTCAGGCTGGGAAGTCCCCCATCCAGGGCTCTGTTGACTTTGACTTCATAAAGTGTGGCACTCTCCCTTGGCCAGGTCTCTCAGCCACATCCTTCTTCCCCAAAAGAGCGCTCCCGACATAGGTCAGACCAGCCGAGAAATGGGCAAATCCTGGGGCACTGTGAGGATGCCATTCCACGCCTGTCTTGCTGAAGACAACAGCAGGCTTGGGGTTCCCAAAGCCAGGCAACAGAGTAGCGTGCCCAGCTAGTGAAGACACACGTGGGCACATGGGGCTGGGGGCTGGGAGGCTTTGGAAAACAAAAAAATGGGGAAAAACAAGGACAAGAGAGAAGACTGGATAGGGGAGGGGAAAACAGATCGGGCCATGGCTGGCCCTGAAGCCAGTCCCCTGCTGTGCCACCACACCACTGTGGCCTGCTCTCCACTCACCATGCCTATGGCATCAAGGGAGTCCCGCTGTGCCACGGCCCACACGCCCAGGGCCAGGATGGTGAAGTTGGCCCAAGCGTAGGGGCCTGAGAACACGATGCAGCCCCTGCAGGAAGAAGCACCTCCACTGGTCAGGCAGCCACCACCCAACAGCTGCCCACCCCTTCAGCAGGTCACCTCCCTCCTGCTCCAGGCCTCCCGAGAACAGGCCTCACTCAGGCTGGAGGCCACCGGACTGTCAGTCACGTTGGCTCTGCCTCCCTCCCCATCCTGAATCCGGCTGACCATTCTCTCCTGCCTTGATGGTGGTCACACTGGTCTCCCTACTGTCACACCTGCCCCCTGCAGGCGATTCCCGGAATAACAACCAGTATGTGAATCACTTGGTATCACTCCTCTGTCCCAAACCCTTAGCCAGTTTTATGTTCCATTTGGGATAAAACACAGACCCTTCACCACAGCCTATGCCCCAGGGGAACCCCTGACAGCCCCACCCTTACCCCCCAGCCACTGTCTTAAGAACTTGGCCCCTGTTATCTCAAATGTTATCTGCAAGAGCTGGTCCCTTTTGGACATGACACAATGCCCACTCTACTTTATTTTATTTACATTGTTTACTTACTGGTTTGCTTGTCAATCCAATGGAAATCATAGTTAACACCAGGCACTTACCACTACTTGGCACTCTTCTAGATGCTTTTTTTTTGAACTCAGGACCTTCACCTTGAGCCACTCCACCAGCCTTATTTTTGTGATGTGTTTTTTCGAGATAGGGACTCATGAACTATTAGCTTAGCCCAGGCTGGCTTTGAATGGTGATCCTCCTGATCTCTGCCTCCTGATTATCTAGGATTACAGGCATGAGCCACTAGTGCTTGGCTCTAAGTGCTTTCACAGTTCTAGAAGGGACAAATTTTTTCCCTTATTTTACACATACTGAGGCACAGAGATGTTAAGTAACTTGCCCAACATCACACAGCTGGGACCGGTGGCTCACCCTATATTCATAACTACTCAGGAGGCAGAGATCAGGAGAATCGTGGTTCAAAGCCAGACTGGGCAAATAGTTTGCAAGACCCTATCTCAAGAAAAACCCATCATTTAAAAAAAAAAAAAGGTTGGTGGAATGGCTCAAGGTAGGCCCTGAGTTCAAACTCCAGTACCACAAAAAAAAAAAGAAGAAGAAAAAAAAAAAAGGCCACACTCTTGGTCACCCTGCTCTACAGCATGGAGATCACAGAGGACAGGGATCTTGGCTACCTTATTTCCCACTGTCTCCACTGCTCAGGAAAGCAGTGGGGCGCTTCGTGAATTTAAATGACATTCATGAAGTGTAACACGTGGAGTGAAATGAGGCGCAACTGGATCTTCCAGTCCAGAGTGCCCAGCGCAGAATCTCAGGGAGTGTGGCCGAGAGACCTCCTTTCCCACCCTCGCACTGTCCAATCACTCACATGAAGTGCGCACTGCACTTCAAAGTTTGCAACACAATGGAAGGTAATGATGAAGGGCAAGCTGAAGGCCTGGGGATGTCTGACAGGCACACGCACCCCACTGCACAGATGGGAACCAGCCCTACCCCCAAAGTGACTAGCTGAAACAAGACATGACCTGGCTGACTCAGACCCGGGGACACTGACCCTGGGACCCAGGAAAACCCCTGGAAGCAGACCCGTGGACAAAGACCATGGAATCCAGGAGACTTGGATGCAGCCAGACTCCCCCCCAGTCACTCACCAGGTTGTCAGCAGCCAGTGAACCAGGAGAATCACCTGTGGCACAAGGAGGAGGGGGGGAAAAGGTCTGTGAGCAAATGTGACCACCAGAGGGGGTGGCAAAGCCTTCAGCCAGAACACACAGGAGGCTCCTGCCTAGCACCTACAAGGACCTCACAAGCAGGGCTTAGCCACAGCAGGGGCCCAGGGGCAGGAGTAGCACAGCTAGGCCAGGGTGACCTGGAAGTGTGGGGCACCTGCTCTGGAGACACTAGAGGTCTTGATGGGAAATGGGACAATTTCTGGGGACACTGGAGCTGGAGTACTGTGGGCAAAGGGAAGGCAGTCACAGTAGCCAGAGAGGAGGAGCAAGGGGAAAGGCAGGAGATGGGGGGGGGGGGAACGCGGCTGGGGCCTCAGTGAGGAACCTGTATTTCAAGCCCAGTGAAATGAGGGGAGCACCTAGAGGCTTTTCTGTAGGAACACATCATGGTATGACTTATTTTAAAGCAGACAAAGTCCCTCTGGCCGGTCTGGATTACTGCAATATCCCACTCTTTTATTATCTTCTGTGGCCTTCAAATCTCAGCCCTTTTCACTGTCCTGGCCTCTTCTGGGAACCCAGGCCCTGCCTGGACAGCAAAGACAGAGAGGAGGGGCTGATGCCACAGGAGGGTGCGGTCATCTGGAGGGGACTCTGGCTGGGAGCTAAAGGATGAGGCATGGGCAGGAAGCCAGGACCAGGGCCCTGAGTGGCTGTGGCTAGGGTGGGGGTGAAGTGGCTGTGAGCATTCAGGAGGCCAGGAACCCCAAGCTGGGAGCCTCCCCAGTGGAGATGGAGGTATGAGGCCTGGAGGGAGGCCAAGAGCCCAGGACAGGTGAAGTCCTGGGTGAAGTGCTGGGCCAGAAAGCAAAGTTAGGCTCAGCCAGGCTTTGCAGGAAAAGGCCCAGGTTCCTGGCCTGGCTAGCAGGGTGGAAGGAGCTGCCATGCTACAATAAAGGGCTGGTGGTGTGGCTCAAAATGATAAAGCACTTGCCTGGTATGCTTGAGGCCCTGGGTTCTATTCCCAGCACCACAAAAATAAAAAAACCTCTGGTGGAGGAAAAGCATTTCTAAAAGAGTTACTCCTTAAAGCACACCTTCTATGTGCCAGGTCTGTGCCCTGTCATCATATGAAGTTACTGTGCCTCCCAAAGCCTATGGAACATAACCAATCTTATTCCCATTTTATAGATGAGAAACGTAGGCTCAGAGGAAAATTCAGTCAATCAAGGTTACACAGACAGTGAGGGGCAACACTAGTGTTAGATTTCAAGTCTGACTCCAAAACCAGAGCTGCTCACTCTTCCTTGGAGGTCAGGCCTTCAGCTGGGAAGGGCGGTTGGGTGTGGGAGAAATGTGTGCCTCCCCCCGGGGCAGGGCCCAGTGCCAGGGTGAACCAAAAGGGGCCTGGACTCATGACCTGAGAGAAATTCCTCTCCCAGCTACAGAAGCCAAGGAAAACAGTTCTGGAAGGACTCATGCACCCTAATTTGCAGAGATCCCAGGACTCCCCCAGCTAGGGCTGTCTAACAGAAGGATAAATTAGAAGAATCACCCTCTACCATCTTCACTTATTGCTGAGCACTTCACCATGCTAAGTGCTTTCTGCACATGAACATGTTACCCACAATCCAAGTGGTACTGTGATTCCCATTGACAGCTGACAAAAGGCTCAGAGTCAAGCAATGGGCAGAGGTAGGGCCAGGATGCAAATTCAGGGACAGAGAGGAAAGAACATTTTAGCAAAGGGGCAGCACCTGGAAAGGCTCTGTGGCAGAAGAAACACAGAACATTCTGGAAACTAAAGCGACCCACGTAGCTGAAGTGGAAGCCCAGAAGAGAGTGAGGAGGGTCAGGAAGCTGGGGGGCAGACATGGGGGGAGGATGCAGAGCTTTATCTTAAGAACTAACCACAGCTGGGCTGTTGGAGTGGCTCAAGTGGCAGAGTACCTGCCTAGTAAGCATGAGGCCCTGAATTCAAACCCCAGTACAGCTTCCCCCGCCAAAAAAAAAAAGAATCATAGGGGTGTGTGAATATGATCAAAGTATTTCACACACTTGTGTGAAAACAGAATAATGAAACCCATTTAAAAGCGTTTTATAGGCATGGTGGCTCATGCCTATAATCCTAGCTACTCAGGAAGCAGAGATCAGGAAGAATGCCATTGGAGGCCACCCCAGGCAAAAGAGTTTGAGACTCCATCTCAGTCAATAAAAGGTGTGAATATGGTTTGTGCTTGTCATCCAGGCTATGTGGGAAGCATAAACAGGGGGATCACGGTCCAGACCAGCAGGTAAGCCTGAGCATAAACATGAGATCCTATTCAGCAAATAGCTATAGCAAAAAGAGCTGGGGGCATGGCTCAAGTGGTACAGCGCCTGTCTGGCCAGCACAAAGCCTTAGTTCAAACTGCAGTACCACCAAAAAAAAAAGCGGGGGCGGGGGGGGGGGAAGGGGGTGAATTTGATCAAAGCAGATTATATGTATGAATGGAAATAAAATGAAACCCCACTGTACAGTTCATATATGCTAACATATGCTCAAAGAGAGAGAGAGAGAGAATATGTGTGTGCACGTGCCAACCACAATCTGCTCTGGTTTATAGGAAACCCTGGCCCAGAGGAAAGGGCACTGTGGAAGGCCACCTGGCCAGCCTTGGTGATCCTGATGCCTGGCGTCTGGACTACAAAACACCAAGGAGGTAGCAGGGAGGCAGCTTGCACCACCACTTCCCCCGAAAATCAACACCCACCCCTTCCTGCTCTTGACTCCCCTAGAAACAGCCTTCAGTTCTAAGTGCTCTGGCTCCTACACCTAGACTGTGCACACAATAGGTCTGCAATAGATGGGAGTCTTGGTTTGGTTTTATTTATTTTTGGTGCTGCGGGTAGAAGCCAGGGTCTCATGCATGCTAGGCATGTGCTCTGCCACTGAGCTGCACCCCCACTGGCAAGTCCTACCTTCTAGGGGGAGAATAGCGAGTGAGACCAGGGTGAGGCTGAGGCTCAAGAGGCAGCTGACTGCTGTGCCCCCTGCAGGTCTCTCTGAACAACCACAGGCAACTCCACCTGCAGCTGGAAGGGCCTGGAAGGTGCAGTGGGCACCAGAGGCTGAGCTCTGCCATCTCAGTGAGGGAAGGAAATGGAACCTGGAGATACTGCAGCTTCTCAGATAACACACAACGCCTTTCACACTGCTGTTTCATGAATATTTAAGAAACGTGAGCACCAGTGGATCTCTGAGAAAAGAAACCCAGAGATTTTCCTGCCTCAGTTGCCCTATCTTTGTAGTGGGAGGGATCCTATCCCCAGAGACCCTAAACATGTAGGAGAACTCAAAGCGGAAACCAAGACCAAGAGCACAGTCCTTCCCCCTTCTTGACAGACCATGGCATGAGAGGCCAATGACTCCCCACGGACACAAAAGAGCTGACCCTGGGGTGTGGGGAGGTTTCTGAGGCTACTGAGAATAGCGGAGCTGAAGCCTGGGAGGGGCCTGAGGAGCCCAGCAGCAGGAGAAAGGCAGGACCCAGGGCCCTGACTCTCACTACCATGCTCAGCTAAGGGCAGCTCCCTCTCAGTGTGGTAGAGATGGTGCGTGTCATACGGGACCCATCTGTCCTGAAGGAGCCTTGACCGCCAGGAAAACAGGCACCGGATAGTCCCCATGCCTGTCCACTTGGTAATCACAAGTTCCTGGGTGGGCCCAGGGTCCTGCAACAATGCCAGCAGCTCTCGCTGCTGCCTAAACCCTGGCTACTCCATGTCTACCCTGCACTAAACATATGCTCCATGGTCTGTGGAGCTGTATGGGGCAGAATGGAGGCTTGGAGGGCTCAGCAAACTGGCCCAGATGTTGTTTTTTTTTTTTGTTTTGGTGGTACTGGGCTTTAGGTTCAGGGCCTCATGCTTTCTATGCAAGCACTCTACTGCTTGAACCGCTCCACCAACCCAACTGGACCCAAAACTTATCAATAGAGTCAACATGCAAATCCCAGAACCCATCTCTCTGGCCTGAGTTTTTACCCCTAATGCAATGCTACCTTCTGGACCACTGGATCCTCTTCTTACACCCTAGAAAGTAGGGTCTATTTTGTTTTAAACATTTTTGTTAGCATATATTAATTGTACAGAGGAGTTTCATTGTTATACTCCCATATATGTTTACAATGTACCTTAGATTCATCCCCTCCATCACTCTCCCTCACCCCTAATTAAAATAATTTCAACAAGTTTCATTGTTCTATGGTAGGGCCTATCTTTATCCTCTTATTACTGTGAGGAAACTGATACACAGAGAGGTCAAGAAACCTACTCAAGGCCGCTAGGAAGCTAGGAAGTAGCAAAGTCTGGCCTTGAATGCAGGGCTGTCTGGTCCTGAGGGGGCCACTATGATATGCTGTCAGGTTCTAGAAGGACACACGGAAACAAGGAAGTTTAGCCTTGAGAAGGGAAGGCCAAGGAAATGCCAAGGAGCCATGAGGACCAAGACTTAGATCCTTGTTTGCCACCAGAGGGAGGAGATAGACCTCAGACGGGCATATGGGTTAGCACCCTGAATACATTCCTATCTATCCTGTGCAAACACTGGGTGACCAGTTACATGAGACAGTGAGAGACCCTTTCCAGGGAACTGAGGCTAAGGGTCACCAACCGGGGCTGCCCCAAGGGGAGGCAGGGGCATGCAGAAGTTAACTGGTTGGTCCTAGAGTAGAACACACCAATCAGCTGGGTGCTGGTGGCTCATGCCTCTAATCCTAGCTACTCAATAAGCAGAGATCAGGAGGATCACTGTTTGAAGCCAGCCCAGATAAATAGTTTGAGAAACCTTATCTCGAAAAAACTATTACAAAAATCAGGCTGGTGGAGTGGCTCAAGGTATAAGCCCTGAGTTCAAACCCCAGTATTGCAAAACAAACAAACAAAATGTACACCATGGATGGTGGATCCTGTCTCCATGACTTAGAACCTATGTGCCCTTGGTTGGACAAGTCGCCTTACCTTTGAGACCTGCTGTTTGCTCCCCCCAAAAGCAGGAATAGCAAAGCAGGGATAATCATACCAGTTTTACAGCATTGTTCTGTGGAAGTAGGGAATAGGGAGGTAGAGAGGTGCAAGAAGCACTCAAACTGCACCTGAGGCCTCAGGACACAGCAGGCCTTGTTCCCACTATGAGGAAGCTGGCTTCCCTGATGCTGCGTGACCTCCTAGACCTCCTAGCTGTAGGAAGGTCTTCCTCCCTACAGCTTCTCTTCACAGGACCTTGTGAACTCAAGTCTAGTCCTTCTGAGCTTCCAGTTCAGGGTCTGCTCCAAGAGAAGCACGAATGGGGCTCAGTCAGGAACTGGCCCTTGTGCAAAGGGGCTGGGGCAACTGTTTCCTCTCACTGCCCACTCCTACTCCACGGGCACAGCAGGCACTCAGCCAATGCCCAAGGGATGGAGAAAGGAGAGTGGGGAGGGAATGCAAGCCTCAGGTGGAGTCCCCAGCTCCTGAGTAACACCCCATTATGAATTTCAGATCATGAATAATTGACTATGTTCCCAACACTGCCTGAGACCCACAATAAAAACCTGCTGACGTGAATCCAAATTAAGTTGCATGTCCTGTATATTATCTGGCAACCCTGGCCCCACAGGGCTCTGGTTGGTAGTGGCTAAGACACTTTGGGACATGGAGTCTTGTCACCGAGGTCAGGGGAAGGACCAGTCTTTTCATTTTTGGACACCAAAAGTCAGCACAGCTCACACCTATGGCTGCCTTTGGCCTGTCAGGCCCACAGTTAATATAATCTGTCAAGGCCAAAGTCAGCCCTAACTACTAATCTGGTACCAGGAAACACCACAACACTGGAGCCAGGGGGGTTCAAATTCTCACTCTACGCTTATTCCTTGGGTACCTTGACAATTTATTTGCCTGATCTGAGCTGAAGTTTTTTCCTCTGTAGAAAGATGACAATGTCAGCTTTCTCAGAAGGAGGCTTTGATTAATTAACAAACTGGCAACCTCCCCCCCAAAAGTGTGCACTCTCTCTCCTCCCAGGGCCTGAACTCTGCCCCTCACCTGGTCCTCTCTATTTTAGGGAAATCACCGGCTGCAGAAAAGGCACTTATCTTCACACCATGCTGCCTGGAACAAGAAGTACTGACATCAGCAGACCTCTGCTGCCCACTGCTCCAGGCAAGCCCACCCCCTTGCTGCAGTCTTGTCTCCCCTGCAGCTGATGGGAAGCTTTAGGGAAGAGGGTGAAGCAAGTACTGTGGGATTCAGGGAAATACGCCAGTGCAAGTCACCGCCCAGACCATATGTAATAATCCATATATGGACTCCATTGCCGCGGTAGCTAACTATGGCTTAGGTTCTTATAGTCTCAGACACCTATGGGTGCTAAATGCTTTGTCATTCAGGAGTAACAGGATCATTTCAAAGGAAACTTCACCAAGACCCAAAATGGCTGGTTTCATCCAAGGTTCACTACTAGGTTCTGGCCCCTTCGGTTGCAAAAGGGGTGGGTGGAGAAAAAAGAACAGCACCCTGACCGAGCTGGGCACAGGGCTCAGGAAATGAAGACACCGCAGCGTTGTCCCAGGGGCACAAAGCTGGGGTTTTTCGCTGTTAAGTAACGTCTGCAGTTCGTGCTTTTAAATTATGAAACGAGGACACTGCATTTGGAAACTGTGGAAAAACAATCGTTTGTTTGACTTTGCTAACCGGAGCAAGCACTCTAAGGAAGCCACCGAGAGCTTTTCGGGACCTCGGGAAAGGCACGGCCCGGGTCTTTGGGGGAAGAGAGGGGTCACCTCGCCCCTCAGCCCGCCACTGGCCGGCCCCTCCTGGGGGATTCAGGGCGCAGGCCGGGACCCGCGCTCCCAGCTGGGAGTGATAAGCTCCGGGAAGGAGCGGCCCTTTCCCCTCCCCGTCTTCCCAGCAGCCCCGCCTGGGCCCCTCCCCCTGCCATGGCCTGTGCGCACCTCCTTCTCACCTGGGGTCTGTACCTTCCCTTCTTCCTACTCCCCTAGTCCCTAACTTTCGAACTCCCACCCTCCCCCCAAAAAGCAAGCGCTCAGCACCATCCAGCAGAGGGGACCAGCCCGCCCCGCCCTGGCCACCTTCAAGTTCACGACCGGCAACTCCATCCCGACCCCGGCGGAGGGCACCTGCGCGACAGCCGCGGGGGCTCCTGGGCTCCGAACTCGGGGAACAAACTTGCCCGGCCCGGCCTCCGCCCGTTGCTCCTGAGCCAATCCGAGCTCGGCTCCGGGTCACGTGAGGCGAGCGAGCGCGGGCACGTGACCGCCGCGCCGGTTGCTAGGAGACGGCGTCCGGCAGCGTGCGCCTTCCGCAAGGTTTGAACTCCCGTCACCGCCCAGGCTTTAGACCTGCGAACTTGCAGGCAGAATGTCCAGATTTCTGTCACCCCAGGGCGCATTATCCGCCTGGCTAATATCCTAGAAGGTGGGTTGTTGGGACCACTTGCAGCCCGGAGTATGTGGAGTCATTCAGCTGCAAATTGCTGATGTGGCAACAACTGGTGTCTCCCCCAGGGCTTCCTCTCTCCTCCCTCCTTCCGCGTGTACGTAGGTTAGTTAACAATACCTGCCTCATAGGATCCTTGTGAGGGTAAATGAATTAATTCATGTCGTTAAAAAAATTAAACCGGGCGTAATGGTGGGCAAAATAATCCCAGTCCTAGCGTAAGGGAGGGGGGATATGAGGTACAGGATCGCGAATTGAAGGCCTGCCTGAGCTACATCATAGAGAGAGCTTGTCTCCCCTCTCCAAAAAATGTAATCCTAGCTATTTGGGAAGCTGAAGCCCGGGCAAATAGTTCCTGAGACCCCCCCCCAATCTCCAAAATAATCAGAGCAAAATGGACTGGAGGTGTGGCTCAAGTGGTAGAGCACCTACTTTGCAAGTGTGGAAACCCTGAATCACGCTCCAGTTCTACCAAAGAAAGATCTTTGGAGGGAGGGAGATGGGGCTCAACTCTAAACAAGGCTTAGTGTGGACATTTGTAGCATAAAGGAGAGCACACCAAGGCAAGGAGGATTCTTGCTAAATTTAACAGCATTCTTGCTAAAACTGGGCTGTGCAGGCTGAGCAAAGGACAGGAAGACAGAAGGCCAAGGTCAATGCCTAGGCAAAAAGAGCCCCACCCCCATCCCAGCCACTGAGGAGGCTGAAGCAGGAGGATCCTTGAACCTAGGAGTTCAAAGCCAGCCTGGGCAACACATTGAGACCTTGTCTCAAAAACAAAACAAAATAGACAAAGGGGCCTCCGGGGTATAGCTGGGTGGTAGAGCACTTGCCTAGCACCAAGGAAAGAAGGGGCCATTATCTCCCCTAGATATTGGTGTGGTACCTCTCAGGGCACATTTGCTGCTTTTCTTGTTTGCAGGAGGGTAAAAACCATGTGAGAACCCTGAAAACTGCCTGAGCAGGCCCTGAGATCGTCTCCAGACCCACAGGTGGGCAAGACACAAGAAAGGATTTTTCTTGTCGGGTGAGGGGAGTTTTGCAGGGCCATAGGGTCCAGGCCTAATTTATTGCTCCATGTGGAAGTGCAGCCCTCCAGCCCAGGGGTAAGACCCATGTCTGCCATCACCATGGAGAGACCAGCGGATAAGTTACATCCAGTTTGCTTTAGGATTGGCTACTATAAATTAGTTAATTACCGTTTTGTTTTATTTGTTTTTTGAGACAGGGTCTTGGCTATGTAGCACAGGCTGACCTCAAACAGATGATGCTCCTGCCTCAGCCTCCCTAGTGCTGGAACTACAAGTATGTGTATTAGGGTCAGGGAAAATACCTCAAAGTGTGACCTTTGGCCTACTGAGTACTTTGAGCTAACAGAGATTGGTAGACCTCAGAAACAAGGTCCCTCCACCTTCTTGTGCTCTCCTGTCTTCTGCTCTCCTTGTCCCCTAAAGCGAGTCATAGAAACCCTTATAGAAACTGCAGTTCCTTTCCACCAGATGGATCCTAGAAACCAGCACCCTTTACCATGATACCTACAAAGGTCACTCTCCCTTTTCTGTCTCTCTTGAAGACACTCTTTCCAGAGTGGGGTCCTAAAAATGTCCTGGGGTTTTTTTGCTTTTTTTTTTTTGAACAACAAGTTCAAACTAGGGTTTGAACTCATGGCCTTGTGCTTGCTAGGCAGGCACACTACCACTTGAACCAGTCCACCAGCCCTTTTTTGTGTTGGGTATTTTCAAGATTGGTTCTCATGAAATATTTGCCCAGGCTGGCCTCAAACTGCAATCCTCTTGATCTCTGCCTCCTGAGTAGTTAGGATTGTAGGCATGAGCCAGTACCCTGCTTTTAAGGGTGAGGTATAACTCAACAGTAACATTCATGAGGTCATGAGTTTGAATTCCAGCACCACAAAGAAGAAAAGTAATACCCAGAGGGTCCTGTCCACGCTCAGGGAAAGTACACTGCACAGAGAATCCAAGAAGATGCTGGGCCTTGTTGGGTTGCCCCTCAGTCTGTCACCACTGGATCAGATCCTTTCGACCCATCACAGTCCTACATGGCTACTTTTCACTGCACTGAAGAATAAGAACAGGCAGTTTTCCCTGGGTCTTTATTTCTGAAGGCCTTTACATCGCATAGAACTTTGAAGCAATGTTATGCTAACCTGTCGTCTATTAACAGGAGTGCTGGCATGACCTTTATGAAAGGTGAGGAAAGAATTCCAACTTCCCACCCTGTGTGTGCAATGAAAGTGTGGCCACTTTGTAAGGGATGACGCAAGGTTGCGCCTGGGATTTGAGCTGACATTTATTAAATACTTCTTTTGTGCTTTTCTAGTAAATGCCCACAGCAGGGCTTCGAACCCTAGTCACAGAGGATTGAAGTTAAGAGAAGTTAAGCCTCAGTACTGAAGCCCCTGGACTCAGGAGGTCTGACTTCAGGACCTGGACATTTAACCGCTCAGCTCCACTGGCTGCAGAGGTGGAGAACACAGTCAGGCTGAGATGAAAGGATGGAGTGGGCTGAGGAGGGCCTTGAAAGGGCTCTGTGTGCACACACTGACAGTGCATTCATCGGAGCCAGCTGGGCCGCAGGCACAGGGAGAGGGCATGGCAGGCTGGGGGTGGGGGACAGCTTGAACACAGAGGGACAAAGGAAAGTGAAACTGTCTGTTCTCAAAGGAGCCAGGGTTCCTGCCATGGCCTGTTGTTGCTGTGAGGGGACACATGGCCCCCACATTCCACACAGCTTCTGGGTCATATTTTTAGCGAGTACACTTCAGGTTTAAATTGTTAATATTCCTGACCAATCCTGAGTGTCTCAGTCAAGTTTGGTCTTAGTACTTTCAACAAAGAAATTGGCAGATAGAATAGATTCATTTGGCAAAGAGCTTCAGAATGCCTCCTTGGGTAAATATCTAGGAGTAAAATGGCCAGTCCTTTGTCAGATGTATGTTTCTCTTTGTTTGTTTGAGACAGGGTCTCTCTAAGCAGCTCAGGCTAGCCTAGAACTATGTAGCCCAGGCTGGCCTCAAACTCGCAATCCTCCTGCCTCATTCTCTTGAATACTGGGATTGTAGGTGTGCACCATTGTTTCACGTTTTTTTTTTTTGGACTGGGGTTTGAACTCAGCACATCACATTTGCAAAGCAGGTGCTCTACTACTTGAGCCATGCCTCCTGTCCATTTTGCTCTGGTTATTTTGAAAATGGGGTCTCATGAACTATTTGCCTGGACTGGCCTCAAACATCTGTCCTCCTGATTTCAGCCTCCCAAGTAGCTAGGATTACAGGTGCTAGCCGCAGTCACCCAGCTGTGTTTCACTTTTTAAGAAATTACAAAACTGTTTCCCTAGATAGTTGTACTGTCCTATGTCCTATTTTATTTTCTTCATAGCACTTATCAATACCTGAAAGTATTGCTCTATTGATTTATTTACTTGTCTATTATCTGCCCTCTTCCCTCAACCAGGCCAAAGCCCCAAGAGGGTCTTGTGTCCTGAGGGTCCATCCCTGTGTCTTTGCAGAATCTAGGTGGCCAGGGAATAAGCTGATGTGCACTGACTGGACAATTATGAGGAACCACTTCCTATCATGAGCACCTGCCATCCGATTCCACACTTGTCCTCCAGGTGGCTGTAATAGCCAGGCTGTGCCCAGGAGGCCACCCTGTCAGTGCTGCTGGTCAAGCAGGTGGTCATTTCTTTCCCATGGGTCTCTGTCTTTTAGATAAAGAAGTTTTTCAGATTCCTGCCTTGCCTCTTCCTGACTCAGCAGTCTTGGGCAAGTCATTTGGCCACACTAAGTCTTGCGGTCATTGTGGGGATCATACAAGGTGATTTACATAGAGTACCTGGCCTGGCTCCTGGCATATGGTAAGCATTCAGTAAGCAATAGCTTCCCGGGGGGCAGTGAATTCAACTATGATATATTTGATATATTGTAAGAACTTTTGTAAATGCCACAATTTACCCCCACTCAGCACAACAACAACAACAAAAAGCTGGTTCCACTTGTGACAACATGTCACAAGACCCTTTGTCTTCACGCTTGGGTGATCATATCAAACAGGATAATAGCTAGTTGCTAGGTGACTATACATCCAGGTGACCAATCTTATTTATTTTTTGGCAGTACTGGGGTTTGAACTCCGGGTTTCATGCCTGCTAAGCAGGTGCTCCATCACTTGATCCACTCCTCCAGTCCTTTTTCCTGTGGTCCTTTTGGAGATATTTCTGCCCAGGCCTTCTGGACACCCATCCTCTTATTTTACATGTCCTACTGTAGGTATAATGACAGGGGTACACCACCACACCCAGATTTTTTTCTGTTGAGATGGGGGTCTCAAAAACTTTTTTTTTTCATTTTTCTTTTATTATTCATATGTGCATACAAGGCTTGGTTTATTTCTCCCCCCTGCCCCCACCCCCTCCCTTACCACCCACTCCACCCCCTCCCGCTCCCCCCCTCAATACCCAGCAGAAACTATTTTGCCCTTATCTCTGATTTTGTTGTAGAGAGAGTATAAGCAATAATAGGAAGGAACAAGGGTTTTGCTGGTTGAGATAAGGATAGCTATACAGGGCATTGACTCACATTGATTTCCTGTGCGTGGGTGTTACCTTCTAGGTTAATTCTTTTTAATCTAACCTTTTCTCTAGTTCCTGGTCCCCTTTTCCTATTGGCCTCAGTTGCTTTTAAGGTATCTGCTTTAGTTTCTCTGCATTAAGGGCAACAAATGCTAGCTAGT